GCCCCCTGGGGGCCCCCCTGGGGGCCCCCCTGGGGGCCCCCCTGGGGGCCCCCCTGGGGGGCCCCCCCAGCAGCAGCAGCGCGGAGGGCGCGCGGCTGGCGGCGCAAGCCACCGGGGGGGCCCCCTGGAGGCCCCCCGGCGTTTGGCACCGGCGGAACCGCCTGGAGTTGTCAGTAGTCGAAAAGTTGCATTTTTTGGTGGCAGCAAATGGGACTTTGCTGCGCCAAGAAGTCGAAGGAAAGGTCTTCGTTTGCTGCGCCTTGTCGGGCTTCCCCGAGTGCAGACTCACCACCAACGAGCTGCAGCAGCAGCACTTCGCAGCTCCCCAGGGGCCCCCGGGGGCCCCCGGGGGCCCCGGGGGCCCCGGGGGCCCCGGGGGCCCCGGGGGGCCCCCCGGGGGGGCCCCCGGGGGGCCCCCCGGGCCCCGGATCCAGGCCATTACGAACTCGCCGCTGCCCGCTGCTGCTGCGGAAGCAGCAAGGAACCAAACGAGGGGGCCCCGGGAGGGGCCCCCGGGGGCCCCCGGAGGGGCCCCCGGGGCCCCGGGGGCCCCCGGGGCCCCGGGGGCCCCCAGCAGCTCCGTGCTGGCGCAAAGAGCTGCAGCAGAAGTGCTGGAGGGGGGGCCCCCCGCCGGGGCCAAAGAAAGGGTACGGCTTTGCGGCTGCTGCTACCACCAGTGTGTTCGTGTGGGGAAGCAAATCCCGGAAGTTTCCATTTCCTTTATTCCCCCCGAAGGCACCTTCGAACTCATTTCTTACAGGCGAGCAGCAGCAGCAGCAGCAGCAGCAGCAGCAGCAGCAGCAGCAGCAGAAACGGCAGCAGCAGAGCAGCAGCAGCAGCAGCAGCAGCTTGAGTTGCTTGCTGCGGTGTTGGGGCGGGGCGGGGGTGGGGTGTGGGGCTGCGCGTGCGCTGCGGTGTACGTACACTGGGCGTGTGCAGTTTGCTGCTGCTGCTGCTGCTGCTGCTGCTGCTGCTGCTGCTGCTGCAGGTGCAAAGAAGACATCGAAGTGCCGATAAAAGTGTGTCCTTTCTTTTACGAAAAGAAAAAAGGACAGTTCGAATATTTGGTTTTTCTAAAAGCTCTTTATTCCGGAAATTTGACTGCGCGGAACATCGAGGTGCCTATACACCCCGCGGGGCTGGGGTGTACGTACACCTGGGGGGTCGCCGCGCGTCGAATTTTTCGCTTTTTTTTCCTTTTGACTTTATTTCGATTTTATTTTTCTTTTATTTCTTTATTTCGATTTTATTTTTCTTTTATTTCTTTATTTCGATTTTATTTTTGTTTTATTTGTTTGTTTTCCTTTTTCTTTCCAGGTTATTGTCCCAACTCCTCCGGAAGTTGCGGTCATGAACGTTCTGCAGTCTTCTTGGGGCAAAGCCCACTTCGACAATTCCCAGCTCGCAGTTATCTGGCGCCTTTCCCGGTGAGCTGCTGCTGCTGCTGCTGCTGCTGCTGCTGCAGTTGCTGTAGGCCTCTGGGGTGCTGCGGCCCGTCTTGCTGCTGCTGCAGCGGGCCCGCAGTTTCCCGCTGCTGCAGCAGCAGCAGCAGCCGCTGCAGCTGCGGGCTCTCGCCGCGCCGCGGGTCTCCCGCAGCGCCTCCACCGCTGCCGCTGCTGCTGCTGCTGCTGCTGCTGCTGCTGCTGCTGCTGCGCAGGTTCCCCGGGGGCTGCGAGTACGTGCTGCGTTTCCAGCTGGAAGTGGGGGGCCCCCCCTCGCCCGCGAGGGGCCCCCTGCGGCTTTCCTTTTCTTTGCCGGGGGCCACAGCCAGCGGCTTTTGCATTCGGCAGCTGCGAGTAATTGAAAAGTCCAATTATGTCGTTTCCAAAAGTGTTCGCTACCTCACGGAGGCGGGCCAGTACGAGCACCGCCTTTAGCTGCTGCTGCTGCTGCTGCTGCTGCTGCAGCAGCAGCAGCAGGAGCGGCGGCGGCAGCGGCTGTGGAGCTGTTGCTGCAGCTGCTGGAGCTGCTGCTGTAGCTGCTGCAGCAGCTGCTGCACGCGCTGCTGCTGTTAGGGCTGCTCGAGCTGGTGCTGCTGTTAGTGCTGCAGCTGCTGCAGCACTGCTGCAGCTGCTGCAGCACTGCTGCAGCTGCTGCAGCAGCTGCAGCAGCAGCTGCTGCAGCAGCTGCTGCTGAGGCGCCGCGGAGGCCGCGGAGTTTGCGGGGTGCAGAGAGTGCCAAGTTTTCTCTTTGGAACTCTTTTTAGCCCAAGTGGCTTTTTAGTGTTAGCTAAGAGACACAGCCACTACCTGTCGGTTTACTTGCTGCTGCAGCAGCAGCAGCTGCAGCAGCAGCAGCAGCAACTGCAGCAGCAGCAGCAGCATTTCTATGTGGGGGTAGTTAGGGCTCTGTGCGCAAGACAGCAAACTGGCCGTCGGCGCCAACAGAAAAGAAGCAGCTGCCTGCTGCTTCCGAAGTGCACAAGAAAGTAGAAGCAGACCCACCCTGCTGCTGCTGCTGCTGTTGCTGCTGCTGCTGCTGTGGCTGCTGCTGCTGCTGCAGCGGCGGGGGCGCCTCGCGGTGGAAGTGCAGTACGAACCGCCTGGGGGCTCTCCAGTCTTCCGCCACTACGCGGGGAGCTGCTGCAGCTGCTGCTGCTGCAGCTGCTGCTGCTGCTGCTGCTGCGGCGTGTGGGGCGGCCGCCGTGGGGCTCTGCTGCAGCTGCGGCTGGCGGTGCTGCAGCAGCGGCCCTGCAGCTTTCGGGTCCGACGAAGCCTCTGCTGCTGCCGTTGCTGCCGCTGCTGCTGCTGCTGCTGCTGCTGCGGGGCTTGTGCGTTTATTAAGAGAATAGATCAGCAGCAGCCGGCTGCGGGAAGCTGCCTGCAGGAAAGCGCGGACAGCTTCTGTCAGGCGGGGGATCTGGGGGCTGGAAGAAGCCATTCCTGCGTGGAAAGTGTCGGAAAAAGGCAATAAATGGAATTAAAATCAATTAATTTGATTAAAATTAATTAAAATTAATTAAAATGGATTAAAATGAACTAAAAAGGACCAAAAAACATCCAAAATGAATTAAATTCGACTTATGCGCCGGCGCGAGCGCGTTGGTTGAGCTGTCTGTACACCTCAGCTCGCGCAGCTTCGGGGAACTTCCCGTCCGTCACTTTTCGAAATAAATAAATAAAAGATTTTAATTAATTTAAATAAATCAAAATAATTAAATTAATTTAAATAATCAAAACATTTAAATGCATTTAAAGCAACTCCGATGATGCCGCCCAGCGCCTTCTCAAGCCAGCAGCCCCAGCAGCCCTTCCACAACTGCAGCAGCAGCCCTTTGCTGCTGCTGCTGCTGCTGCTGTCGCTGCTGCTGCTGCTGCTGCTGCCGCTGCTGCTGCTGCTGCTGCTGCTGCTGCTGCTGCAGTTAAGATAGCCCACCCAAGTCCAAGTCGTCAAAGACAGCAACGCGGCAGCTGCGCAGGGGGCCCTCAAAGAGGCGGGGCAGCGCAGCAGCAAAAGCTTCGAGTTGCTGCGGGGCAGCTACGGAGAAAATGTGGAGATTTCTGAAATAAAAAAAAGAATAAATTGAAATTAAATGACAATAAATGGACTTTCTTTCAATTGCGGAGAAAAGAAGAGAATAAATGAATAAAGTGGGAGAAAAAAGGAGCAAAAATGAAGCAAAATGACAAAATATCAAAATAAAATGCTGCTGCTGCTGCTGCTGCTGCTGCTGCTGCTGCTGCTGCTGCTGCTGCTGCCTCACGCAAAGCTTGCCTCCACAGCAGATTGCCCCAGCCCCAAACTCTGCAGCTTTTCGGGGACCTGCAGCAGCAAAACGCAGGCTGCTGCTTCGCGTTTTCACGCTGCAGCAGCAGCAAAAGCAGCAGCTAGCTGCCGGCTAGCTGCAGCTAGCTGCTGCAGGTAGCCACGGCTAGCCGCAGCTACAAGTCCGCAGCAGCTAGCTTCCAGCCAGGTGCAGCTAGCTGCAGCTAGCTGCAGCTAGCCAGTTAGCTAGCTGCAGCTAGCCAGCTAACCAGCTGCAGCTAGACACCTAGCCAGCTGCAGCTAGCCAGCTAGCTAGCTAGCTAGCTGCAGCTAGCCAGCCAGCTAGCTAGCTAGCCAGCTGCAGCTAGCCATCTAGCTAGCTGGCCAGCTAGCCAGCCAGCTAGCTAGCTAGCTAGCTAGCTAGCTAGCTGTGTGCGGGCTCACGCGGCTGCTGATTTGGTCTTTGAGGAAGTTTGGAGAAATGCCATCAGTGCCCAAAAGCAAAAGAGTTTCTTGGCCAAAACCTCCGGCGGTTTGCGGCAGCAAAAGCTCCGCGAGGAGTTGCTGGTGTACGTACACCGCAGGCCGCAGCAGCAGCGCAGCAGCAGCGCAGCAGCAGCAGCAGCGCAGCAGCAGCAGCAGCGCAGCAGCAGCAGCGCAGCAGCAGCAATTCGGGGTGGTTTTGCGTGTTTTTTGGCGCTTTTTTCGCGCAAATGAAGGAGTTTTTCGGGACAAAGAAGGGGAAATGGCAATTAATTGAATAAATGGATTTGTGCATGCAAAAAGGGACAAACTTTTCCTCTTTTTGAGATCTCAAAAGCCCACCGACAAAAACAAACTCTTGGCTGTCCCGGTGTCGCCGCGCACGCAGAGGAGGTCCCCGTGGCGCAGCCGCAGGCCTGCGGAGGGCGTTGCGCAAAGTGGAGAAAAGGCGGATTTTTGAGGGAAAAAAGGCGAAAAAGAGAAAAGTTTGAACTGCAGCAAAATATAAAATAAAAATAGTTTTAAAATGATCCATTTTGAGTCCAAAACGCCTTTATTTGGCCAAGAAAGAGCCCGGAAGAGCCCCGAGGCTTACCGCCCGTGGCCCAGCGCAGCAGCGGGTGGGAGAACTCGTAGCTCAAGCTTTCCAGCAGCCAGTCGCCCACATTTCCGTCAACCCAACTCGAAAACTCCTCCGTATTTCTCATTTATTCCAAAAGAATTAAACTGGCGGCACTTTTATCCCCGGATTCGGTTCCGCGGCGTCGCGCGGAGCGCTGCGGTGTCTGGACACCTCAGCGCGCCGGCCGGAACGCCCGAACCCCCAGCAGCTCCGGCGATGCCACAAAAGAAATTAAATCAAACAAAACAGTTTTACTTTTCATTTTTATTTAAATAAAACTGCATTTGAGGGACTTCGCGGCAAAAACGGGTCTGGGAATCGATGGGGCCCCCTTTGGCGCGGGGGGCCCCCCGCCCGGCTGCCAGCAGTCGGCTGCGGGCGAAACGGCGGACTCTGCGGCAATTTCCTCTTTTTAATTTATTTAATAAATCATTTTTAAAAATAATTTTTTATTTAATTTTAATTTTAAAGTTTAATGCAATAAAACAGCCGCGGGCGGCCTGCTTTGCAGCCGCTGGTCAAAACTGCTCGTTACCCACGCCCCGATTCAGCCAGCCTTGCTGCTGCTGCTGCTGCTGCTGCTGCTGCTGCTGCTGCTGCTGCTATGTCTGCTATCAGCATAAGCATAAAAGCGGAAAAGACCTTCTTTTTGAGTTCGAAGGACAAGGCCCTGCTGCAGTTGCTGCTGCAGGCCGAACTCCCTGCTGCAGCTGCTGCTGTAGCTGCTGCTGATGCTGCAGCTGCTGCAGCAGAAAAAACAAAGCCCTGTTGGTGCTGCTGCTGCTGCTGCAGCAGCTGCAGCAGGGCTTTGTTCTTCGACTGCGCGCTGGCTCTGGGCCAAAAGGCAGCAAATCTCCTGACATATTTTTGGCCCGCCTTAGCAGCTAGTGAGCCGCGCTATCTGCTGCTGCAGCAGCTCTGCTGCTGCTGCAGCAGCTCTGCTGCAGCAGCTCTGCTGCTGCGCTGCTGCAGTTCTGCTGCAGCTGCTCTGCTGCCGCTTTTCTGCAGTTTTGCTGCAGCGCCAGGACCCCCTAAAGGATAAGGTTTCTTCATCTGGCCCATCTCTTTGCTGCTGCTGCCGCTGCTGCTGCCGCTGCTGCTGCTGCTGCTGCTGATGCTGCTGCTGCTGCTGTTGGGCTGCCTTTGAATGGAGGCAAAGCCCTCGAGGGTAGCGGCAGAGCAGGGACTGGCCGCAACCGGGCAACAGCAGCAGCAGCAACAGCAGCAGCAGCAGCAGCAGCAGCAGCAGGCTCCTCTTACTTGCTGCTGTTTTGCTGCTCGACCTGAGGCGTGCAGCGCAGCAGCTGCTGCAGACTAAATTTGTGTCCTCCTTATCTTTCTTCCTTATGCTTGCAAAAGTGCATGCAAAGTGCATGCAAAAGTGCATGCAAAATGCATGCAAAAGTGCATGCAAAATGCATGCAAAAGTGCATGCAAAATGCATGCAAAAGTGCATGCAAAATGCATGCAAAATGCATGCAAAATGCATGCAAAATGCATGCAAAAGTGCATGCAAAATGCATGCAAAATGCATGCACTGAATCCAATTGACGCAAAACTCCAAAAGCCCATCTAGAACGCCGGGTCAGCAGACGCCGCATGCACCTGCAGCAGCAGCAGCAGCAGCAGCTGCTGCTGCTGCTACTGCTGCTGCTGCTGCTACTGCTGCTGCTGCTGCTACTGCTGCTGCTGCTGTTGCTGCTGCTACTGCTGCTGCTGCTGCTGCTGCTGCAACGGTTTAGCCCAAGCCAAGCCCGAACGAGCAGCAAGACAGGCTGCAGCACCGGCCCCTGCGTAGACTTCGTTTTTAATTATTTTTTAAAAAACAAAAAACTAATTAATTATTTTTAAATAAAATTTTAATTATTATTTTTAAATAAAATGCTATTTAATTATTTTCGTTTTTAAATAAAATGCTCCAGAGTTTTCCTCCAAAGCTGCGGGCAATTTGCTGCTTCCCCATGTGCCCCCAAGCGGCCCAAATGCTGCTTCCATAAACCCTCATTTAGGGTTTAGTAAACCCTAATGAGGGGTTTAGTAAACCCTCAGGAGGGGTTTTGTAAACCCTCATGGGGGGACTTTAACAAACCCTCATCAGGGGCTTTAATAAACCCTCATGAGGGGTCTAATAAACCCTCATGGGGGCCCTTAATAAACCCTCATTCGGGGTTTGGTAAACCCTCATTTGGGGTTTGATAAACCTTCGTGAGGGACTCAATAAACCCTCATGAAGGGTCTAATAAACCCTCACGAGGGCTTTCAATAAACCCTCATTCGGGGTTTAATAAACCCTCATGAGGTGCATTAATAAGACCCTCATGAGGGGTTTAATAAACCCTCGTGAGGGGTTTTATAAGCCCCCATAAGGGAGACTAATAAACCCTCATGAGGGGCTTTAATAAACCCTCATGAGGGACTTTAATAAACCCTCATGAGGGGTTTAGTAAACCCTCGTGAGTGGATCGGTAAACCCTGATGAGAAGTTCAATAAACCCTCATGAGGGGTTTAATAAACCCTCATAAGGGGTTTAATAAACCCTCATAAGGGGTCTAATAAACCCTCATAAGGGGTTTAATAAACCCTCGTACGGGGTTTAATAAACCCTCATAAGGGGTTTAATAAACCTCTCAAACTCCTCCGTCATATCTGTGAATTCAACTTCCTCCCTCTGGGGTGTACGTACACCCCAGTGGCCCCACAGTCACCCAGTCTTCTTCAGTCTTTCGGCTCTGAATTAAAATAAAACAAAATAAATGTTTTTGTGATTTGAGACTTTGCTGCTGCTGCTGCTGCTGCTGCTGCAAAAGGAACCTTTTACCCAGCAGCAGCAAGTGACTTTAGACTCAGTGGCTGCTTCCTTAGGCCACAAACAGCGCCAAAGAAGCACGGTAACAGCAGCAGCAGCAGCAGCAGCTGCTGCTGCTGCAGCAGCAACAGCAGCAGCAGCAGCAAGGGAACAGCGGCAACAGCAACAGCAACAGCAGCAAAAGAAACAAGCGACAATAACCGCAAGAGGAACAGTGACAGTAACAGGAACAGAAACAGCAGCAGCAGCAGCAGCTGCTGCTGCAGCAACTGCTGCTGCTGCAGCTGATGCTGCTGCTGCTGCAGCTGCTGCAGCTGCTGCTGCTGCTGCAGTTCTGACTCACAGGATCCGCTGGACTTCTGCGTCTGCTGTCGGCATAACGCGGACGCCCCCAACCACTGGTGACCTGAAAATAAAAAAGAAAAAAGAAAATAAAATTAAATTCCATTTCTGAATAATTTTGGAAAAGAAATTTAAATTAAATTTCATTTAAATTCAATTTTATTTCCCCAGAACATAAATGCAAATTCAATTCCTTTTTTCTCCGAAAAAATCAAATAGAAATTCAACGCCTCTCCCCAGAGGCAGCAACAGCAGCAGCAACAGCAGCAGCAAAAGCAGCAGCAACAGCAACAGCAACAGCAGCAGCAACAGCAACAGCAACGGCAACAGCAGCAGCAGCAGCAACAGCAGCAGCAGCAGCAGCAGCAGCAGCAAAAACGGCAGCAACAGGCTGCGGGCTGCGGTCGCTTACGCCCCTGCGCCGGGCGGGCCACCGTAAGGCCTTGGAGAAGAGCCTGCTGCTGCTGCTGCTCCTGCTGCTGCTGCTGCTGCTGCTGCTGCTGCTGCTGCTGGGCTTCCGCCAGCCCCCACTGTGCCGCTTCCTTCATAGACAGGAGCTGGCTGGGTATTCAGCTTTCGCCCTCTGCAGACAAAAGCCTTTTAAATTTGCTGCTGCTGCTATTTAATTAAATTAAAATTAAATTGAATTAAATTAAATTAAATTAAATTAAATTAAATTAACAGAATTAAATTAAAATTGAAACAACAGCATGCATGCAAGGCTCTGCAGCTGCAGCAAACTCTTACGCGTCAGCAGCAAGAGCAGCAAGCCCCGAGAGTGGAATGCTGCAGCAAAAGCAGCAGCAGCAGCAGCAGCAGCAGCAGCAGCAGCGCATGCAAAGTGAGCAGAAGCCCCGCAGCAGAACTGTTTGAATTAATAAAAGTTGAACTAAAGTTGAATTAAAAGTTAAATTTAAATTAAAACAAATGCTGAATTAAAAAGAAATCAAAAAGAATGAAAACGAGCAGCTAATGGCATGGTGCAAAGACAGCAGCAAACTGCTCGGCTTCAGGTGTCTGTACACCCCAAGTGCACGTACACCGGCCGCGGCGAACGGGGAGCTTCCCCGTCACTTTTGTTTTTTGGATCTGCTGCAGCTTCTGGGGGCGCAGCAGCAGCAGCAGCAGCAGCAGCAGCAGCAGCAGCAGCAGCCTCGGGGGCAGTTCCCTCGGGCTGGGGCGGCTGTGGGGCGAGTTCTGGGGCCCCCATTGCGGTGTACGTACACCCCAAGAGTCCCGCGGCTCCCCAAACGCCCCAGAGCCTCCCCTGAAGACAGCAGCAAAGGCAAGGCCAAGGGGGGCCCCCGGGGGCCCTCAAAACGGAGAAAAGGAGTTCCAAATGGCACTAAATGGCACTTAAAAGGGACCTTTTGCTGCAGCTGCACACACAGAAAGCTGCACTGAGGGGCCCCTGGCTTCACCGCCCACTTGGCTGGTGTGCAGAGCCCGAGGGGCCCGCGGGGCCAAAGCTGGGCAGTTTGGCTTCGCCGCGAGAAGCTGCAGCAGCAGCAGCAGCAGCAGCAGCAGCAGCAGCAGGGGGGCGATCTGCAGCCTCTGGGCGCGCCGAAGAGCCCTTTTGCCTTTCAATTAACTCCGTTTTGGTTTTAATTCAATTAAGAAGAAAAAAAGAAACTTAATCGCGGAGAAGAAGCCGCGAATCGCGCGCCGGCTCGATGGCTAGCAGGTGTGCCGCTGCGGGCCCCGGGAAAGCCCGCGGGTTTCCCGCGGATCTTCCAGCAGTGCAACTCCAAAAAGTGAATTCAAACTTCTTTTAATTTGCATTTAATAAAAGTGTTTGCATTCAAATTGAACTGGAGCCCGCCGCGCCTCCGCAAAGCTCCCTGTACACCCGAAGACCACCGGTGAAACGCTGGTCTTGCGGGTGTGGCGGAGGCTGCAGCAGCGGCTGGGCGGCGGGCTAAAGAGTTGAATTTTGAATTAATTTTAATTCCCAACTCTGCATTTGAATTCCTTTTTGAGTTTCTGAAACGCAAAAAGAAATTCAGAGGAATTCAGCGAGAATTGCCGGGCTGTGTTTCGTGCACTGCTCGCTGCGCCACACTGAGCGCCCCCAGTTGCGTGTCTGCCCAGCTGAAAAGGGGGAAAACTTGAAAGAATTTTCGCCAATTAAATTCATTTAATTCTTTTATTTATTTATTTATTTGCTGCGGGCCGCGAGAGAGAGCTGCAGCAGCAATTAGCAGCGCAGCAGACGCAAATTCCAGAAAGTTGAACTTGAATTTGCTTCTGCGCGAATCGGAGTAAACGAGCCGCGCATCTGAGACGCATTTGCACGTTCTTTTGGCCTTTTTGCATTTTATTTCATTTTATTTTCATTTTATTTCATTTTATTTTCATTTTATTTCATTTTATTTTCATTTTATTTCTTTTTTTTTCATTTTATTTCCGTTTTATTTTCGTTTTTTGCTTTCTCGAAGCCACAATTCAAGTTTGAGATGAAAGACCCCGGCGGCTGTTTTTGCCGCATGCGCCTTTGACTTGTTCAGATCGGCGAAGTAGAAGAACTTAGAACAAATAGATAAACAAAATGTAATAATAATAATAATGATAATAATAATAATAATAATAATAATAATAATAATAATAATAATATTAATATTAATAATGATAATAATAATAATAACAATAATAATAATAATAATAGCAATAATAATAACAAATAATAATACAATAAAAATAATAATAATAATAAATAATAATAATAATGCACTAGTAATAATAATAATAACAAATAGTGATACAATAATAATAATAGCAAAATAATATAATAATAATAATAATAATAAATGATAATAATAATACTTATAATAATAATAATTAATAATAATAATAAATAATAATAATAATAGTTTCTTAAGTATCCACCTTTGGAAGCATCATTTGTTGCGGCTGCTGCTCGTTTTGAGTTCAATTATAATTCCATTTAATTACTTTTATTTTACTTTATTTACTTTTATTTTATTTTAATTTTGATTACCTCTATTTTACTTCAATTATAATTGCTTCTATTTTAGTTCATCAGTTTAATTTTATTTACTTTATTTTGTTTGAATTTTAAATGCTGTTATTTTAGTTGAATTTAAATTACTTTTGTTTTAGTTCGAATTTTAATGTCTTTTATTTCACTTCAATTTAAATTACTTACATTTAATTCAATTATAATTGCTTTTATTTTTGTTCAATTACAATTACTTTTACTTTATTTTAATCTTAATTACTTTTATTTTAATTTAAATCACTTTTATTTTTATTTCAAAATATTCCCTAATTGGAAATAAAGCATTCATAAATAATACTTGAAAAATAAATATTTAAAAAGAGAATTTAAAATTTTAAATGTTGCTAAAAAACAATTTAAATTTTAAATTCTTTTTTTATATCACAACTTTGAAAAGGTGGATTTTTATTTTCCGAAAGAAGAAATTAAAAGCCCCCGAGTCCCGGATTAATTACAAAGAATAAAAAAAGAAAATAAGAAAGAAATGGATCTTTTTAAACTTCTAAAAACTCCATTTCCTGTCAAACTCTTTCATAAAAAGAAGGAAAATAAGAAAGAAATGGACCTTTTTGAATTTCCAAAAACTCCATTTCAGGCAAAACTAAAAACTGAGAAATTCCAAAAAGTTTTTTAAACTCAAAAGGGCTCCCGACTTGAAATGAAAAAGTGTTTTTTAGGACTTTTGAAAAGCCTTTTTGGACTTTTATGAACGCAAATTAGTTCTTTTTTTTGTTGCTATTGAGGCTTTAACGGAGTGCCAATAAAGGCCCGTTCTGGTGAAGACTTTGAGGCAAATTTATTCTTTTTTTTGCATTTAAAAACATTTAAAATGCAAAAAGTGAATTTTAAAATATTTATTTGCTGCTGCAGCGCAGCCAGAGAGGCCGCTGGGCCTCTGGCTCGCAAGCCATTATTGTGTCCGTGGCAAAAAGCCAAAAGAGCTTTTTGAGTTTTTAGAATGCAAGTGCCATTAAACTAAAAAAAAGAAAGAGTCCAGCGCCCCCTCTGCGTTGCTGAGCTTCTAAAAAGACAGAAACAAAAACAATTCATTTAATTCATTTAATTCATTTAAATGCATCTTTTCATGCGGCTAACTGCGAAAGTAAAGAAAGCAAGAAGAGTATGCGCTAGCCCGCGGAGTCCGGGCTGCGAAATGTTAATTAAAATGAACTAAAAGTGGAATAAAAATAAAAATAAAAATAAAAATAAAAATGATATTTGAATGAGGCTGGAGAACTTCCAGTTTCTGAATTGTCAGTGCAGCTTCGGGTGTACGCACAGACCCCACTGCGCAGCCGGCAGCCCGCGCTGACAGAGAATTGCGCAGTTTTCTCGAAAAGAATAAAACAAAATGAAATATATTATTTTAAATTTGAAAAAGAACAAAATAAATAAAATAGATTACTTTAAATTTGCAGAGATTCCCCGGACTTGGAGGGTCGGATCGCGGGAAGTGCGCATGCAGCTGTCTGCGTGGGACTTTGCCGGCGCCGCCAGCCACTGGCGGAGAGGCCAGAAGTTCTTCTTTTAATTCTTTTGGTGTTTGAAATAACATTTGTGAACGTGAAATAACATTTGTGAACGCAAAAGTCCAAATTCGGCGAAGTTTCCACTTCAGCAGCTTCGGAGCAGCAAAAGATTCGGCTGTCTGGACAGCCGTCGCGGCGGCGCAGCTGCACACTTGGGCGGCTGTCGAGCAGCAAAACATTTTTTTGAACTTTTCAGAAGAAGCGGAGTTCTTATTTCCTTCTTCGCAGCCACAGAAAGCCGGGACTCTCTCCCGGGGCTGCTGCTGCTGCTGCTGCTGCTGCTGCTGCTGCTGCTGCTGCTGCTGCTGCTGAGATGGCGCAAGACACGGCGAGCGCAATTCTGAAGGACGAGGAGGCGCTGGGCCTTCGGGAGGAAAAGAAGACAGCGGACTTCTCCTCTCAGGCGGATGCGCTCATCCAACGCGTGGAGCAGGCCCGCGAGGTAGGCCCTGCTGCTGCTGCTGCTGCTGCTGCTGCTGCTGCTGTGCTGCTGCTGCTGTGCTGCTGCTGTGCTGCTGCTGCTGCTGCTGCTGTGCTGCTGCTGCTGTGCTGCTGCTGCTGCTGCTGCTGCTGCTGTGCTGCTGCTGCAGCTGCTCCCCGCTCCCCTCCCCTCCCTCCCGCTGCTGCTGCTGCTGCTGCTGCTGCTGCTGGTGACCAGTGGTCTTCCTGCTTCTGCTGCTGCAGGCCGGGGGCCTGGCAGCTGCTGCTGCTTTCGGGGAAGAGCTGTTGGCTTTGGAGAAGAAGTGCCGCCAAGCCCAAGACGGCCCCAGCAGCGCCCGCGTCTGCGAGGCTTACCTGCGGACTTTGGTGTCAGTGAAGGGCCCTGGGGGGGAGCTGCGGCTGGACCCCTCTGCGGAGCTGCTGGTGGACCCCCTGGCCCTCAGCCCCGGCCCCAGCCCCCTGCTGCAGCAGCAGCAGCAGCAGCAGCAGCAGCAGCAGCAGCAGCAGCAGCAGCAGCAGGAGCTGCTGCAGCAGCCGCCCGCGGGGTGGTGCGTGGCCTTCGCCCCCGGCTGCGGGCTGGGCGGCCTCGCCCGCGAGGCCGCCGCGCTGCTGCGGCGCCGCGGGCAGCTAAAGAGGGCCGTTGCTGCAGTGCTGCGGCTTTGCATGCAGCTGCTGCGCTTTCTGCAGCAGCAGCAAAGACTGGAGCTCATTGAGGCTCTCAAGGCCGCCACCGAGGGCAAGGTGAGGCCTGCATGCATGCAGAATGCATGCACAAGTGCATGCAAAAGTGTGCATGCATGCATGCATGCATGGTGCATGCAGGCATGGTGCATGCATGCAGGCAGGTGTGCAGGTGTGCATGCATGCATGCAAGACGTCCAGGCGGGACAAAGTCCTGCTGCTGCTGCTGCTGCTGCTGCTGCTGCTGCTGCTGCTGCTGCTGCATGCATGCATGGAGTTGTGTTGCGTGCAGATATTTGTGGAAGTCGAGCGGGCGCGGCTGATTTTGTTGGCGGCGCTGATGCAGGAAAAGGCCGGCAATGTCGAAGAGGCCGCGCGCATGCTGCAGGACGTCCAGGTGCCACAAACTGCTGCTGCTGCTGCTGCTGCTGCTGCAGCTGGTGTTGCTGCTGCTGCTGCTGCAGGAGCTGGTGTTGCTGCTGCTGCTGCTGCTGCAGGAGCTGGTGTTGTTGTTGTTGCTGCTGCTGCTGCTTCTGGAGCTGCTGCTGCTACTGCTGCTGCTGCTGCTGCTGGAGCTGGTGTTGCTGCTGCTGCTGCTGCTGCTGCTGCAGGTGGAGACTTTCGGAGCGATGGAGCGGGAGGAAAAGACGAAGTACATTCTGAAGCAAATGATGCTGCTGCTGCAGCAGTCGGACTTCATCCGCTGCCAGATCGTCAGCAAGAAGCTGAGTCCGAAGCTGCTGGAGGCGCCGGACTTGCAAACTTTAAAAGTCAAATATTACGAACTTATGATCTTTTATTATTTGCACGAAGAAGCACTTCTTGATGTTGCGAAATGTTTTGGCCACATTTACAACACGCAGATCGTCCGCGACGACTCCGCGCGCACGAACGAGGTGTACATACACCCGAAATCCGTGCAGAACAGATCCTTCAAAACCGTTTTTCTTCCGTTTTGCAATTTAAAACTGTCTTTTCTTTTCTTTTATTTCTAAATATTGTTTTTTTTTGTTTTTTTATTTCAAAAATGTCTTTATTTTCTCGTAATCGGCTGCTTTCCGCTTCCTCTGCAGTGCCTCGAGTTCTTCAGCATCTTCATGGTCCTCGCGCCCTTCGACTCCGAAGCCCAAGAGCTCATTTCCAAAACCCTAAAAGAAGGTTCTGCTGCTGCTGCTGCTGCTGCTGCTGCTGCTGCTGCTGCTGCTGCTGCTGCTGCTGCTGCTGTTTGGATTGCTGCTGCAGTTGATTGATTGAGTTGCAAGTTTGCTGCTTGGGTGCTGCAGAGATCAAGAAGCTGCAGCAGCTGCCGACCTTCGAGTGAGTTCATTTTGCTGATTTGAAGTTTTTGATTTTTTTTAATTTTGCATTAAATGGATTTATCACTTTCAACTTGCTGCAGTTTTCTCTGTCTTCTTTTGCAGACTTTTTCTTGTGAAATCCCACAGAGTGGCTCTTGCCCGCAGCAGAGCAACTGCTGCTGCTGCCGCTGCTGCTGCTGCTGCTGCTGCTGCTGCTGCTGCAGCAGGCGTGTGTGTGGCTTTGCTGCTTGCTGCAGGCAGCTGCTGCGGGACTTGTCGGGAGAAGAACTTCTGTCTTGGCCTTTGCCTTATGATGCAGATTTGCATTTGCATGCAGCTTTTGGCGAAGACAAGTTCCCGGGGTGCGGCACTTGGGGTGTACGTACACCCCAGCGCCGCGCGCGCTGGGGGCCTGCTGCTGCCGCCGTCACTTTTGTTCTTTTCGCGTTTCTTGCATGCATTTGTTCTCCACTTTTTCCAAAAGATTTTCTTTTGCTGCTGCTCTTCCTTCTTTGTTGCTGCAGAGGAGAGAAGAGGTGGACGCTGCTGCGCAAACGCGTAATCCAGCATGTGAGCAGCAGCAGCTGCAGCAGCAGCAGCAGCAGCAGCAGCAGCAGCAGTAGCAGCAGCGCGTAGTGCTTCCCTGGCCCCACAGAATTGAAGTTAATTGGTTTCTAGCAACTTTGGCAGCTGCTTAAGCAGCTAGTGGGGCCCCTGTGGCAGCAAAAAGGACCTTGTGGGGTTTGCTGCTGCTTGCCTTGTGGGATTTGCTGCTGCTGCTTGCCTTGTGGGGTTTGCTGCTGCTGCTTGCCTTGTGGGGTTTGCTGCTGCTGCTCGCCTTGTGGGGTTTGCTGCTGCTGCTTGCCTTGTGGGATTTGCTGCTGCTGCTTGCCTTGTGGGGTTTGCTGCTGCTGCTCGCAGAACCTCCGAGTGTTGTGCGCAAACTACAGTGTCATTCATTTGGGGCGCGTGGCTTCGCTGCTGGGGATTCCCGAAGAGGTCCGTTTGCTGCTGCTGCGCTGCAGCTCCTTTTGCTGCAGTTGGGCGCTTTTGCTGCAGCAGCGCGGTGTCTGTACACCTCAGCGCCGCGGCGCTGCTGCTGCTGCGCTGCTGCTGCTGCGCTGCAGCGCCCCGTGCTGCAGTTGGGCGCTTTTTGCTGAGGAGGGCGCAGAACTGCGCAGCGCCTGACAGCCGCGCCTGCTGCTGCTGCTGCTGCTGCTGCTGCTGCTGCTGCTGCAGGAAGCAGAGGCGGAGCTGTCGGAGCTGGCCAGCGCGGGAGTGCTGGATGCGAAGATAGACCGGCCGGCAAGAACTGTGGCATTTGGAAAGCCCAAAACAGATTTAGTAGTTTTAGAAGAATGGTCTTCTGCGTTGTCGAAGTGAGCGGCGGCGCGCGCGAGCTGTCGATACACCTGGCGCCGCGCGGCGAGCTGCCTATACACCTGAAGCCGCGCGGCGAGGTGTCTGTACACCTGAAGGCGGGGTCGCTCCCCTGCACTTCTGGCGGCCCTTTCTGCACTTAAAGTGCTCCATTAATTGTTTTATTTTGCATTTAAATGTATTATTAATTGTTTTGTTTTGCTTTTTGTGGCTGCTTTCCAGGCTGCTGGACAAAGTGGACCTCTGCTGCCACATGATTCAAAAAGAACGCATGGTGCATGCAGCGCGGGCAAAGGCAGCAGCAGCAAACGCGCGAATGGCTTCTTGAACTTTGCACTTTTTGGATCTTTTCCAAGTTCAAAACATTCAAAGAAGTCTCCAGAGACTTCGAAAATAATTCAACTTTTATTCTTTCTGAATTCTCTCCAAATATTTTTCCGCTTTTGTTCTTATCTCGCATTCCACTTTTTGTGAAGTTCTCTCGAGGACTTTCCAAAGCTTAATGGATTTGCTCGGGCGGCATCCACTGAGCAAGAATCGCCTGCTGCTGTTGCTGCTGCTGCAGCATTGCTGCTGCTGCAGCATTCCTGCTGCTGCAGCATTCCTGCTGCTGCAGCATTGCTGCTGCTGCAGCATTCCTGCTGCTGCAGCATGGCTGCTGCGGCTGCAGCAGCTGCTTCTGCTGCTGCTGCAGCAGCGTTTCTGCTGCTTCTGCAGCTGATGCTTCTGCTGCTGCTGCTGCTGCGACATCTGCAGCAGCTGGAAAAGCTTCCTCAGCAGCAGCAGAATTCAAATTCTCTTTTTCTTTCTCTGCAGTTCCGAACTGAGTTTGCTCAGTTAGCAGCAGCTCTTTTCTAGTTATTAAAATGGTAAAGTTATTTTCGAAAAAAAATTTATTTTTCTGTCTTGCGAAAGTCTTGAGGAGCTGCAGCGCTGCAGCCAGCCATTTGCTGCAGTGCTGCAGCAGAATAAGCAGCAGCAAATGAGAGCAGCAACTTGGCAGTTTGGCAGCAGCAGCAGCAGAAGCAGCTGGGGCAGCAACAGCAGCAAATAAGAGCAGCAGTTTGGCAGCAGCAGCAGCAGAAAAAGTGGCAGACGCAGCATTAGCAGCAAATGGGAACAGCAATTTGGCAGTTTGGCAGCAGCAGCAGCAGCAACAACAGCAGCAGCAGCAGCAGAATAAGTGGGTGGAGCAGCATTAGCAGCAAATAAAAGCAGCAATTTTGCAGCAGCAGAATAGCCAGGATCTTTTGCTGCTTTTGCTGAAATGAAGTAAAAATGAAAAGAAGAAGAAATGGACTTTTGTCTTTTTTTAAAAAGATAAAAGAATAAAAGTTCTTCATAATTAACGAGCCCTCTCTGCTGCTTCATCAAATGTTATTTTTTGTTCTTTTTATTATTTGTTCTTACTTTTTTATTTTGGTAAATACTTTATGCAAGGACCTCTGGCGAATTTTCTTTTTTTCTTTTTTTATCTTTTGTTTTGATTTGCACTATTTTGATAAATGCTTTCTGTAATTATCTCTGGCGAATATTCTTTTGATTTTTTTGACATTATTTGATTTTAATTGAAGTTATTTGTTTTATTTTGATAAACAATTTATGCAAACTGCATGCAAACTCCCCCCTTTAGCCCAAACGCAGGAAATGGCTGAGTAAAGCCTTTAAGGATTTTGCCAGAACATTTTCTGTATGTAAGCAGTTCGGGTTTTAATTTTATTGTTGAAGAAAAGTATTCAACTTTGCATGCAAATGAAGTTAAACTTTAACTACTGATGAGGACAAATATTCAAATTTGTTTTAATTTAATTGTTGAAGAAAAGTAGTCAACTTTGCATGCAGATGAAGTTAAACTTTAACTACTGAGGACAAACATTCAAATTTGTTTTAATTGTTGAAGAAAGGTATTCAACTTTGCGTGCAAATGAAGTTAAACCTGAACTGCTGAGGATAAATATTCAAATTTGTTTTAATTTAATTGTTAAAGAAAAGTATTCAACTTTGCATGCAGATGAAGTTAAACTTGAACTGCTGAGGACAAACATTCAACTTTGCATGCAGATGATGCCAAACTTGAATACTGAAGACACAAATTCAAATTGCATGCAGAAAGCTCTGCTTTCATATGATGCCAACTTGCTGGAGAATCTTCTTTGAGTATTACTTCAATTATTAAAGAAGAGTTCTCAAATTTGCATGCAGATGATGCCAAATTATTGAAGGATCTTGGCTGAGTGTTACTTGAATTGCTGCAGACAAATGTTCAAATTTGCATGCAAGATTTTTTTTCTCATGATGGCAAACTATTGAAGAATCTTTGCTGATTGTTACTTGAATTGCGAAAGACGAAAAATATTCAAGTTTGCATGCAGAAAGCTCCGGCGTTTCGCTGCGAATTCACACTGCGTCTTGCTGTTTCGCATGAAGATAAACTTCTGAAGAGTCTTTGCCGAGTATTAATTTAATTACTAAAGACAAATATATTCACATTTGCATGCAGAAAGCTGTTGAAGAATCTCCACTGAGTCTGCAGGCATTTGCTGCGGTGCGCTCTGCTGCTGCAGAAAACATGAATGGCAAGTGTGTCTGCTCGAGCATTCAGACTTGGCCATTTTTCAGCAATAAACGAGAATTGTCTCAGAGCTTGTCTTGATCTGCATGCACTGCATGCATATGTGCTTCTCTTTTTATGAATAGACTTTGATATTCCTTTTTTCTGCAACGAATGGCCGTCAATTCGCTCTTGAAACTGCGAGTTTGCCGGACACCTCGCAGCCAACACTGGGATCTCCTCTCAAAGACTCTCCCTGGATTTCAATGTGAGTTGTGTTGTTATAAAAATAATTCAATAATTCACCGGAAAGCTTCATTTGGGGAGTCCTATTCCGGAAACAACGCAGGCGGCGCTTGACCCTCGCGTGACCCCCGGCCACCGCATGCACAGCAAGCCTCCGTGCAGAACTTCAATATTACTTCCCTATAATGTGAAAAAAATTGCAATTTGATTGTTATTGTATTTTAGACTCTGTTTTGGGTGACATGTGGAGGGAAAAAGCGAAGGAAACGCCCGCACTGCTGCCCGCCAGGGGGGTCCTGCCCGCCGCGGCTACATCACTGAGGAATGCATGACTACACAGCCCTTTTGACTCCAAATATTCTCGTGTCACTTCTCAGTTTCGCTGGGACTAAGGTCTTCGAGTGCAATTCGCAGTCATTTGTGCTGATCAGCGGCCAGCTGCGTTGCTTCAGCCCCCACCCGAGGTGACTGAGAGCTTCTGGAGCGGCAACTTATGGCTTTTCCCGGAGAACAGCAGCTGCACTAACTTTTTCGCATACCTTAGAGTCTGAGTGGCGGCAAAATGGCTCTTCGGGGGGCTGGGGAGGAGGGCAGCAGCAAAAGCCCAGCCATGGATGTCTGCTACGCAGCAGGTCCCACCGATGACCGCGAGTACAGCGGCTGCTGCTGCTGCCACTGTTCGTGTTCCTGCTGCTGCAGCGGCCGCGGGGGCGGCTGCGGAAGAGCAGCGCGAGCAGTTTGTGCTGCAGAGCGCACCGGAAGCAGCAGCAGCAGCAGCAGCAGCAGCAGCAACCACTCGCGTTTCTGCAGCGAAGCTGCAACGGCTGCGAGTTCTGTGCACGGAGCCGCCGATCTGCACAGATCAGCTTCGAGGGAGCCGCCGCAGAGCCCGCAGCAGCAGGCGAAAGCGCTCGACGCCACGCAGTCCACAACAGCAGCAACGAGCTGCAGCCAAAACTCGCCTTCTCGCGAGTCCGAAGACGCAGCAGCAAACGAGGCTGCAGCTTCCCGCAGTTTCCGCGGAGGCTGCGGCGCTCCCAACTGCTTTCTGGCCAACTCCATCCGGCCCAAACGCCTCTGCATCTGCATGGTTTCCGATTTCTTCTTTCCTTCGCTCGGAGGCGTTGAAATGCACATTTACGAACTCTCCGTCCGCCTCGCCAGAAAAGGTGCGATCTTGACTCGGTTTCCACTCTGTGGCCAGCGCGGGACTTTCCTCAGCAGCTTCGCTGCGTCTTTGGCTTTATTCCGTTTATTTTCTTTATTTCTTCGGCTTTATTCCGTTTTATTTTCTTTATTTCGTGCAAACAAAGTGGAAGATCCCGTGGGTTTCGCGCTGCTGCAGCTGTTCAGACGCGCGCCTCTTGCTGGCCATTTTGAATTCTCTCGCTGTGATCTTCCTCAGGATTCAAAGTCGTTGTAGTGACGCATGCAATAGACGGGCGCCACGGAATTCGATATTTGACTGAGGGAATAAAAGTGTATTACCTGCCGATCACTTGCTTTCATGACAGGAGCACCTTGGTCACCTTCTTCACCACTCTTCCCCTGATCAGGTTCGTCCTGCTGGGAAAAGTCACTTTTTCGTTGAAAATAGATATTTTTCTAGCTTTGAAAATCGCCCCAAGTCAAACTAGAAGTGAATCTCTTCGAAAAAATATGCATTCATGCCTTCAAATGTTCAATTTGAAAGTTGCTCAACAGTTCTTCACTGCTTGTTTGGCACTTAGCGATTTAGTGCTTCCTAGTGCTGCTGCAGCTACCGCGCAGCAAACGCAGCAATATAAGAAAGTGGAAACTTTGAGACACCTCTAGAGGCAGCAGCAGCTGCACTGTTGTCGCAGTCCTGTTGCAGTGCTGCGCTGGCTGCTTCAGGACAGTTTTAATTCGTGAAAAAGTGGATATTGTTCACGGCCACCAAACCACGAGCACTCTAGCTCACGAGTCCATGTTCCACGCCCGGCATCTGGGGTATCGCGTGAGTGTTGCGCAGTGCAGCACAAGCAACCGAACAGGCCACGCACAAGCCAGCAGCACAGAAAAGGGGCTCCATAGCAGCAAAAATGAACTGTTTCTCTCCACCTTTCTTCTGTTTTTAGGCTGAGCAGGGCTTTCTGCCTCTATTTTCGCTATATTTGCACTTTAAAAGGCAATGCTTTTGTTCACTCTTGCGAGCGGTGTGCTGGGCGCTGTCTTTGTGATCAGGTGGTTTACACGGACCACTCCATGTTCAGTTTTGCAGATGCTGCATGCATCCACATGAACAAGATTTTTAAGTTCTTTTTAACGCACTGCGACCACTGCATTTGTGTGTCTCACACACACAAGGAAAACCTTGTGCTGAGAGGAGCTTTGAATCCTCACCAGATCGCCGTCATCAACAACGCAGTGGTCAGTGGCTTTGAGAAGGACTTCACGCCGACAGCCATTGAAGCAGAGAGCTTAACATCAGCAGCAGAATATGCATGCGGGGATCTGTAGGCAGTCATAGAGTGACTTGGCAGTGGTTTTGTTGTCCTTTCTTGCAGGACGTGCCAGCATACGTGCCAGATTTATCTAAGCGCCCGCCTCCCCCGGCCATAAACATTCTTATTCTTTCGCGTCTAAGCTACAGAAAGGGAATAGACTTGCTGGTAGACATAATTCCAGCGGTGTGCGCCAAGTACCCCAATGTAACGTTCATCATAGGTAAGCAGGATAAGTAATTCCCCGAGGGAGAGTGAGCTTGCAGCTGCACGCCTTGCTGCATTGGAAATATAAATCTGCACAGTCTCTGCTGGATTTTGTTTGCTGTCTTCGGTTTATCAGGAGGGGATGGCCCTAAGCGGATCATCTTGGAGGAAATGAGGGAAAAACACAGAATTCATGACCGCGTTGAAATGCTGGGTGAGGCGAGCGCCCGCAGTGCCATGACTCCACAAGAACCAATTTCAAGTTTTCTATGAGGTCCTTTTCATAATTATTGGACGCTTGTCTTTGTCGGAGTGTCTGTTATGTGGTTGACTCTTCTACAGGGGCCATTCCGCACGGTCAAGCTTGCTCCTTTTTGCAACGCGGGCAGATATTCCTCAACGCGTCGCTTACTGAGTCATTTTGCATTGCAATTGTTGGTGAGCGGACGAAGTTTGGATCATACACGCAGTGCAAGTTATTTTTGTTGGCACTGACACTCGTTGCTAGCAGCAGCCTGCAGCGCAGTGGGCGTTGCTGCGAAGTTGATGGGGGCGCGGGAGATGAAATATAGTGCAGCAACGTCTCTGGTGTATTTTATTTTGTTTTTTTTGTAGAGGCTGCTGCTTGTGGACTAGTTGTCGTCTCAACAGACGTCGGTGGCATTCCCGAGGTGCGGCAGGAGCCCAGCGGTGTAGCTCTTGCAAAACTGAGATTCTTTGAGCGTGCTGCCATGCACCACTTTGCCCTGCAGTGTTTGTTATAGCTGTGTGCCACTGTCCTGCACAAGATTTGTAGCTTTCAGGCTTGTGTTTGGCATAACTTTAGCTTCCTTCTAGCGCTGCGCCTAGAAACTACTTGTGACTTCGCATGCAACGACTCCGCAGGTGCTGCCGCCTGACATGGTGCGCCTCGCTTCGCCAAATCCTGCAGCTCTGACGCTGCAACTGGAAGAGGCAATCCGACAAGTGGAAAGAGGAGATGTCGACCCGCATGCTTTGCACCAAAGGGTGAGCACTGGGGAGTTGTGACCAGAAGTGAAGTAGCAGTTTTGCATGAAAAGCAGAAACGGCGCGAGTATGCCTTTATAAAACGCTAAGAAGTCCAAAAATGAGATGTCAGTGGTTAACTGTGGAGACTGAGACAAATAATGGAGAGTATGTCAGGTCTCATTGTCCTACTTTTCACTAGTGAGCGTTTTCTGCAGGTGCTAGAAATGTATTCGTGGGAGGATGTTGCTGATCGCGTGGTAAGCGGAACCAGTGCAAGTTGTCACGAGGCCAAATATGCACATCTCAGAACTAAACATTCCAATTTGAAGGCCTTATATGAGAGACCTCGCGTGCTGGAGGAGGCCATTCAGCGCCTGCTTGTTCCTCACCCTTGTTGCTTTCTGCTTGCAGGAACAGGTGTACTTCAGTGCTTTATTTGACCTCCCAATGTCTGCTCACTTGCGAAAAGGGATTTCCTTGGCAAATGTCCCATTGCCTCCAAACCCTCCACCGCTCCCAACTTCCCAAGGCTCTGTCAAAGTGTTGAGGGCTCTCAACAGATGCGGGCCTTTTTCTGGGAAGTTCTTTGCACTTGTTGCTGTAGTAGACTGGTGTTTGATTCGCCTTGTTGAATGGCTTTTCCCCCGGTAAGCTGTTGCCGACTATAAAGGCACAGCCGCGCTAGCTTTACTTTACTTAGAGTTATAGTCGGCAACAGTGCCTTTACACAGTTTCTTACATCACAATGTGTTTACGCATTTAGTCTCGGCTAGTCACCAGCGAACTGCAGTTGGCTGGGGTGTTCTTATGTGCCTGTTGCAAGTCCATTCTTGTCGGAAGCCTGCGCTGTTTGTGGTGAAGGGATTCAATTGAGGAGGCTGCCTCTTTTCCAAGCGACGTTCTTTACTCCGTGAAGACAAATTTGCCGTCGCCAACGTAGTCTTCGTGAGTTGCACTTGGCTTTGTCTCTTGGCATGGGAAGCTCAATGATGGGAATCGCGTCTGTAAAGATGGGATTTTCGTTTGCCCTTTGTGCGAAACAAATGTACCAACAACATTTTTACAATGCATGTTTATTCTTAAAAGGCGTTCAATGAAAAGTTAACGATCCGAAGTGGTTTCACCAATTCACGTTTGCTTTTACCCGCCTTTCAGCGTTGTCAGGCGTAGCGTGTAGCAGATGAGTAGCATCTATTGGTAATTCGAAACGAAAACGCATTTTTCTTCAAAGTTGGACAGATACAACATTACCCACAACTTCGCCTGCACTGGGTTTGTTTTAAATTGCATATGGGCCATGCTTGTGGCACGTGGAGTGCGCGCTTCGATCGTGTCATTTGACAACTAAATCAAGCCAAAGTGACGGGAATATATTTATCTAGGGGAATACATCGATGTTTCTGTTTTCAAAACTACATGTGCACATGCTACAGTTACTTTTGCAAGTTACGTTCAAAGTCTTCAGAGCTGGAAGCACTTGACCAGGAGAAAGACAAACCCGGCGCATGCCACACTGCATTCGCCGACATAAATGAGAGTTGATCAATAACTAATGTGTTGTTGTACTCTCACTCTCAACAAAAGTGGTGCGCAGTTCTCAGTCTGGAGGATATGCATAAGGCAGATGCTTCGACTTTCCAGGCTTGCGTTTGTATTGCATTGCCTTCTAAATAGGCGGCATGCAGAAACGGGGCTTTTTCATTTCAACAACAGACTTGGTTCTGAAGCTGTAACGGTTGGAGCCTCAGAATACGCGCATGCATCGTAACCCAAATTTGCTCGAAATGCTGTTTGAGGCCCTCCAAGAAAAATCGAATGAGTGGAGCTACATGAAAGGAACTCGAGGTGGACCATAGATGAAAACAGAAATACTTCTTACTGAAGCCACAGGGGAAGCACTCAGATGTGTGGAAGATGAGTCCCACTGCTGCACTACAGTGGCGGACAGACGTAAGAAAAAGCTGGGTTTTGTTAACAGCTCTATGGGGCCAACAACAACTGCGGCTTAGGCGGCTCCAGAAACGGATTAGGACTTCGTAGGCGGCTCCAGAAACTAAGACTTCGTGCCTGCGTTGTAGTTTCGCCGCACGCACTTGAACATTAACTCAAGGTGATTGGGAAAGGGAGCTACTGCGTTATACAACTTCCGGAAGAACTAGAAAACAACACATGTCTATTAGTCAGAAGACAACACATTTATTATTTTATCTGCTAATGAGGCTTTCAAAAGGGACCGTAATCCGAGAGCGGTCCAGATGCCATCCCACAGTACGAAGTTTGCGTGGGCTGGAGCCAGCCATTCTTGCAAAGGCGAAACACAGAACTGTAGGGAAACAGAATAGAGCTTAGAAAGAAAAGTCTTCGTGCTTGTAGCTAGTGTGTGTGTATATTTTAGGCGGATTAGATGAAACGTAGAGGAATGGACGGGCAGAATAAGCTGATAGAGAAGTTTAGATACTATCTCAGAGTGATACAACAAAACATGTTCAGACTGGCGAAAACTGTTGGAGTGGGCTGGAGAAGCCCTCAAGCCAATCGAGCCAAACACACTCAGAGTGGCCGCGGCCGGGAGAAGAGCACAGGGAGCCGTTAACACCGGGGATAAGACTTAGGTGGTAGATAAACAAATAACTTGAAGTCGAGGGAAGGCCCACAACTTGCGGGCTTGCAATTAAGGATTTAAAAGGCGAAGCGCCTCCATGTGCAGCCACGTCCGTAGTTTAAGGGCACCCGGAATGGGCTTGCCAAAGCACTACTGTGCAAATAAGCGAGAGTGTCACGCGGAATATTGGAATCGTCATAAGTAAAGATTACTTTCGTAATTATACGGCAAATAACTTCCGGGAAACTCGCGGCGCCTCCCAAAGACAGGACCGTGGGACGAAGTGGCGGTGGTTAATCCGAATGGCGCGTCCCTGCGTGCTGCGGCCTAGCGGACCAACATAGTTGATCTGGGAAGAAGAAATCATAGGCAGGGGTGTCTTTTCAATTAAAGTTTCATGAAATCCCAAAAGGAGTATCATGAGTGTTGCTTGCTGGTGGTGAAGGTAGTACGGGTCGGGCTGGGCGGTCGGTGGCGCAGAACGGCTCTGCGGGGGGTCGGCTTCAGTTGGTGATTATGAAGTTCGTTTGGAGAAAACTGCGATTACTAAGCCTTCTGTGCTTCGAGTTTGCTGGAGATATCCAAAACATAGGTAGATAGGGAGGGGGTGTCGCAGTTTGCGGGGCCCTCCTTTCCCTCAAGTTCCAAACACTTGCCGAACATAACCTACCGTTATGTTGCTGCCGTACTAAACAGGTGCTTCATCAATGATCAAGTGCTTATCCTTTGAATTTATTTGAGCTTTGGGAGGCAGTTTCCAGCGCGGCAACGGCAAGTCTTTACTATCGCGTCCCCCCCACGAGTCGGCAGCGACAGAACCCACTACGAAACCCTCAATTTTTGCAAATTGTGGGGCCGAGCCCCAAAGGGTTTCAACTAAGTGGCGCGCAGGGGGAAAGAAGTGGCTGCACATGCAGTTGCTCAGCAGCCTGGGTGTTTCGTACTGCACACAGCAGAAGGCACGAAGGAGCACTTGGGCTGCGAGGGACTTGCCCTTGCCAACGGATAATTCGGAGACCCCGAGGCCAAGAAATCCCGCTTCTATGCATGCAAAGGGCTGAGTCTGAGGCACGCAACGGTTTGCAGACCTGTTGCAGCGATGGACACTGCGTCGCAGCGCAGCCAGCCAGGGCGCCTGCTCCTGTCGGAGTGTCCTCGCAGTTTCTTGGACTCAATTCCCTCGCCCATAGCCCCGGCTCCCCTGGGGAGCCTGGGCTACGTCATAACGAAGGAGCACGTTGACGAAATGCGTCGGATGGAAAAGCTGTGCGAAGCCAAGGAGGAGAAGCTGCACAGGGAATACAAGCCCGTGTTCCTTCCCGTGGATGAGTATCTTAGCAAAGAGATCAACTGCGAGCTCATCAACGTGGACATTCGAAGCTATCCATGGAAAAACACTCCGTTTGGTAAGCTGCCGCCGCCGTCCTCCCCTTTGCTATTTGCTGGGAAGAAAGGAACTTGCCAAGGCACGTCACCGCACTTCCACCTCTATACTAGCTGGATCTGCTTGTCTAATGATGCACTTTTGTTTTGTTTTGCTTTTTAGGAGATGTTTACTACTCGCCTCGCTACAACGATGACCGGTACACATACCGGCACGTTCTCCTCACCAACGGGGTGCGGAAAGAAGCTGAGCGGGTCGCTGCTACCGTCCCTGGTGCGTCTTTTCACCAATATATATAATATATACATGTATATATGTAAATATATGATATATAGACGTATATGTGTATGCATGTTTCTCCAGCGTTCGCTGCCGTATCGCTTTCACCTTGCCTACGTGCACATGGCTGCTGGAAAGCTGCTGAGCTCACGAACAAGGCTTTGAGCCGCGCTTAGATCCAGTGCTTTCTTGCGACTCAGGAGGCTTGTTGACTGAAGAAGTGTTTGTTCACTATTTGGGCATTGTCTTGTCGAGTGGGTGGTCGCACTTCATGCTGTTCAACAAACAGTTCAAAGAGCTGATCCTCAGAAGACCGAAAGAGCCCGACGCGCCGGCGACTCCGGAGGAAGTCACGCGCATTCGCGACGGCGCTCCCGGGCCAAACGATGAAGTAAGTTTGGAGTTTTCAAGTTTGCTGCGTTGCGGCGGAATCGCCCAACTGCGAAGCCGCAGCCCTCTGGAAGCTGAACTTCACTGCTGCTGCTGCTGCTGCTGCTGCTGCTGCTGGACGCAGCAGCTTCAAGAGGTATTCTCGCAGCCAGGTTTGTCTGCGACTTGGAACTCAGGTTGATTCCGACAGCGGAGATGACGAAGAGCAAAAGGCAGCCATAGCTCTGCTCCGCAAGAAGGAAGCCGAACAGCAGCAGCAGCAGCAGCAACTGCAGCAAGAGAACAAGCTGCAGCAGGCTGGCTTTCCGGATGCAGAGTCCGTCGCCGGCCACGACTGTGGGAGTAAAGAGGAGACTCAGGAGGCTGCTGCTGAGCAGCAGGACTCAGCAGCAGCAGAGAGTCAGCTCCGGGGGGCCCCGGAGTCTGCAGCAGCTGCGGAAAAGGAAAATGCGCTGCTGCCGCAGAACTCGAGGGAAACTGCAGCAAAAAGTGGAAAGCCACAGCTTGTGGCTTGCACAGGTAGCAATGCAGCACGCGGGGGCCGCAGCAGCCAAAAAGGAGCTGCTGAGGAGTCGGAAGTGGGCCAGAAGGCGCTGCATGCAGCTCAAAGTGCTGCTGCTGCAGGGCCGCAGGGAAGGCGGCGCAGAGCGGCGCCCACAAAGGCAGCAGCAGCAGCAGCAGCACACAGCAGCAGCAGCGGCTTGGCGCAGCAGCAAAAGACCAACGGCAAAGGCCTGCCAGATGCTGCAGCAAGAGCCCGAGGCCGAGCTGCTCTCCGCCGAAAAGAAGCAGCTCCCCCTCCTCGAGCTGCTGCTGCTGCTGCTGCTGCTGCTGCAGGCCGGCGAAACCCAAGTGAGGCTGGGGGGCCCCCGGCTTCAGCCCGTTCTGCTGGGACTGCAGCAGAAGAGAGTGCCCCGCTGCCGGCTGCTGCTGCTGCGAGAGTGGCTGCGAGGCCCCTGGGGGCCCCGCGGGCGCAGCCGAGAGCAGCAGCAGCAGCAAGAACTGCTGCTGCTGCTGCAGCAGCAAAGGCCGACGGCCGCGCGCAGGGCCGCGCAGAAGAGAAGCTGCTGACTGCAGCAGAGGCCCCCGGAGGGAAAAGACGCCTCGAAGGAGGGGCAGCAGGAGCGGAAGCGAATAAGGCCAAGCAGCGGCGGGTGTAGTGACACTTCAAGGGAGACTGCGGAAGCAGCTCAGCAGAGCTGCTGAGAAGTGCAGCGAGCCTTGGAAACTGCTGCAGCGGGAAGCACTCCGCAGCAGTTCCAGAGCTTTCGTCTCGAAGTTTGAAGTGGCACTGGCGCATGCAACAAGTGCTGCACCTCTGCGCACTTGTGGGGTCTCGGCGAGACCCCAGGCCGAGGGAACTGCACACAAGTCTTTGGCACTTGCGGGATCTGTGGGATATCTGGCGGCGCAGCCGTCTTGTCTTAGCGCAATTGGCGGGCCCTCGAGCCGCCAAGACCATTTTTTGCCAACTGACACTCGGAAAGCTGAACTTCACGGACTTCGCCCTCTTTAAACTGGGCTGGCGCGTGCGTAGTTCACTTCTTTTGCAATTAGTCAAAGAGAAACCTCAGGGCAAACGCTGATGCTCTTCGTGGGAAAGTTCTGCACTTTAGCGCCTTCATTAGTGGCATTTTATGCCTTTCAAGTTTGCATGTACCCGCGAGCTTGAGGGCTTCACTGCCGAATTAATGTCAGTTTAGGACGGCCAGTCAAACTTGCGAATCCTTACATTGCAACCGGCGCTGCGGAAAGGGGAAAAAAGGCTTTCTGTTCGAATCTTTGAGAAAGAACCCCTCACACTGTGCATTATTCCTCGTGAAACCCCTTTTAATGTCCTGCGAGTCGAATAGGCAATGCTTTGTTCATGATCTGATGCTGAATCATGCCAAAGTCTTGCTGCCCTGTACAGCCAGCTGGGAACCGTCCTGTCTTCTGCGAAGTTCGTCACCGCAAAGTTCGAAACACGCGAGCTCATTGCGCACCATGCATCTATCTTAAATGCTATCTTCATTTTCTGTGTGAATGAACCAGCTGCAATAGCAATACCATAAAAGAAAGAAGCTGCTTTGAACACCCACCTACAATGCTTTCCTCGCTTGCCAAGAACTTTGTCGGAACCTCGCGGGAAACCAGCGCAGAGAGAAACTCTCCACAATCACGCCTCAGCCCACATCCTCAAGCGGTGAGCTGAAGCAAAATAATACTTTCTGGGGAGTTTCGACTGTCAGTTCAGATCGGCGACTCCGCAATAGCCTTGAAGGAAAGGCCGCCCGAGCCATCACCGGTAAACACGAAGCAGCAGCAAAACTAGCAGAGTTGGCCTTTTTTATTCCAGAACATTTTCATTTACTCATTGAATGCTCCATTTAGTTCCCAGATGACGCGTGGTGTCCAGAAAAGATCGAGCATCTTTTTCCGGAACTGAGAAGCGCCGGTTTCAGCAACAAGTGCAGACCAACACTGGTAGGGCCTCCACGTTGTGCTTCTTTTCACGCTGTCTTCATATTTGTTTAAAAACAGATTGAACATCCCAGGAACTTAATTCAGATTTCAGTTCCGGACAAATCTGTTTTGAACTGCAAACCCGCAAAGTGCCTGGCACTTGCAGAACACCAGAACCCTCCAGGTTTGCCCCTCACATGTCACTCGGTTCATTCAAAAGCTAATTTTTGTCGAAGGCAGCAGACACAGCAGCAGCTGCAGCCCCGCTGCTGCTGCATGTCCTGCTCTTGCCGACAGATCTAGCCAGACTCGAAAGAGTTGTTCAACTTCTCCTGACTCTTCTGCTGCTGCCAGTTCCTCAGGATCTCAGCAGCAGAACGAGCAGGATGTGTCTGCTGTGTGCTTCCGGGAGCTGCTGCCAAGTGAGAGCAGCAAGCGCGGAGTGAACCCGCAGGCCCCCGCCGCAGCTGCTGCTGCAGCAGCTGCTGCAGCTGCTGCTGCAGCTGCTGCAGCAGCAGCGCAGGCCAGCCAGTTCTTCTCACTTGCTGGGGACCACGCGGACTCGCGGCAGGCCTTGTGTCTCCCTGCAGCTGAGGTTTTGGCCATTCTTTCAGGATCTCAGCAGCAGAACGAGCAGGATGTGTCTGCTGTGTGCTTCCGGGAGCTGCTGCCAAGTGAGAGCAGCAAGCGCGGAGTGAACCCGCAGGCCCCCGCCGCAGCTGCTGCTGCAGCAGCTGCTGCAGCTGCTGCTGCAGCTGCTGCAGCAGCAGCGCAGGCCAGCCAGTTCTTCTCACTTGCTGGGGACCACGCGGACTCGCGGCAGGCCTTGTGTCTCCCTGCAGCTGAGGTTTTGGCCATTCTTGACGGCGACGAGCCCCCCGAAAGTGCTGCTGCTGCTGCTGCTGCTGCAGAGGCCAGCGGGCTGCTGCAGCAGGGCAGTTCTGCTGCAGTGGAGGGGCTGAGTCCCGGCACTGCAGCAGACTGCAGCTCCCAGGGCCTGCACTTGATCTCCGAGTTCTCCAACTTGACAAACAACTTGCCCGGCTCGCCGCAGCCCTCTGCAGAAGAAATGGTGCGGCTGCTTCTCGCCGAAGTGCCCATAGCTCCCGAGAAAGTGGCCCCGAGTGCTGCTGCTGCTGCTGCAGCGCGAAACACGAAAGAGCTGCTTCCCCAGAGTTCTGCACTCGCCTGCTGCCCGAAGGACTCTGCCGTTCTGCAAAGAGGCAGCGGACTGCAGATCCCGCAGCAGCAGCAGCTTGCAGCAACTCCCCCCCAGGCTGCTGCAGCCCAGCCTCCACTAGAGACTTAGATGAACAGATCAGCAGAGCCATTTCGGACTTCGTCGAAAAATCGACAGAGTGGCAAGAGATCCTTTACTACGCCACCACAGAGCCTAGCGACATTCAAGTTCGCCTCTAGACTCGCGGCTGGGCTGTTCGGACGCGGCCCCCCGCCGCAGTCAAAAAGGTCTCCGGCAATTTCAGTTGCAAGCCAGGCCATATATGTCTTCAACAATATTTACGACTAATTGGGCCCTGGAGACGCGGCAAAACGCATCTTCGAATCCTGAAATTAGGCCGCTTGTGCGGCACCATTCACAGATTCGCTTGTTTCGCCAGCGGCTTGATGAATACAATAGATTTTCAAATCTCTGTGTCCTAGCAATCCGTTAGAACTACTTTCTACTTCTAAGAATAACTTGTACTGCACAGGACTGTGAGTAGCCGCCTTTGGCACGCGCGGGTTCCTTGGTACAGAATATCAGTGAACTCGCTACCGTTGTTCTGTTAGGCTTCCTATTTATGCCGATCCGCGGCCTCAGGTGTCATATTTCACTCTGCTGAATAAAAAGAGCTGAAAAGTTCCGCCCGGGAAACATAATTAAGAAGGCAAAGAATAAGCGAGAAATTGTCAGACGTACGATGGATCATAGCCACTGCGTGCAGTCCAACTTCCGAGGCACAGCCGGGCTGGGTAAGGCGTTCAGTGGAGCAGTGTATGACGCAAAAACGCAAGAAAAAGGCTGCACCTAGAAATGAAGACAGATACAGAGCCTTGTAGACTCCCGTGAGGAAGTTGCACAACTCCTTGCATCACACGAAACAAAGCGCACTCGAGAGGAATAAGGCAGCACAAACGGCAAACGAGAAAATCAATTTCAAGATAAACGCGATGATGGGCGCTATATTAGCAACATAGTGGGAACGGAAAGCGCCGGAAAAGTGACCGCGCATTTCCAGTCCCGCACATCACAAAAAAGCGAGTGGCGAAACGGCCAAACGAGATCGCATCAAAACAGCGTGACCACTGGACCAGCTGAAGTGTGGTAAGTGCCGCTCCGATAAACATTCGGCGCCAACAGCAGTTGAGTTTCCACAAATTCTCTCCGACCTGCATCAACCAATGGACACAAGCAAGGCGGGTCCAGCTTCATAACATCCTTTGCTAGTCAGTCAGTCATGATGCTACTAAGTTAGCTACCCTGCTAGCCACGACAGTCTTCAGCTGTCACCACTTCCTCAACACAGTACCTCCAGCTTCCTTCGCTAGTGAAATAGACATCTATGCAAATATCGCATCCCTTTTCAAGCACAGAATATGTGGCCAAACTGCAATCAACTGACGTACAAACGCAGTGCTGCCGGAATGCAGCCCAAAGTCGCTCACATCCCATTCAAAGGAAACCGCCTCACCTGAGAAGTCGTATGTAAATCTCTTGACTACGCTGCTGTTTCTCTTCCTGCTCATTAACTTGGTCAGCACAATAGAAATATTGTCCGCCGACCCGAGAAGATACGCCGTGTTCAGCATCCGAAACGCTGTCTCCACCAGATTATCGTTCGTGTTCTGAAAGAGCCATGCACGGGCACGTAGTCAAACCACGTCAACGAGGTTTCTAATATAGCAACCCTTCGTGTTTCGAGCAACGAAAGAGCAGCTAGCCTTTACTCCACAAATCAATCCACGAATGGCTGTGGCGGCAGCGTGAAGCACAATAAAGACATGCAGACCTCTCGCAAAGTGTACCTGCAATTCGCGCTGTAGCAAATTTGCGACGTAGTCCCAACTCATGCCCGGTGCCTCAAACATCCCTGAGCATAAAACATGCGCTCCGTCCCGGCTCCATTACAATGTGGTTCGATAGTGAAAATCGCAAATTCGAATGCACAGAAAAAGGCGAATAGGAATCAGTTGAGACCCTTCGATCACTCAAAGTGCTCACAGCAACTTACCGTCGCAAGCCATAAAGATGTAATCGCCCTCATAAGCCTCGAACGTGCGCACGTCCGGAATCGCCACTACTTTCTGCTCGGTAGCTGGCAATGATGCGTTCGATTTCATGCGCTGCATCGCATGAAAGCGCACAAACGGAAACACAGGAAACTAAACAGCCGAAGTTGCAGAAGCATTGCATTGCTGCTTCTGTTGTGCAGTTCTGTATATCTAGAGCCTTGCAACTGGGAAGCGTTCCTCTTGCTTTCACGCGCACCTCTCGAAGCTGACCGTTACTTTTATGTATTTTTCTGCATAATACTCGAGCTCTGCTGAATACTACCGGAAAAGTTCTACAGAGCCTAGTTGGTATGTGTGTGTTATACTGCTTTGATGTTGCCTCACGATGTCTCCAAAGGCTCTTGAAACGGACAGAGTTCCATCAACTCGGTACACCTTTCGGACTCGCGAAACGAAGCCACCTGCACGGCTAATCCGTGCGACTTCTTGGGGGTCGTTCGGCTTGTGGTCTTTCGACATGATCGTGTAGTTGCCATTTCGGTGCAATATAAAGGCCCGAGAATCTCCTGAAGCGCAAATCAGCACACAGTAGCAGGCTGCGATGTGTCTGCAACGCAGAAGCGATGGAGCTGCAACAACACTGCCGTGCAGTCAACAAAACTATGGAATGGTTCATTTACAAAGCAGTAGCGCCATGCAATCCGAACATTAAAACGTTTGGGCACTCTGGGCAGGAACGAACAAACTGTATCCATGCTTTTAACTAAGACTGTATGAATAACATCGCGCAATAGGCTTGACGCAAGAGAACTATACGCCATTCGTCTGCATCACATAGCTGCTTGCTTACCAATATTTGACACGTGTATTTTGAATTTCGGGACCCGCTCATCCGGCCTCTCGATGGCAACAATTAAACCTGCGGAGAAACAGCCAATCTCGGCGAGAAAAGGAAAAGTTAGCTGCATGTGCCTGCACAGGGGGAACTGCGGAGGTGGAACTACAAAAATGACAAGCCAGATGCCGCTAGAAAATACTGCTACGTACAGAAACTCCAAATAATTTCAATACGCTGCCTGCTCTGAACCAGTCCTATGCAACTGTGTTCGTCGTAACAGCGAAGCTCTCTTACCAGTGCTGCCACCTCGTTCATGACGCACAGGATCAGCTTGGATCACCGCATCAAGCATCAAGGAAGTCCTTTTAAAGCTCTCTGGAGATAAGTCCGGCATGTTCCCTAAAGCAACAGAGCCAAGAAACACACGTGCGCTGCATTTTGCCAGGACTCAGCCAACAGCAGAGTGACCCTTAACTAAACTCTCTCCGCCAATTGATCTACACTGTCTAAGGGAAAAGCTTCTACAGTAGGGAAAATGAAGTAGGGCCCCACCAAAGATGTTGCAAAACTGCGCCACGCAGGTCCGAGACACAGCAGAACCTCCGTGACCATCGAAAATGGCCTTGAAGCGCACATTGTGCTGCCAGTGCGAAGGAGCATGCACTAGAAGGGCCTGAACATTCAAAAAGTCTATCACTGGGGGGCCAGCTGTTTCTGTTGGCAACTGGCGAGCAGCCGTGGGAGAACACCATGAGCTATTTACCCTCAGCCCCTGACAGTTGCCCTTTGCACTTAACTTCGCATCGCCTATCCCATCAAAAGAATTATATCAGCAGCCTGGCTAGCTGCGTTCTCAGGATAATGATGCACACTTGAACTAGTACTAAGTGCGATAGCTTTGCTGTTCCTCCTTATCGTTGCTAAGAGCAACACACCGCACGAACTTACGTCTTCGTCTTGTTTGCGCTTTCCGTTCATTGTTGCCCCTGTGGTTTTCGTGTACCACTCCCACAAAATGACCATCTGTTTGGAGTAGTGTCTCACGAAAGGCGCAGAGAGTGCACGCCCCCGCGAATACATGGGATCTTGTGGCTCCTGTCGCTCGCCTTCTTCAGAAGCAGCAGCTGCAGCTCCGTTTTTCTCACTCCTTGCTGCTGCGTCACCAGAGGCTCCCGTGGCTGCTGCAGTCCCGTCCGCTGCAAGCACAGGCCCCTCAGGCGCCGGAGCAGCTCCTGCTGATTTCCCTGCACTGTTGCTCTCAACATCTCTTATTGCTGAGCCTAAAGCTTGCGGAGAAGCCAAGTCTTCCCCTTTAGTATTAGCCTTCCGCTCCTCAGCCTGTTCCCCCTCCTTAGCTGGGTGCTGCGGCGCAGCCGGTTTCGCCCCTCCATTTGCCCTGTTCAAACTCCCTGATGAAGTATCTTTGTCGTTTGCTCCTGTGGCTGATACAGCAGCTATCAGAAGAAGCAGGAGGAGAAAAAGCCACAAACTCCAAAAACGTCGATCCTCCCGCAGTGGACTCATGCTTGCGGCCTCAATGCGTACCTGATTTTGCTGCTGTGCTTGCTGCTACAGCAGCAACTGATTCTGTGTTGTTGCGTCTGCTCCCCGCGTGTATCTCAAGGGGAGTAGTCCGGAAAGATCGTTTGCGTGGAGCTCATCATACACCAGGCGAAGCCCGGCGCTCTCCTCTGTTTACGTCGTAAAGTGTGTTAACCTTCAACGCCTCTTATTTCCCTCAAAATCGGTGAAGTGAGTCGCTAATCCTCCAACTCAGCCTTCCCTAATGAGGCCAGTATTCGCAAGGGCGGATCTGGGAGGGGGTGCTCAACGAAGCGGCCAAGAGCGTCGTTTCCGGATATTCGGCGCACGTAGGTAGCAAGGGCTCTACAGATAGTGTTGCAAAAATTAGATAAAACAAAAGGAGAATAAAGAAGGGGGAAAATGGAGCAGAAGTGGAAGAGACCTCGACAATGTAGAAGAGCGCCACCGCTCTGTACCCCGTGGAGCCTTTCAGCCGTCTGTTCTGATGCTCAAAATGAGCTGACCTTGCCAGAAAACTATTATACTTACAAAAAACGAAACTTAGTCAGATTGGACGCAAGTGAGAAGCCGCCCATCCAATAGGGAGGACGCGAGGGCTTCTACACTTTAGGAGCATCGCGTCCTGGTCATCAACGACGGCTATTATTACTATCGGGAATATTATCAGCAGCGTTTCCCGCTGCATCTGGTGCTCTTAAGCGATGTAGTATTCGCTTTTTAATTCTGTCTCGAGCTGGACACTAAGAGGTATAAGCGCCCTAATTAATTACAGCATAACCTATGCAACAAGGTATCACTCTAGGATCCCATAACCCGAAGTCCACTTGCTGTACAGGGCCTCTCTGCTCGCAAGATCGAATGATTATCATACTTTAAAATAGAGATGAGAGCTTCACGGCATGTATAAGAAAAGTGTGGAACTGCCAATGAGTTATTTAGTCTTGGGCACATGCAACTCGACAGTAGCACCTGTGGTAGAGTTAGCACTACTTATAGCAGAACGTGTGCAAGTTTGTATGCATGCATAAGCTTATACGAAAATTGAGTTGTTTAATCATTATAAAAGTATAATTTTAAGCAGCAATTTTCTAACGGATCCCCACGCTGCGTTGTCAACTGGAGTCCTAAACTAGGTGGGAGCGTTCTATGAAGGCCTGCTCAGCCAAACACTGGCAGTATTGCAGCACAAGTTGAAAGTGAGCGAATATGTACATCATTGTAGGCAGAACAATAAATAATTAATATGGCCTGCGCTTCCGGGAATATCAACACGCGTTCTGAGGACTGCCCTGTCGTGCTGCGATTTTTTGAGAGCTATACCCAGGTCTTCACGTCTTTGGTGACAAGAATTGGTGTGGAAGAATATTTGTCGGAAGATGGCTGTAATGCTAAGCATCAGATGGAAGGCTCCGCGGGACAACACATATCACCAAGTCCAGCACGGGCAGAATACACCTTCGAACAAACTTCAGAATTTGTAGAAATGAGTCAGCCTAGGTAAGTACCGACGGTGAACCTCCAGGAAACAGCAAAAGAAAAAAAAACTAAAGTCCGGAAAACACAGTACAAGGAAGAGGGTCCAGCGCTCCGCGGCGACGCCGAGCATCCAACTCCGACTCAACAGAGCACAGTAAGAGGGTATGCAGGCAATTTCCAGTGCAGCACTTATGCAATACTTGTGCTCAAAATAGCGTGCAGTTGTTTCTACTAACGTCTTAGTCCAAGTCTTACTAGGAAATCCTCCAGCTTTCCTCACCAACTGCCTGCTTGATCGCACAAAGCGTTGCCTTCATACATCAAAATAATGTTGATCTTGCCTGCTCAAAAGGCGTCCACAACAGATCGATTTTGGCTTCCGAAAGGTCTCTTCCATGATATCTGTGTAGGCATGCCTTGCTTGTCCCAGCTGGTCTAGCAGTGCGAGTAGGGGAGTCTCCCAACCCATACTTGTCTTCCACACCAGTCATAATCTTCTGTAGCCTCTATTTTGCATTATAGAAACTTCAAAGGCTAATTTTGTAGCTAGATGCTTTCGCGGGCCCTCATTGCGACAGGCCTTTAGGGCAGTAACTCTGTGCCCCACTGCACGCTACAATAGGCTAACTAGCTTTCCATACCTCCGCAGAGATCTTGAATTCTTACTGAGCAATTTGATGTAGATATTTATCTCTTGACTTTTCAATTTTTCATATTCAACGTTTTCAAGCTCCTTGTTTCTGCTTCACTGACGGCCCCACGTTCATTGCCGTTAGTCCGCAACGATGTTCTCTCTTGCTCGGATTCAAGAACACTGAGCACCTTCAAGAACGCATTTTAACTTACAACAATTTACATACAGCTTAATTTTGCTGCCGATTGCCAATCACGCAGGAAAAACCGTAGAGCGCGCAGGCACCTCAGAACATTGAGTGTTCTCGAGTCTGAGCAGAACCCGGAGCACGTACCGATTCTGTTAATATATTGGGAAGGAATTAGGGTAATCAAAACGTTTTTGTGACTGTTTTTCTTTGCTTCCTAGACGCTAAGTCGCAGATTCGATATGCAGATTAACTGTTAACCCTTTAGCCAGTGCTTACTTCACCGCATGACGGGGTAGACGCTTCAGTGAATGCGCTTCGCCGTAATCAGATCTTTTGAAAACAGACAACGTGCACCATCAGAATCTTTGCGGGATTCCTCTCAAAAGGCGTCTTTTCCTCAGTTTCCACTTTGCTTACACCTTGGGCCATTATTTCCCTAGTGCGCGTGAGCCAGACTCGTAATTGATTAAAAACAATAGCTATGTGCTTTCTAGACGGTGAATTTTTCTTTGAAAATGATTTGTTTCTGAGCGCTAATCAGGAAAGCCAAATTTGCACTGATATAAGGAAGGTAAAGCCATGGGCTGATGCTAGCAGCAAGGAATATCTCCTAGCCATGCCCGCCTCCGCCAAATGAAGCAATATGCCATTCAGTTTGAGTTCGCATATAATTCTCTGCCTCTAAGCTCCACTGCGAGAGACATGGCGTCCTGCAGATATTGCGCTTGCATGCATCCCCATAGAATTTTCGCTACACGGAAACGGTGTTTTGGGGAGAGTTTAAGAGAGAACTTAGAGTGATTTGAGAGCTACTGGGGGGTTTCGTTACTTGCCATCATTCGTACTACGTCTGGTGTACCAGATTCCGTCGGATCTCTAAATTTAAGCGGCGAAAGGCTTCTTTAGTACTGCAATAGACTCCAAGTGGATTCCCTGGATGATGACGATCTTTTGCTCTCGCCGAACTAAATCTCTGACATCACTGCAACTCCTGTTTCAGCATCTCCATCAACCAAGGCACATCACAGAATCCATGCGCCTTCAACTACAAACCAGCCAACCCACATGGGCAGTTCGTTACTCTGCGAAGGAGCGCACCGAACTGCAGGTGGGCACAGCTTTCACACAATCTTGGAGCTTCAAACCCCTTCACAAGTTTAAAACACCCAACAAGAGCATGGTTTGTGTTCCCATAAAATGTCGAACACTAGATACAAAGAATGAATGCTTGTTGTCAGCTTCGCTTCCTTGTGGTTGTAAGGTTGTGGCCGACGCCCACAATACTGTACTACAGAGATCGAGCTAAACATTAATATATGGAACTAAAGTATAAGTACATGAATACCTACCACGTAAAAGCAACAAGTCAGCACTTCATTTGTGCGTTCGCCATAACTTCACATAAATAGAGTCAAGGGGACCACCAGGTCCCCGTTTTCCCGTCAAAAAATTGTCGGGGTAAACGGCCGAGAAACACAAAATTTGAAATTTAGTTCCAAGCAAAAATTATTACCCATTTGCAACCCCATTTAAGTGGCAGTCTGAAGGCGACAGAACTGAGGCGTTGGAAGTACGATTTTGCTCTGCCACTAATGACGGCCATTGTTTGAAGTGACCGTAGCTAGCTGGATTTGGCCAATCGACGCAAGGGCCCAGCATAAGCGAAGGGACGCTCAGGGCAAGTGATGAATGTGAAACCAAGACACTTCACTGGTGCACCTTGACACCGCTTTGTGAGCTGGCAGTACGGATTGCTTAGCGCCGTTGGATGCTGTCAAGCTTATCGTACAGCGCCGCTCACTAAAAACCGTGTGTGCCTGTTTTTCCGATGCATACAACACAACTCGGTATGCTGAAATGGCAAGAAGCAACAGCATATCGCAAACAGCCTGTAGCTGAATACGCTTACCGTAATGAAAAACCTACTGAATTCCGATAGTGTTGTTTTTTCAAAACAACAAGCTAAGGTAATTAGATAGCTTTCCACTGCACGGTTCGGACGGGTTGTCGAAAGCCAGCAGTGAGCGACTTGCAGACAGCCCTTTGGCATCGACTGGACACCAGTGTGAAGGCAGCGTAGAGTTTGAATTAATAAAAGGTTCAGTGGCCATATTTCGCCATATAATTTGTTTATTAATCTCTAAGCAAGAAGCAACGTGTTTACTCTTCGGCGCGTTTATGTGGTTCTGCGGACTGACATGACGCACTGGCCTTTACATAGACCACTGGTCATGTGCAAGGGGACTGCGAATGCAATTCGTGTTTTCTAACACAACGAGAAAGTATTACTCAGTGATTGAACCTGCCAGAATAAGCTTTCAACAGACATTTTTTTTTCACGCAGAGAATGTTGCGACTTCCAGTTTCTTCGCGCTTGACAGGCCTCTTCGGCTTATCGTTCCAGCACCTGTTCTCACTGCCTCCCGCCACCTCACGTTTGGGGGCTGACCCATTTCTGCTTCTTCCAGCATGTACTGTTTCTCGGAAGACCATGTGCGGAGGGCCCCCTGCCCAGGGGCTTCCAGTGGAGACAGTAGAGGGACCTCCAGAAGGGCCTACGAAAGCTGATGTTGCACAGGCCGGTGCTCAGGAAAAGTCCGATGGATGCCATAAAAGGAAAAAGAATAAACTTATCGGGCACTGTCAACTGTCTGGGCAGGCTTTGTACGAAACTGCCGATGGGGAGGAGACAGTGTTCCAATTCGAAGACTGAAGAGCCAGGAGCTGCAAACGTGGTAAAGTCAAACGGTCCTACGCGTCAGCCAAAGCAGCTCGGAAAAAGCGAACCGAAGCGGTGTGCATTTGGCGCATGCTGTTGCCACGGCGTCCCTGACTTTACTCTAGCATACCATGCGCTAACTTGTTCCATTCGTTTCTCGAAAGGCATACTTGTGTAGTGACAAGGCTAAGGGAAAATGCTGGAAAGTGTCATCATTCAGCATTCTAAAATTTCGTTTTTCTTTACTTTTTTTTTGCTCAACAAGCTACAAGTTGCACAGATATGGCGTGTTTATTATTCCAAAAGGTGTACAAATGTCTCTAACGAAGTGTGGGTATACAGAAAACTTTGTTCAAACGGCACAGACAAAATTTTGAGAGTATTTCTGGGAAAAAATGAGTACTCCAGAGCTTAAGGAGACACACGAAAATCATGGCGTTTCACGCTCGATATACAAATGTAATCACACCTATATAAATGTGTAACGTACACCTGTACCTATACAGGGGCACGCGCAGACGAACATGCACATACAGACGCATACATTTATGCATGATCGCATGCACACAACTACATCTACGCACATAATCCGTAACGCTCGACAAAAAGAACTGACCTCAGACAAACAAATTACCCGTTTGGTCCCAAACGAAAAAGTAAATATCCCTTCAGCGGTTACCTGACCCTGCGCCTGCAGGTGGTCAGCAAGGGGCTCTGCGTTAAGCCCTGGGGCATCTGTCCTCCTTGTGCACTCTTGGAGGCGGCAAATAAAACGAAGCCCCAGCTAATACAAGTACATAAATAATGCATTACAATACATAGTCGTGGCAACAGTAAATAATAACAAAGGCAAATTAAAGAAAAAAACAAGCTCTACGGGCTCACGCTGTGTCTCACCGCTGCTGTCTATGGTGTGCATTTGCCTATATGAGCTTCGAGCTACAGGGCTGTGCACTGCACCTTGTGGTCAGATATAACGTGTAACAACCAAGGCGTGGACTCCCACTCAGCACCAGCCTCAACGTTGCTGTTGCTGCTGCTGTTGCTGCTGCTGCTGCTGTTTTTGGGGGGAGTCGAGATGAAGACGATGTAGGCATGGTTTGTATCACTGAGCTCAACCAGAGTGATATTCAACACCCCCTGAAGGTATCATCAGTAATACACCCCCACAAGAATGGAAATAGGCGAAATAAAGATTACATAATGTAGCCAGAATGCAGGCTGGCTGGGTGGACGGAGCATGCAAATTCAACAAAGCGACGTTGAGACTACGTTAACATCCAAATTTTTACTTGTGCGATTACTGAAAGGAGCGGTACTCTTCAGCCTTGCAGATACATTCGAGTAACGCGATGTGCAGACACCCCAACTCTTGCTTGCAACTCAACTACAAACCCCCGTATCCATTATACTGCTACTGTAGCCCAATCCTCACAACACAAAAGCATGCACTGAGCTGAGCCACCCGCTAGCTACGTTTGTTTTGTCCGTAGGGGCTAGAGACTGCCACAGCAGCATAAAGGGAGACAGCCAAAGATAATCAGATGATGACAAACAAACACGCTGAGGCATGGTAGGGATGGAATAAGCAACATGGAAAACTTGGTAAAAGGTGACAAAAAGAGGAGCAGCGAAGCAAGCCGGCACTAACATGAGCACAAGCACATTCACGCGACCATTGACAGACAAAGAATGGCAAAAATGCACTGGAATTTGCACATCGGCGCAGGGAGGCTGAAGAAGAAACAGAGACGAGCACTGAAGGAGACAAACAGGGAAGCAGCTAAATAAATAGACAAAGGGACACAGATTATCGGCGACAAGTGCAGTCTGTGCGTATTTAATGCAAATAAGCTAGTACCTTTCGCTGTAGAAGGTCCTGAGCTGCTGACGACTTCATCCGTCCGTCGTCGCTTAGGCCTCCCTCAAGGTCACTCTTCTTGACCAGCTGCAGCTGCTTCCCTCCTTTACTGCTGCTGCTGCTGCTGCTGCTGCTGTTGCTCTCCGTAGGAGCAAACAGATACAGGGAAAGAACAGGTGTCGACTTCAATGGCAGCTTTCTAGCGAGAATTTCAAGTCGCAGAGAAACCTGCGGCGGCCCAGCGAACTCAGAAAGCAACTAAAACGGTAAATGCAACAGAAGCTATTAATTGGAGGCGAAAGCATCTGCTTAAGAAATAAGCAGACATGTGTAGGCCGGGACTTAATTTCTTAGTTGAAAGCGCCAGGCATACGCAGCCTCACTCTGGTTGGCGCCGTAGAGAGCTGTAGAGCTACGCGTCCCCACACATGGCGAGCAGCGCGGGCAGCTGCCGACGGTCCCTTGATGGCTTCATAATACAGGCGGGGGTCAGGGGGGACGGCGTACGGGTAAGGCATCGGCGCAAGAGTCAAGGGGGAGCTCCTAGTGCTGGTGTTGCTGCTAGCCCTGCTGCTGCTGTTACTGCTGATGCTACTCCTGTGGTGCAGGCCTATCTGAAAAGGGCCCAAGTTGTCGGGCTTGAAGGTGCTGCAGATCAAGGTGTACTCCCCGGCATTCAGCGAACTCGACAAGTAGCAGCACCCGGCTCTGTAGCTACCGCTGGTCATCGCTTTTCCAGTACGAAGCAGACGCGGAGTAGCAATACGACTAGAGAACAAACGCAAATTCACCGAATATTCCTGGAGAAAAACACGCAGACCGTGAACACTAGGCCATATGCCCCTAGATCGTGAGCCTTGAACCCCATAGTCACCGCCTGAAGACCTGAAACGTTCCCCTCCCAGCATGCTGTTAAGCCTGAAGTCGAGCAGTATCTAATCTACAACCACCACCCTCAATTCAGAAACCTTAATCCTAAGCCTTCAGCCCTCAATCCCACACCCTGAATCCTTAACCATATTTTGCACTGTGTGTGTCTTGCCTCAGGGCACTCCAGGAATAAGACGGCCTCGACGGGCTCTGGTACAGTGATCCTGAACTGAGGATTCCTGAAGAAGTTCCAGAGATCATTGCTACAGCCCCCAGCATTCTCCCGTGTCCATTCTCCTGCAAAGCACAAAAAGGTTTGAAAGTCTCAGGGACGGATTCAAAAACGTTTCACGAGGAGACGCAAATGATAAAGATAGGGTAGTTCAAAGACGACTTTTATGCACGCCTCATCAAAGTTGAAGCGGGCAATCGAACACTAATAGAAAAACCACACAGATGTCAAGCGTCAAGGCAGCGGTAGCTACTGCGTAAAGCTTAACAACTGTAGCAGCAAAGCAGCAGCAGCAGCAGCAGGAGCAACAGCAGCAAAACCAGAATACCTTTGAGGTAGACTGAACTCCACTCGGGGCCAAAAAGCGGGGGCAGCGGCTTCAATGCCGCCGGTATGTGTGCGAAGACTTTCATTGTGAAGTTGAACTCGTCCTAAAGCAGAGCAAGAAACTGAACTGAGAGCCCTACATCCTAAGCGCTAAAAATAGTTCTAGCCTAAACCCCGCGCAACACATTCATCTGAGTGCCGAATGCTGAGCAGCAAAAGTTGAGGCACAGTGTATCATTTAACGGAGGATTTCAATAGAAAACGGAGGCCCTAGGCTGGAGTGCGGTTTTGCTCTCAGGGTTTCTTTACCTTCTGCGAGTACTGGCTGACGACCAGTACGTAATCGAGGGCCCTTAGTAAATTGCTAGCTGCGGCTGGCTTGTCCACCGCATTCTTGGCCTGCTGTTGCTGCTGCAGCTGCTGTTCAGTCGCTGCCTCGGTCACGTTACCGCCAGCAACAGCAGTAGCCGCAGCAGCACCTGTTCCTGCGTGAAGCGCCTTGGGGTCAAGCCGAACTTTGACTAGAGTGCACTCGCCGTTGCTATATACGCCCTGTTTTGCCGGGGGAGGGGGGCAGGAAACTCGGCTATTTCCTTCATAGATATGGACCGCCAGATATTTGCCGCTGAGGTCTCTTTGCCTCTCTCGCACATGTCGAGACAGCAGCACCCAGAGTTCAACTGGGGTGCTGCAACCGCTGCTGCTACTACAGCTGCATGGGCCGCTGCTACAGCAGCAGCTGTTGTCCTCTGCGTCGCCGCTGACGCTGCGGGTAGCCAGGGCAGCAGGCCCGACGCCTGCTGCTGCTGCTGCCAGAGCAGCAGCCGCTGCGCCGCTGCCGCTGCCGCAGGTGCCATCCACGGCCAAAAGATCTCCATTTGTCAAGGAAGGAAATGAAATATAAGGGGGCAGAAGCCGACCCTTAACAGCGCCCGCAGCAACTGAGAGGTGTAGCTGTGGGTTGAATGCCACCATGTGAGAGTCATCTGGTAAAAAAGATTCACGTACAAACCGAGACCGCTCCCACCTACAAAGGATAAAATGCGAAGCACAATGGAAATGTCAAAAACTTTAACGATAAGTGATGAGCCCTGACAGAAAAGCGCAGGAAGAAAGGTTGACAGAGGCATGCATATCGAGGCTGTTCGAAACCAATACGCAATCACGGTTCAATGCGCATCTTCGTATCTCGATGAAGCCACACAATACTACTGCTACTACCGCTGCCGTTGTCCCAGCCTCTACTGTTGCTGCTACTCATAATTTTGCCACCGCTGCCGACGTACTTTGAGTGGACTTCCGAGATGAATGGGAAGTAGGCTGCATTCCAGCAAACATAAAGATGCGAAAACCATCGCACCACGTCGCGCCATTCAATCCAGAAACAACCACAGTCCTCCTTGCCCTGGAAAATACAAAGAGAGACACAGGAAAGACGTAAACTTCAGTAAGAAATCGTTTCTAAGCCGGAGGCTGTTCATCAGCCAAAAAATGCCTCAAAAACAGGACCACAACGACTGGTCACAGTTCACAGGTTGCTGAGGCCTCGGGCTTAGGCCTCAAGTGTCTTTCGACGCTCAGCGTGAACTACAGGCTTAAAAGGGTGCGGCTAGAGAGCCTCCATTATGCCTTGTTTTGGTTTAGTCTCAGCCGGAATTTATCCAACCTAGCACCAGCAGAGCGTCAAGACTGAACCCTGGGCCCTCAGACTCACCGCCACTGCTGGATCGTAGTCCAATGCATCCTTCAGCTGCTGGGTCCATGTCTTCTTGTCCCCCGGCGAAAATTTTCCACGCCAGCGCATGCAGCCCCAAGGATTCTTCACGTACAAAAGGCGGTGGCCAAACACCTCCGCGTGGCGCAAGACGGAATAGGCATGGCGGGCCACTATACCTGGGGTGACGAGCACAGCAACAGAAGAATAACGAGCATGAAATATGAATTCTAAAGAAAACGATCAGGGTAAACGAAACTGGAAGGAACAATGAAAAGAGGATCACATAAACCGACGACACAAACATACCTGTGCTGACAGAAACCCCCTCAGGGAAGTCGAGGCCGCTTGGCGCCGCGTCAAAAACTTCACTTGTGCCCAAGCAAGCTACGCACCGGCCTTCACTGAGACCCCTGGTAGCACAAGTAGCAATGCGAGCAAAAAGGAAAAGCGCACATTGAGACAACAGCGTACCCCGGCAGACGAGCTACTGCTACGAACAAAGAATAAATGACAAAGCAAATGATATGCAAGTGACAAAGAAACAATCAAACAGGCGAAGTGATAAACATAGGCAAGCAAATCTACGGTCACAGCCTTAGCCCAACATGCAGCCAACCATACACCCACCCCAAATCCAAGCTACTTCCCAACTCCACCTTCTGTTAAGCCCATTTCAGGCAGCATACATAAATAAAAAATATATACACCGCTCATGCTGAATGGAACATACTATTTGCGCGTTTAAGCCGATTGCACTATACCCAAAGGATCCAGCCAACTGCTCCCCTTCCAAAACATACCTATTGAGCTGAAACCAAACGACATCCCACGCTGGATTTTGTCTCTGCCTCTGCAGCACTTCGTCCGTCTCTCCTCCAGTGACGATGGGAGTATGCGTGGCTGGCGTGCCAGTGTGGACGTCGCTGCGGAACGGGATGGTTTCAGGGAGCCAGCCAGTCAAGTGGTACAGGTCGGCCCCCGGGTTCGAGCCCTGCATGCTGTAGCTGCCACCCATCAGCTTCACAAATGCCTTTTCCAATAAGGAAACCCACAGCTCGGACGGTTGCTGAGAATGCGCGCACAGCAGCTTTCCGTCCCGCCGCGTGGGCACATAGTCATCGACCAGCACCTTGCGGGGAGCCCCATTGAAGAACAGCTTCACGCCGTACATCCCACGGGGGTTGTACACAGGGCGAGAGCGGTACCTGCTGCTGCTGCTGCTGCTGCTGCTGCCAGGGGTGCAGCTGGCAGCAGCTCCTGGCTGCACCCGTTTCTGGGGGTAAATCAGGCTAGATATTACGGGCAAGCCATGGCGGCGCTCGTAGTCCGAGAGAACCGCCAGGGAGGAAAGGAAGGAGCAGTCGCCCACAAAGCCCTGGCGGATGCTGCGGCTGCAAGGCAGGTCCAGCAGCACCTGAGGTTGAGGCACAGCCTGCTGCTGCTGCTGCGGTTGCTGCTGCTGCTGCTGCTCAAGCGCGTCGCTGATGCGACGCCATGCATAAAACTTCTGCTGCTGTTTCTGCGAAAGAGTCAGAAAACCCTCAGGGTCCGCCCACCGCCCGCCCACCCAACCCAAAGGGTGCGTAGCTGCTGCTGCTGCTGCAACTGCTTTGGCTGCCCGCGAAATAGTGCTAGCAGCTGCTGCTGTTGGCTGACCAGAAGGGGAACTGCCGCCGCAGCAGCCCTCCGTCATGTAGAGCCCGTCGTGCCCGGAATCTATTTGGGAGCCGCGCCGCCGGTGCTTCGGGTGCTGCTGCTGCTGCAGCAGCTGCTCTTGCTCTAGCAAAGGACCCGCAGCAGCTGACCCTGCAGGCATAGAAGAAGCCCTCGGAGGAGGCACTCGACTGTGTATGGCAACTGGCTGCGTTTGAATGCCAGCTGCAGCGGCGGCAGCAGCTGAAGCATCCGTGCTGCAGCTCATGCTGCTGTTGTCTGGAGGGTCGCATTCGAGGTAAAAGTTGCTGCTAATGTCCTTATCAGTTTCACTCCACGGTAGCATCAAAAAAGGTCCAACAACAGAAGATTCCATCAGCAGCTGCTGCGCGTATGCATTGTAGCTGCTGCTGCTGCTGCAGCAGCTGCTGCTACTACTGCTGCTGCCGCCACTAACCTCACGCAGAAGTTCCATCTGAAGGTTACTGCTGCCACTGCAGCCGCGCGCTGCTGCCGCAGCAGCAGCAGCAGCTTCTGCAGCAGCAGCAGCAGCAGCAGCATCGTCTCCATCCAGAACAGCAGAAGACGACCACTGGAAGGGGTCCCCGTGGGCCACCTCTTCTGCTGCTTCACCGCCAACTATGTCCACACAGCCTTTATCGTTATAAGAAGCAGCTGAGGCCTTTCCTCTTCCTGCTGCTTCTGCTGCTAAGGGCCGAGATGCTGCAGCTGGCGGCGCCACGGCTTCCGCTTGATACAGCCGCCGCTGGGGCCGCTGCAGCCTGCTGCTGCTGCTGCTGCCCGCAGCAGCAGCAGACGGGTCGCTCCACCCCAGCCCGCAATTCGGCGCCCCCTGCTGCCTAGCTGCAGCAGCAGCAGCAGCGGCCGCTGCTGCTGCATGCGCTGGCGTCCCAGGTGCTCCTGCTGCTGAGGCCCCGATCTCGCTAAACGCGCTTGCACCCGACTGGAGCAGCAGCTGCTGCTGCCCCTCTGGCTGCATGCGCAGGTGGTCTTCTCGCAGCAGCTGTTGTTCCTGTTGCTGCTGTTGCTGCAGCGCCACGTCAGATGGCTCCTCGGGCCGAACTGCTGCACCCGGGGAGGCAGCAGCAAGGTTCAGACCAGCCGCAGCACTAGTTGCACTAGCTGCTGAGGTGGGGCGAACCGCTGCGTTCTTAGTGCACTGGGCTCCCATGGTCTGGTGCCCTTGCTGCTGCCGCTTCTGCTGCTGCTTGTGCTGCTGCTGCTGCTCCAGCTGCAGCAGCTTGGGGTGTAAGTGGAGTCGGCTTACTACAGACGACCTGCAGCAGCGCCGCGCATTGCAGTGAGACGCCATACACTGCTGAGACTCCTCCTGATGCAGTTCCCGCACTTCAGCTGCTGCTGAAGTCGCTGCTTTTGTCTGTGCTGTTGTATTTGCTGTTGCCGTTCTATTTGCTGCTGGCGTTCTGGTGAGGCAGCAGCGAAGCTGATAGTACAAGTAGCGACCTTTCTCTACAGCGACTGTTTATTCTGCTGATGCTGCTAGTGCTTATCCTCCTTCGGCTTCTGTAGATGTTCGTCGATGCGACCTGCTGCTGCTGCGGTAGTGTCCAACGGATTGCGCAGCAGCAGCTGCTGCCGCTGCAGCAGCGCTAGCTGCAGCTGCTGCAGTAAACGCCAGCAGTGCTTCTAGTTTTGCTACTGAGCTCCCTGCTTCCTCCACCCCTTGCTTCGCAGTCCGAATATCTCTACTCAGAAGAGCAGCAGCAGCTGCTGCTGTGGCATGGAAGTCGCAGTAGCAGCTACAGGCGCCGAGTGTGGCCACAATAGAAGTTCTGCAGAAGTAATTTGACTTCCAATACTTATCGTTAAGCAGCTGCGATGGCTGCAGCACTGCATCAGTAGCACCTGCTGCTGCTCCGTTTGCTGCCGTTGGGCTGCGCTGCAGCAGCAGGCTGCTGCGCCCTTCTTCTGTACATACACTGCGAGCGACAGCAGTTGCGCCTACAGAGAAAGAAACGAACCCAGAGATTCGTTGGAGTTCCTGCTGCAGCAGTCGTTTGGCGGTAAGGCGGCAGCAGCCTCGCGAGCAGCAGCAGCAGCAGCAGCTGCTGCTGCTGCTGCAGCTGCTGCTACTGCATCGGCAGCGCGCACTGACGGCTACTGCTGCTGTGGTGGCGCCTGTCCCCTGACCCTCTGTTCTGCTTCCTGAGTAAATAATTATATGAATCTCTGCCTTATAGCACAATTTTGAGTGCACCAGCTGCAGCAGGACCGCCAACAGCAACCTAACAGCTGCAGCGACGAGCTGCTGCTCCCGTCGGCGGAGACCCCGTGGGACCCACCATTTACCTCAGCTCGCTGGGCTTTGTCTCTGGGACAATTGAACGATTGCCTGTTATTTTAGTTGCTACTGCTGCGGCGCTGGCTGCAGCAGCTGCTACGGCTGCTGTACCAGGACAAGACAAAGACAGCAAGGCGCTGCATGTGCCGCAGCGTGTGGGGCCGCGACCGACCCCAAAACAGCTCTCACAAGAAACGACGAGTGCAAAAAACACAGCGGCTACACTTGCTGAAACTGCAACAGGCGAAGTCTTAGCAGTAGCGGCAGCAGCGACGGCAGCAGCAGCGCTAGTGGCGGCAGCAGCTGCTGCGGCAGCTGCACTAAAACAGGGAGGCTCTGCTGCTCTTCCCTAATAATCAGTGGAGACCATCCACATTGGAGCAGCAAGGCCAACAGCAGCTGCGACAACAACAGCAGGTGCTAGACCAGCACCACAGTGGAAGCAGCACCAACCGGTGCTCCTTGCAGAACGCACTACAACAAGCAGCAGCAAACGGCTGCCTATGAGCCGAGCTGCAGCCGCAGCAGCAGCAGCTGCTGCTGTCGCTGCAGCAAGACAGTCAGAGAAATGTAGGCGACAACGCGCAGCACCATCGTGGGTAGTGTTCCTGTTGCTGCTTTGCTGCTGCTGCTTGGCCCGGCTGCAAGCCACAGACGCAGCAGCAGCCACGCCAGCGACAGCACAAGCAGCAGCAGAAGCCGCACCTGAAGTCTACAGCGAAGTTGTTTTCACAGAGCCGCTGCGCTCTCGGGGCCTTTTTCTTGCGCACTTCGACCTGCGGCTGCGTTCCAGCATTCTCGGTGAGGCTGCCCTTTGTTGCTGCTGCTCTCAGCTGCTGCTGCTGCAGCTGCTGCTGCAGATGCTATCGTCTCTGTAGGTCAAGTTGCTTCTTTTGCTGCGAATGCTTTCAGATGGAGTTTACTCAGGGTCCGGGCTGCATGCCCATTTGTTCCCGCTGGACCTCGCCCGGCTGCTCAGCACCCACCTGCTGCAGCAAGACAGCAACAGCCTGCTGCAGCAGCAGAAGCAGGAGCTGCCGCATGCTTACTCATTCATTGACTTGTCTCTGACACAGGGAAGATGGAAGGCGAACTTGTGGGGGCCTGCAGCAGCAGCAGCAAAGCCTCCAGGGGCCTTTCTGCGGGCAGGGCTCTCACAGCACCCTTCTTACCACCAGAAGAGGTCTGCTTCTGCTGCTGCTGCGCACACTGCTGCTGCTGCTCCTCGCGCTTGTGCTGCTGCTGCTCTTGCCCTCACGGCCAGGTATTTCGGGTGTCTCATTTCAGAGGTACTTCTTGCTGCTGCTGTTGCTTCTGCTGCTGCTGCTCCTTCTGCTACAGGCTGTGGAGCCGTCTCGCGCACACGCTGGCATCAACAACCTGCAGCGCCTTATCGCGCCTTGCAAGCGCAACAGATGCTGTGGTGACACAAACAAGTGCTGCTGCAGCAGCAGCAGCAGCAACAGATCAAGAAGAGGAGCAGCAGCAGCCGCAGGGCTACGCGCAGCGCATGGCTTCTCTTCCTGAGGCAGCAATCTGTTCGGACACGCACAACAACATGTTGCGGCTGCTGCCCTGCAAGCAGCAGGTGAGCCGCGTGTTGCTGCTGATGTAGCTGCTGCATCTTGCTCCCCAGGCGAGGTCTTGCTGCTGCTGCTGCTGCTGCAGGCTGGGCTGTTGATGGTTGTTCATCCGTATTCTCTCGCGATCTCTCCCTACAAGTCTTACAGGCTTCGCATCACACCGTTTGCTGCTCAGCAGCGGCAGCAACAGCAGGAAGTCGCAGAGCTGCGGCTTGAGCTCTCTGTGGTGCTTCGATATCCAGATGAAGCAGACTGTGAGTCATTGCTGCAGCTACTGCTCCAGTTGCTGCTGCAGCTCCTGTCGCGGATGCTGCTGTGTTCGCTTTCTGCAATTGCTGCTGCGGTGTCTGCAGCAGCAGTTGCTGCTGCAGCTGCTGTGACCCCACTAATTTGGTCCTGCATGCGCTGCCGGACCTGCGGTGCGTCTGCTTTTGCATGCAGTGAAATTTTCGTTAGTGAATCTGTTTAGTCACGTGTACCTACACGTATTTCCCAAACCGTTTGAACCGAAGGCGGACGGGCAGCAGCAGCAGCAGCACGAAGAGCAGCAGAAGGAATCGCTGCTGCTGCAAAATCCCCCAGCGTTCGGGCGCTGGAATTGTGTTGCTGCAGGCAGCAGCAAGTGGCTGCTGCGCATATTTCACGAAGCAGACAGCAACAGCAACAGCAGCAGCAGGAGCAAAGACAGCAGCAGGGCAGATGAGCTGGTTCAGCAAGTTGCTTCAGCAGCAGGCTTCGCTACTTACGATGCTTTTGCGGTGGACGCGTCGTCATCCCTTATTATGTTCGACTTGCGTCAGCAGCAGCAGCAACCGCAGCAGGAGCAACAGCAACAGCAGCAGCTAGAAAGCTTGCTGAGCTATAGGTGGCGCCTTCCACCGGAGGCGCCTGGCTTTTCAGTTTCCCGCGGGCTTGCTGCAAATGCCATCAGACCAGAAGCAGACAAGTTGCATGGCAGGTTTAGGGTAAAGGGTTGAAGCTTTCGGGTTTTCGCGCGTAGAAGTCCATGCTGCTTTATAGAGACCCTGTGCTACTTCGTAGAGGCCCCCAAGTTGCGTCGTTTCTTCCCGTTAAGCCCTTGCTGCTGACGCTTGCTGCTGCTTTTGCTGCTCGTGCTGCTCCTGCAGGCTCGTACTGGGTTCTGTTTGAGAACAGTGGAGACAGCGCAGCCTCTGCTGCGTTTGTTGACTTGCTGCCGCGCAGCGTTTTGCCTCTTGTGGCTGCTGCCAAGCTGGTCAGGTACCCCATGTACCAGGAAACGCAGCAGGACTACCAGCTGGAGCAGCAGCAGCAGCAAGATTGCGATTTGGTGAGATGTCGTGGCGCCGCAATCCTGCTGCTGCGCTTGTCTCAGTGCTGCTTTCTGTAGAGCGTTGTTTGTTGCTTGTTTCTGCTGTTGCTGTTTCTATTTTTAAGCGTTGGAAGTGCTAACTCTGAGTACGCTTCTTGCTGTTCCTACTGTGCAGAGCTTGGAGGGTTCCGCAGCCGTCAACGCGTCTGGATTGAAACTCCAGACGCCTGTGACCAGTGGTCCGACTGCAGACGTTGCTGCGGTGGGAAGATCAGCTTTAGCTGCTGACATTACTGCTGCCATCGCTGCTGGTGAGGCGCCGCGTGGGGGCATGGACGACATGTGGCTGCCTCACTGGCTGCGGGTGCGCTCCAGCTTGCTGCCTGAAGGAGCTGCAGCAGCAGAAAAGCAGCAGGAGGGGGCTCAGCTCATGTTGCCGTCGGCTGTACTGCAAGGCACTGTGCGTGTGCCGGCCCGCTGCAGCATGCTGCTGTCACTGGGGCTGCAGCTAATGTTGCAGCAGCCACAGCTGCTGCACTCGAACCCCCAAGGTGGCAGTGCAGTTGGAGGCGCCTTTGCTGCTGTTCCTGTAAGCCTTGACTGTCTGCTGCGGCGGCAGTTTTCTCTGCATTAGCAGCAGCAGATGTGGCAGCAGTATATCCATTGGTCGCATGTTCAGCAGCAGCAGCGGCATCAAAATTGTCGAGCCCGGTTTGTTTTGTTGCAACAGAGGAAACTGGCGTTCGCCTGGCCTCCCCCTGCCGCTGTCTTGGGAAGCGCAGCAAACGCATGCACCGTCACGCAATCCCCACCGTGCAGCATCCGGCCGCTGCCAGCAGGAGCAGCAGCAACAGCAGAAAATCAGGTGCAGCAAGCGCCGTTAGAGCCGTTTTTAGGATTTAAAGAGTGAGACCAACACGAGCGTATTGCGCGTTGGGTTGCCACCGCAGCTACTTAGATATTTCCCTTGTAAGTGTTTTCATTGCTGCCGCTGCTACAATTTGCATGCTCTCAGGGATCTTGAGGAGAGGCAGTGGCAGTGGACAGCGACTGGAGGCACCCGACTTAAGCTGCCGCTGCCGGATTTCGGTGGGCTTTACAGCAAGCTGCAGTACTAGCACCCAACAGCAGCAACAAAGAACCTGGTCGCATCAGGAAAAGCAGCAGTAGCAGCAGCACCACCGACACTGTGCTTGGGTGCTGTGCTGCAGATATGCCTTTCAACGTCATCGCCGTCTCGGGCACATCTTTAATGATTTTATTTAGCGCGACATTTAGGCTAGTCGTGCACAGAAGATAAGCATAAGCAGCCTTGTGCTGATCCTGTTGCTACGGCTACTGTCGCAGCAGCAAAAACTTCGATTGACACGAGCAGTCTTCATTGCTCACGCAGGGTTAAAATTAAAACTATTATGCAGCCATAACAACTGCAGAAAAATTGCAGCAGCTGCTGCTGTTTCATGCAGCAAGTGGTGCTGCGTGCTGCCGCTGAAATTCCACGCAGCAAGTGTTGCGGTACAACTTGCTGCTGCTGCAGCAGAAAGAACAAAACCTATGTGCTTGCATTTATCAGAGGGACGAAGAGGGAGATGCTGCTGTTGTAGATGTTGCAGCACTGGCCTCAGCACCGCAGTGCCTGCCGCAGCGGCGGCAGCGAAGCTGCTGCTAAGGTCCCTACAGAGAATCGCGTCTTGCCCTGTTTCTCTTTGGGCACTCTAAAAAGGGGCTCCATAGAAACATAAGAAGCCGTGTGAAGGCGTTCAGTTGTTTAGTGCAGCAATCGTCTGATGCTGCGGCGCTGCTGCTGCCGTTAAGCCCCGCTTCAAGGTCAACGAAGTCCTTTGCAATCATCTGTGCCTGCTGCTGTTCATGCAGCTGTTTCGCGGAAGGGCCGTTGCTGCTGCAGCCGTTGCTGCTGGAAAACGCAGTGCTCTGCAGCTCGTCAGCTAGAGAGGGGGGCGTTTGTATTTCGGATGACTGGCGCTGCTGCTGCTGCTGCTGTGACAAATGCATGCGCAGCATGCGGGGAGACGCAAGGGGCAGCATGGGCAAGCCGCTGCTGCTGCCGCGGGGTGTCTGCGGCAGCGACATGTCTTTATTTATTCCCAAGCCAGGCGCTGCCTGCTTGTCAGATTGGCCCCGAATGCCACTCCCCTGCTGCTGCTGCTGCTGCTGAATTTGCTGGTGCAGCGACCTGTTGCTGCCGCCGCTGGCGGTAGCAACAGAGTGATGGCTTGCTGCTGCTGCTCGGAGCTGCTGCCTTAGCAGCAGCACCTCCTCGTGCAGCTTTTTGGCAGAGTCCGCACATGCCTCTTTAGAGCTCTGCAGCGCTTGCAGCTGCGCAGCAAAAGTCTCTCGCTCTTGAGTCAACTTCTTTGCCCACTCTAGTGCAGCACTGGCTCGCTGTGACCTTGCTGACAGCTGCTCCTGCTGCACTTCCGTCTGGAGTTCAGCATGGGCCCGCCGCAGCGCCTCTCGCTCCTGCCGCAGCTGCTGCTCTCGAGTCCGCAGCTGAGCGGCTTCTGCTGCTGCAGCCTGCAATGCAGACTCCCGCTGCTGCAGTAACTCCTGCTGCAGCAGAGACTCTTGTTGCTGAGCCTTCAGCTGCCGACGCAAGGAAGCCAACTGCTGCCGCAGACTTGATGCTTGCCGCTCCAGCGCCTGCTGAACCTCCCACTCCTGCTGCTCCCGCTGCTGCTGCAGCTTCTCAAACACCTGCACGCGGATGCTGTCGCGGTTGCTTCCATTCTCAGTTGCAGTGTCATTCGTCTCAGGCTCAGAGCCTTCATAATCTGCGCTGCAGTATGTGCTTTCGGGAAGTCGTGAAGACTGCAGCAAACGGCAGCCACGAGGTGTACGTACGCTGTCGTGCTCACCCTCTGCAAGCCACTTCAAATCCCTATCCTCAGATTCAGAAACAGTCCACGAGAGTGTAGCTGCTGAAGTTTTGGGGTGTACTGACTCCACGTCACGTGGGATCTCGGCATTAGACGCAGCACCAGACTTGCCCGGCTTTATTCCTTCCGTTGGGAGTAGCACACAAAGACGGGAACCGCTGGCAGGTGAACTGTCAGTTGCAGCAGCAACAAAAGCATCTGGCACAGATGGTGATAAAATTTCTTGCGTCTTTCCACCTTCAGTTGCCGTGCTAATGGCTGGAGAGACAGCGAGCACCTCATATGCCGGCATCTTGGTGTTTATGCAGTTGAGATGACTCAGCGATTGTTTGCAGCGCTTAGGTCTTCTCCCACTCGAATGAATGCCCCACCCCCGCAGCCTTAGCTGCTGCTGCACTGCCGTCTTCTGCCGCTATGGAACAGCGCACCGCGGCAAGAAGCCCACGGCGATGAGATTCCGCTGGCAACAAGCACGCGGGCGAAGAAAGGCGTTAGCCTGTCTCAAAAAGCTAATTAGAGTTGTCTTTAGTGAAGGCTGCCAATAGAGCTGTGCAGAGCACAAGGACACAGAAGAGGCCCTGATGAACGCGACAGGGCGTGCCCGCCACGGTAGGACATGAGGTGCATTCCCTGCCTCCTCACAGACATTGGCTGGGCGGTGTGTCTCTGTGGCTTCAGATTAAACATAAACAAATGCTATTTTTGCTTGAGGGTTTTGAATCGGTCAGAACATGTGCACATTAAGCATCCACGGGCTCCAGGGCTTCGCCGCTGGCGACCGCAGGACCACGGGCCGGTACCAACTTCAAGCTCAGATCGCCGTCCAGTGCCCATAGAAGAAGATGTCAATGATTTTTGGTATCTACTTTTTCTACAATGCTTCGAAATTAGTGCATTTTATAAATATGGGATTATATGGGGCTAGTTGCTTCTTATGAGTGCTCCTCAAGGGCCGTTCAATAAGGGGCTGCGCCACCTCAGAGCGCGTACGCTTAGATATTTGCGGTGCGTGCAAACTGTGTCTCTGCTAGTCGCGTGGGAAATGGATGCATTTACTTCCAAAAAGGTGGCTTAAAAAACTGAAATCTCCTGGTTTACGGGGACGAAACATCAATGAATTCTGCTCTAAGTTGCCGCCAAGATATTCGGCGCCTCGGCGCACTACAATGCACGCTAAGGCCTGCAGGGCTCGAAAAGCCATGATCCTGGCTAACGGCACCTTCTATTAAGCGGATAATGAGTTGAAAAACAGCAAGGAATTTTTTCGACAGAAAAAACCAAATTAGCTATATGGGCGTCTCGATGATCGTAAATTTTCGGACCACTGGTCCGACGTGTCGGCCGCAACCTCGAATATCTACAAGTTTCGAGTTCCTCCAAAAAACTGGAGGAAATTAGATACAGTTTGACAGTTTCATATACTTAAAATTTGTAGCTCCACTGTAGGCATACTAATATTCATTCGCTGCTTCACTGTTCGTCGGACTGGCGCAGCCCGTGCCGACTGGTTGGAAATCTGAACAGATAGTGCTTGGATACAGAATCCAGGGGTCGATTGTTTTCAATAGCTTTTAATGTAGCACTGAGTTTGTTAATTTGGTCATTTTTTAAATTGGAACCATCTTCTCCGTTCAATCAAACGCAGAAGAACGTTCCACACCTTTTTTGAACGCGCACGTGAGAATGGTGGTCTTTCAGCTCCATGCACTTAGTGTTTAACTGAAGAATAGAAGAGCTCCTTTATTCATGAGTAATTTATCCGGCAAATGGTCAAGAAAGGAATAGAGTGGTGGTTGCTGGTCTTCCTAGGCGTGGGCTTGTGGTGCAACTTTTGCCGAGAAGCCTAGTTATCAGTAAATGCCGCGGCTGTTGCACCCGACAAATTGCCGAGAATAGTGAGCAGACTAAGCTTTTTTTTGTAAACGGATTCACATCCCATATTACCAGCAGAGACAGATATAGCATACGCAGCAAGTGGATAAACACGCACGTGCAGAGGGACTGCAGCACTTTTGTGAACGGCCCTTGATGCCCGCAAAGGAGAAACAACTAGTCCTAATCATTTTAAAATAAACTCATTTATCAAATAAGGGGCATTTCGGGAAAAGCTAAGGGAAAAATGCTGTACATCATCTGAGGGCACTCGACAGTGATCTTGCTTCGAAGTCGCGGCACTGTATGGTCCTGCAGTCGCCGGCAGCAATCGCCGGAGCCGCTGTCTGCTTGATATGCTCATTTACAAAGTATTTCCAAGCCTTTAGCCTCATTTTTTATTTATTTACGTATAATCTCAAGCCAGAGAGAAAAACAGACCAAAGTCTATGAGGAGGCAAGGAATGTACTGCACGTCTTACCCTGGCGGGCTCGCTCTGTCGCATTCATCCCTTGGGGCCTCTTCTATGTACTTGCGCACTGTGTGGCTCTATTGAAAGGCCTCTAGTAACTACAACTTCAAACAGCTTTTTGACGGAGGCTAGGACCTGCAGCCAGCGGACTCTCCTCACCTTTGCGTTCTTTGCTGCTGAGCGCTGCACTACTATAGCAGCAGACAGCGGCACCAGCAGCAGCTAAGGCAACGAGGCTGCTCTTTTTACTTCGAAGCAGCCACCGCGGAGCGGCTAATCGTTGACTCATCTCAGCTCAAAAAGCATAACACTATTTACGCCAACATCCCAAGATGCCGGCCTACGAAGCACCCTTCGTCTCCCCAGCATTTGCTGCTGCGGTGAGTGCAGGACAGGAGCCCAGTGAATCCCAAGAAGTTGAAGCTGAAGGCTCCCTTTCGAGGGTAGTGACGGGGGCCTGCATGATGCTTTTTGCTGCTATTATAGTTGTTTGTGAGCTGTATGCAATTTTTATTTCAAAGCTCCTCCCTTACACAGGGATTTCCTGGCTTGACGCCATTAAGGACGACTGGCATTTCTGTCTCATCATTCCAGCTAACGTTGGCGCCTCCGTGTTTTTCATATACTGGAACTGGTTCGCCCTTACCGTATTCAGGAACTGCCGGAACGTCTCCTGCTAAATTTTTGCCGCATCTTGTCTACTTGAAACAGGTCCCAAACACACTACGAGTGTGCTGCTGTATGCCAGTTTACTTCTAGCTCTGCTCTGTTCTCAGTACACGGAGAAGAGCACCATTTAAATAGATAATTAAACAGGAAGAAACATCATAAGCGAAACAAGAACGCACGGTACCCGTAAATTGCTTTCCCGCTGCTTTCGAGTTGCATTACACTCGAACCCGAGTCTTGAAGATGATTCATTTCTAACTAGAAGTGCGCACCAAGCCTGACCTTTGCTAAGTGCAGTAAACGCAATAAAACTGTGTTGGGTTTTTTCACATATCAGCTTTGTATATGCGTAAAGCTAGACGCTTTTGTATTGTTCGCTTTCTAGGAGCTGCCTGTACACCCCGCATTGTCCGACTAGAAGGCGAATTCACCTCAAATCACAAAGGTATACAGATTTCCTTCAGTTGGCAGAAAAACAAAACATTTCAACCAAGTCGTTGCACTGGCTGTTCCCAAGTTTCCGTCCACTGCCTCATTCCACCAATGCAGACGAACTGCAGCGTCCTTCTTAAGAGGCCGTGGGCTTCTCGAGCCAGAAACAAAGCCCCCGAAACAGGCCCAAATGGATTTTCTCGCTCATCAACGCGAGTCACAACTGAGCCAGTTAATCTGCTACCCGTGTCCAAGCAGGACTTGACAAAGCTGCCAAGTAGATTCCTACTGTGCACTTTCAGTTTGAAAGCTTCATCTTTCGATCACCTTGTCTCTTCTTCTAGGCGTTCCGCAACCGAGTGCTCCCCCAGAAACTTCAACATGCTACGACACAGAGTTCTCAGTTTCCATCCCCGCGTCGGCTGTTGGGCGGTATACTTCATTTTCGCAGAGCGGACGGTACGCGCTCAGTTGGTTTCTTCTCCATGTGTATCCACCACATAGTTTGTGTGTGCTCCCTTCAGCTCCCAATTCCCAATTCGTTTCCGAACTGCAATGGACGTGGCCCGGGTCTTCACGGTAACTTTGAATTATATTATTGCACCTCCAGTAGAAATGGCAGCGCCTCACTGCTCCTTGCCTCCACCAGATGCACGCGCAAGGTCGTGCACTGGCGTGCCCCGCGCCTGGCGCCTCCGCACTTCTCCTGGTGTCTGAAAAAGGGGCCAAAGGCTTTAAAGCCTGCGAGGCTGCCGCGGCCATTCTGCAGGAGAAATGCGGCATATCTTTGGAGCGCCTGGAGGTATGTGCTCTATGCTGCTGCCTATTAGACAGTCTTGGCATTTTTTTTCGGCAATTTGGCATCAGGGCTGCGCTGAGATCGCACTGGCCAGTTTTGAATTGCCCCTGCTGGCCTCGCTGCTGTCTCTGAGTCTTCGCACTCGGTTGCTGCAAGAGGGGGGCTGGATCCACTGCGGCGACGCCATGCAGCACATGCTGGACTCCGCCGTGCTGCAGCAGCAGCCGGAAGAGCAGCAAAAGCGAGCCTACGTGAACTGCCCCGGGTTCAGCTTTGGAGTCCGAGTCGTCAGCTGGGGCCCCCAGAAAGCAGGGGGCCCCCTGCTGGCCCACGGCCAGCTAAGAGTGATGCCCTTCATCTATCGGGTGCTCCCAATAAAAGAACAAGAAGAGCCAGGCAGAAGTGTGTACTGCCTTCCTCGGCTCGTGTCGCCTGCCACTTTGGAGCGGCAGCAGCAGCAGCCGCCCCAGGACAGCCCCTTAAGATCCAAAGAGGAGTTCAAGCTGTTCTGGTAAGGCTTTTGCATGCACGCTGCATGCAGCCCTTAGCCAGGGCAAAAACTTGCACAGGCTGCTGCAGCACGGCTACCAGCTTCCAGAGAGTTCTCTGCGTCAGTTCGCCACAGGTGCGTCGACGCAAAGCCAACTTCACTTTGAAAAAAACAATTGTGCAAAATGTCAGTGACTTTTAATGGCAATCTCGAGCTCTGCTACCCTCAAGGTTTGTTCACTTCGCCATCCTCTCTTCTCCATTTTGAAGACTTTTCACTCTGCTGCAGGCTGCTGCTGGCGCGAAGCCCCCTACGACCTGTCAGTGCTGCTGGCTGCTGTCCTTTGTATATCCAAAACTCTAGACTGTAGAACTTCAGAGCTGAACTCCTCCCCAGAAGCAAACTAGTGGCTTTTCTTCAGGCCTCGAGTGTCTTCGCAGGCCAAAGGACTTGTGGCTGCTCGCGCCTTCTACTGCCTTTCAAAGTGTGCAATTTTGCATGCAGCCGCCATCACTGTAGCAGTACCCGCTGGTCTGCCTAGCTTCCAACCCCGGCCACCTCAGGGGCCCCTCCAATCAACAACTGTACAAAAAGACTCTTCTCTTGCTGCTGCTGCTCCTAAGGAGGAGCCGCGACCCCAGGCAACTTTTGCAGAACTGAACCAGCCCGGAGCGGGGCCTGGAGGTCCCGACCGGCTGCTGCCTCCCCCTTGCCTCTCGAAACGTGCAAAGACAGCGGAGCTTGAGGAGGATACAGAAAAAGCCCCTCAGCTGAACTCTTGTACAGAAGCCCCAGCAGAAGTGCCCGAAGAGGCGGAAATAGATGAAGAAGACACAAGCGAAAAGATGGACGAAGAAAGAGAACAAACGGAACAACCTGCCGCAATTGTCACAAGGCCGCTCCCGCCACTAGCTACGTACTCAAAGGGGCGGCTAGCCGCAGCGGCAGCAAAATTTGAAAGACTGACCACGCAGCAGCAGCACCAACAACTAAAAAAGCTGGAGCAGCAAACGTTACCACAGAAACGCATAGAGGCTGTCACCACAAGCGCTCAGAGCAGAACTTCTTTTCAAGCGCCCGCAGTTGCAGCGAAGCCCGCAGCAGCAAATGCTTCAAGAAAAAGCGCTGGAGGCGCTGCAGCAGCTCACGGAACTGCTGCAGCACCTGCGGAAAGAAAAATGAGTTCAACAGTTCCTCTGGCTACTGAAGCAACTTCGAAATCCAATAAGGCGGCGAAAGCAACTGCAGGCGCATCCCTGGCAGCTACTTCAACTGCAGCAGCAACATCTGCAGTTACAGCTAGTGCTGCAACGCCGGTGGGAGCAGCAAACAATCCAGTTCGTCATGTGGCAACTGAAGAAACTGCAACAGCTCCTGCGTTAGCTGCAAAAGCACCTTCGGTAGCAGCGCCAGAAAATGTCGCTGCAGGACTGGTAACACAAGCAACAGCTATGGCAAGAGTACCAGCTACAGCAGAGTCTGCAGCAAAAGGATCTGAAGCATCAGTAAGAGTAGAGACTGAAGAGCAAGGCACAGTCTTGACACAATCTACGAAAAAACGCGGGAGGTCATCAAAGAAGCCGAAGCTACAGCAGCCTCTAGACCAGTCTCAGCAACAACGGCAGCAACAGCTGCTACTGCAGCAATCACAAAACGCTGCCCTGTCTGAAGGTCAGAGTGCTGCATGCGTTCCCCCAGACATTCCCCTTGCCGCGCTGCCGACTGCAGCTACAGATGCCCCAAAGAAGAAAGGAGCAAAGCCACAAGGCGCGAAAGGCTCTCGACGAGGTGGAAAGGGAGCCAACTAGGCTCAGCTGCTGCAGAAGACACTTCAGCTACAGCAGCACGAGCAGCTACTGCTGCTGCTGAGTTAAGAATTATGCACGCTTGTGCGAGACTAGGCAGCTGCAACTTGCAGCTGCGTTTGTCTTTGTACTTCTTTAAGTCCTTCCCTTAGTTCGTCTGCACTGTCTTTGACTCTCTGCAAAAACTGCTGTGGTGTCTCAGCGGCAAACGCGTGTTTGACCACGGCCCTGAGTTTCTTCAGCGCCCCATCTCTGTCTCGATCTGCCTCATCTAAAATTCCCTTGCTTCTTCTTTTCTCCCTCTTTTCCGCACATTCCAAGTGCTGGCTCATTGCTGCTGCCCTAGTTGTGATCGCCTCTGGGAGCCCCGCGAACTGCGCTACTTGAACACCGTAGGACTGGTCTGCGTGGCCCTCGTTGACGTCATACAAAAATGTTATTTGTTTCTTTTCCTTACAAACTGCTGCCTTCACGTGGTAATTGCGGACCCCAGCCACCTCACCCTCCAAAGATGCCAACTCCAAAAAATGAGTCGCAAATAAAGTGAAGCTGCGAGCTCGCTCAGCCAAATCCTTGGCTACGGCCCAGGCAAGTCCGAAACCCTGAGCAGAAAGACGAGGTCATTAGCAAACACAAATAATCCGGGGTTTACGTACTAGACTAATATCTCAGCAGTAGCAACACTCGCACAACCAGAGATCAAGCAACAGTACAGCCTTCGGCATCGCAGCAGCTGCCGATACACACTTCATAGGTAGACGTCCCTCTTCCCAGTTCATCGACAATGACGAGGCTTTGAGGCCCCGCATTTTTGAGAATGGCTGTGGCCTCGACCATCTCTGCAAGAAATGTGCTGACGCCCCGCAGCTGGAGGTCTGACGCTCCCACTCTGCACATGATTTGTCTGAAAACCGGCATGGTGCAGCTTTTGCAAGGCACAAAGCTGCCGATCTGCGCTAGCAACACGCATAGCGCCACCTGCCTTATGTAGGTAGACTTTCCTCCCATGTTGGGTCCTGTAATCAAGTGCAAACGGGAAGACTCCGAATCCATAAAGCAGTCGTTTGCGATGATGGAACCCCCTAGGCCCTGCACCTCTAGCAGGGCGTGGCGGCAGCTTTCCAGCCTCAAGACGCCGCCTGATGAACAAAACATACAATAGTTGCGGCACCGTAGTGCGCATTACGGCTGTAGTGGTAGTGGGGGTGTGTATATGTATTACATGTAAATATATGTATGACTGTGCTTGTACACATAATCTAAATTAAGTACAATTGTGCACAGTGATGTCTATGTAGTCGTGTAAGTATACTTGAGTTTGCGTATATGCGTGTAAAACAGAGGCTGCAAGAGGACAGCAAGCCCTCCTAAAAAAGCAAAAAAGCGCGACACGAGCAGGGGCAAGGAGAGCAGAAGAGCTGGGCACAGGTGCCCCGACACAGAACTAGAAAAAGATGAAGAAGCGGAAAATAATAGGAAAATAAGAAAGGAAAGGGCACGCATACCCTCAGGCTCTATGTGAGGCCTAACATAAGGAATAGGCGCTGTCAGAGCAACCGCAGCAAAGGCGCCCAATACATCAATTGTGCCTAAGAGATCCGCCAGCTGTTCTGCTAATGGCCAGTAAGTAGACGCGACCTGTGCGTGCACCAAGAACAACGGAAAAACGACTAGATGGCTAATGATCAAACTGGGCAGAGTTAGACAGTAAGGAATACCCAGAAGACAAACGGACAAGGGCACCAAAAGTAAAAACCGAAACAAGTAGATGGGTAAAAATGAAATTGGAGAGATACACACAGTACGTAATACGCAGGAGACGAACGGACAAGAGGATGAGCACTCGGCAGAGGTGAAGAAGCACAGAAGCACGAAGCTAACAAACGGACACACGAACAAAACTGAACAAAGAAGACAAACGAAAAAACTAGATCGCCCCTTTACCAGGATGAATCCAATGCAACTGTCCAGCTACTCGACGTCTATACATGCCCGTACAAAGCAGCAATGACAGCAGCAGCTTTTAATGTGTCTGATCTAACCTGTATTGCTTTGTCAACTAGTGCTGATTGCAGCTGCTGGTATTCGTCGCATGTGTCTTTGTGTCTTGAGGCTAGAGCCCGCAGCCGATTGGTAGAGAAGAGCAGCTCGTTCTTGTTCAACCGAATCTGCTGGAATTCTTTCTTGCGGCTCTGAGGCGTCAAATAAGCAAAAGATTGTCCATGCCAATAAATCCTGAGAGCCGTTAATAGTAAAGCCCAGAATCAAACGAACGGCTAAATACATTGATGGCAAAAAGGAATAAGCAACCAGAAGGCAAGGCACAAATCTAGATCAAAAACGCGCAGTCCAATAATTGAAAAACAAACGAACTGAGAAGCAAACAAATAAACGAAATTATCAGTCGCTCACAGATGCATGGATGCATGCGTGGATATATTGCGGCTTACTAAAACGGCTTGCTGATCTCTCTTTACCACTCTTAGGGCAAATCCTAGAGTGGGGTCTTCTATGAGTTTGACTGCATCTCCATCTCTTCGCTTTGGGATATCCAATACTTCTTCAGCCCTCTGCCTTTCCTGCTGCAGCTGCATCAGCAGCAAGTTGCGCTGCTGTAGTAGTTCGCCCATGCGGGGGTCAAATCGACTGTCTATTATATATGTGCCTCTCTTGGCCTCTTCAAGGTCGATAGAGTGTTCCACCAGCTTGATAAATGAAGAAAATGACGAAATTGTGGAATGAAGCTTTGTATAAAGATAAGAACGAACTGTGGAGCTGCAAGGCCCGCTGTACTCTCCTAGGGGGCCCTGAGATTCAATTGACAGAAGGCCAAGCACCAAAGTACTTATTTACTAGCAATTTGACACGATGAAATAACTAAAAACGATCGGCTACAAGAGGGAAGCATGGGCAGGGAAGGCGAAAATGGTGATAGGCAGTACATCGGTCACACATGAAAGCAAAAGATGCAGTAAAGATGCCACGTACAAGCAAACTGTTGCATTCCACAACGCAGTCGTAGAGCTTCACGAGATCCCCCAGACCCACGCCTAACCGCCTAAATGCAAAAGCAGAGACAGCAATATATATACAGACATGCTCAGCCCCAAACCCTAAAAACAAAATTTTAATTGTGAGAAAAGAAGGGACGCATGGGAAACACAAAGGTAAGCAGCTTTCACTTTACAAAGGAAACCAAAAGACAAATAGTAATGAAGTGCCACTACGCGCAGCAGGAGACATAATTATTGCGGAACAAACAGCAGCGCTTATTAAATATAACAGTGAAGCGAGCGACAAGAATGCGAAAAAGGAATTGTGTAGAAAAGGACCCACGGCGTCCGTTTGCCTCCCGTCTCTTTTGCTGCTTGCGTTGCCGCATGAATTCTGTGCAGCTTCGTGGCGAGTTTGTCGACGTCTGACACGTGCTTGAAGTGGCGTTGAAATACCTCCCGTCGAAAGACCTCCTAAGCGCAAACATTAAACCCAAAGTGCAAAAAGCTAAACCTTGCAGTGCAAATAGTAACGAGGCGGCCGCTCGCCGAAACTGCGTGGCCAGCTGACGGGCAAAATAAGAAAGATAAAGCAAGAAGGCATGCAGTGGTGGTTGGTTTCTTAGTGGTACTTGAGGGGTACGTACACCCAAGACCTACCTGCATGAACGCTTCCACCAGGTCATGTCTCCTTACTATTTCTTCAGCATCGACAAGGGGTTGGGAAATAAAAATGTGGAGGCGTCGGACGCCCAAAGACGAGCAACAACGGCGGGAGAACAAGCTGAACACTGATGTGGTGGCAGCTGAACCACCTGCTGCGGCTGCAGCAGCAGCGCCTGAAGTCCACACAAAACACGAGCGGCAGGCGCTCAGCCCTTAGCCATAAGCTCTAGACAGGATGGTACTTGAAGAAAAACACAGCAATGCACCATTCTTGAAGGCTTGGTGATAAGCTTTTAAGACCTGGGCTGCTCCTGCTTCCTACTTATTCTGTCCTTTGCTGCTGCGTGCGCCTCCCCGTATTTAGTACTGCAGGGAAGAATTTGCGGCTGCAGCCGCTGCTGCTGTGGCTGCTGTGGCAGCAGATGCAGCGCAACAGCAGCAGCAGCATCAACGTTCAGGAAGGACGAGATCGGATACGTTTCCAGGATGCACGAGTGGCACAGAGTCTCGTCAGACGCCAGCTGCTCGCACACAAACCCTCAAAGCCAATCACTGAACCCTTAATCCCAAAAGCTACACCTTAATCAAATGAAGCCGTGGCTCTGCTGCAGTCAACAAATCACTCCCTGTGAAGAGTTCACGAACACAGCACCCCTTTCAGGGCTTAGCGCACAGAAATTCTGATGTAGGCTTCAGAATCATCCGGAAGCCAAAAGTGCAATCCTTAAAGTCTAAACCCTATGCCTTCAATCCCAAGTTTTCAAAGATTCCCCCAAGCCCAAACCCTAAGCCCTCTTGGCTCACGCTCCAGTAAGATATAAGTGCTGCTAAGGCAGAGCAGGCAATCTCTAGGCGAAGCTCTTTGGCAGCTGCTGGCTTTAGGGCAGCAGCAGGCAAAAGGTACGAAATGTCTTGTGTCAGATTTGCCGCTGAATTGAAAACAGTGACAAACAGAAGAGCGAATGAGCAAATACATGAATTGGCGGCTTTAAAAAGAAAAATACAGGTCACGGACGAAAGCCACGGCTCAGCCAATGAGAGTTAGAGGACTCTTCGCTACTCATGTCATCAGTTCATAAACCTACTCGAAAAAAGACTTCTCTTCGCCTCTACCAGTTCCGCCCCAACTGCATGCACCACATAGGGCAGTCGCCGCAGCCAGGCTGCGCCGTCGCCCGCAGGAGCCAATACAGACATAGCGCCAACCTGTACGTACACTGCAACAAGTCAACAGCCTAATGACGAGCAGAAAATCCATATTAAGCTACAGTAGACTCTCTTGCTGCCAGCAAGCGCAGCTACTGCTGACATGCTGCTTGTGAGAGCTTGGCCGCGCCCTGCTGCGGCGTCCTGCTCTATTTTGTGGTGCCTTTTGCCTTTCTGCCCATGTCTAAGTCTCCGTGCTACAGATTCTGTGCAGCATGGGCCTCTGCTTTGCTGCGTAGAGTGTATACACACTTGCATGAGCACCGCCTCCAGCGCCGTCAAGTGCTCATCGCTGACAATCTCCGCCACACGTAGCGATGGCCGCCGAGGGTCAAACACCGCCAGCCCAAGGCGCAGCCCGTGGCCTACACTGTCGTTCTTGGCGCTCACGGCGCACATCACGGCGTCAGCGCAGTTGTCATTGAGGCCCTCATCGCCAGCGCCATCAAACCCAACGGCACCGCTGAGTCCCCCAGGACCTGCTGGCCCCCCAGACATAGGGGGGCCTGTGGGACTGTCAGAAGAGCAGGGGTAAGGCTGCATTGAGGCTGTTGCTGCGGTGAATGTAGTGGGGGGAGTCCCACACAAAACGCATGCACCGGGGAGAGGCAAATAGGGCGTTTGAAACGGGATTACAGGAGAGGTTTCGCGGGAGCTGGATCCGTTAAGGGCGATAGAACTTGAAGTTTCGAATTTAGGAACAACTGTTCAGGTTGGGAGATTAGCACTAGCACTGTTGCATAGGGTCCATGGTAGGGTGGTGATGGTGCCCCGGGAGGCCCGCTAGTTGGACTGCATGTAAGGAAAAGGGACTCGTGAAAAGGGGACTTAATTTCGAATTAATTCCCCAAAAGCAGCTTTGAAATTGATTTTAATGGAAACTAGCGAAGCATTGCACTGCGAGGCTGCAATGGTTGTGTGGAAGACACCGTGGTGAAGCCTCTATACCTCCGCCACCGGTCCACTGCAAGTCGAGTCTGTACATTTATGCTCTCTGTTTCGTGTTCCATCTTTTTTTTCTGCAAATCGAAACTGCACAACTTTCTTTTACCTGAATAACTGAATTAAGGAATACAAAAAGACAAAAATGGCGCACTGACGCTACAGGTATCTCCACGGAAAAACGCACACAAAACGCCAGTGCAGGGGTAACAGATTGTTGAGTTCGTACCAAATGGATACCCCACCAAATAAAATGAACACGTAAAGAAATGAAAAGCTCCGCCTCTTAGTCCACAGATTATCTGTACCTTCCCCAGACAACATACATTTCGCTCTGTAGGCACCAGGCACGCACGGTAGAGTGGCGAGCAAGCCCGAGCCAATTTTTAAAAACAACTCCTCAAGATAGAACTGACAATTTTAATACTAGGCCGCTCTCGGTGCTACTATTTCACCGTGGTCCTTTTGCATGCACGAACGAACGCAACCCAGCAGGAGCAGACTTCCACATAATGGGTTGCCACTGGGACCTCAATCTGCAAAATGAAGCAAATACGTGGCGAAGACCGAGGCAATGTACCAAATTACGTAGCATCAACTAGTATGATCTAGTCAAAGCTATTCACCGGCAGCGGTGGCTCGCTAAAGCTGGTCACAAACAAGCAGCTTGTTACGGACAGCCACAACCAGTCACAAACAATCACGACTAGTCACATTTAACTACAGACAAATCTAAGTAGCAGTTCAATGCATTCGATGCCTTGGTGGACTCCTTTGGCGCAGCCCTAAGGTCAAACAGAACGTGCTAGCGGCAGGCATTCGTTTTCTGCCGCTGCAAAGGTAGCAGCAAGGTGCAACTGCAAATAAGCCATTCACAGCAGCAACAGTAGCAGCGGCTGCTGCTGGTGCCACCGTCACAGCTGCTGCAGTAACACCAGCTGCGATAGCAACTCTCATCCCCTGAGAGCCGCGTCTTGATGGCGTAACAACAATGTGAACTCAACTGACACGGCTGTTGCGGCGCCGTTGTTGTCGCCGCCAACAAGCCTTGAAGCAGCAAGAACAGCAATTCTCGCAGCAGCATGATCGGTATGCTCAGGCTCCTGGAATTCAACGCTGCGACTGGCAGCGGGCTGTCCAAGCACCCACGCACGCCCCGGCAGCGGTCCTAACTATTGCACGCTCGTCACACAGTGCCTCCTGAAGCAGCAGCAGCACCTGCAGTAACAGCAACAAAAGCAAAACAATCAGTGTTTGTAAGATGCTCAGCAATATCGTACTTTGCAAAAACCGACTTTTCCGCCTCAGGATCCAAGGGTCTAAGGCATAGATCTTTGGGATTGGGGCTTAGGATTCAGAGCTCACGTGAGGTGCTGCTTGCTGCATTTTCTGTGTGTCCGTTTGCTGCAGGGCGGCAAGTCTGAGGGCATCCAGTGCCAGCAACCGCAGCAGCGGCCGTTTCTCACAGAGAGCCAGAAGCAGCAGTGCATGCAGCAGCAGCAGCAAGAAAGAGCCCGAAAAACAGCCGGGTGTTGTCGAGGCGTGGTGGCGCATCTCGCTCTTTTGCTGACTTGTTTGAGTTTGCCGCTGTTGTTGTAGAAGCAGCAATAACAATAACAACCAAGAGGCAGAAAACGCCTCCAAGAGAGCGAACTCAGCTGCAGCTGCACCGGCAGCTTGCTGCTGCGCCTGCTGCTGCTCCTGGTCTTGAAGTTGCTGTTGCACAGTTTCTGCTGTTGCTGCCAAAGCAGCACAGTATGCTGCTTGCTGCTGCTGGCTGTTCTTTTGGAAGGACGGCACCTCTACCGGGAAGCCGGCAGACGCGGCAAGAGCAGCAGCAGCAGCAGCGTTGCCTGCTGACATCTGCTGCATGCGCAACGAGTACGTGGACAGCAGGTGCTGCTGCTGCACAATATAGCAGCAGCCCCAACCCACCACCAACTCTACCAGGCTCAGGGGCCCTACGGAAGTAAAGTGAGGCTCCGCTTGCGCCAGATGCTCCACAGTCGTGGTGCTGTCGCCGTTGTTGCTGGTGTCACTGATAGAAGAAACACAGGCAGCTGTAAGGCAGCTCAGCAGCGGCAGCAGAGCAGCGATTTTTTCCTGCTGCTCTTGTTGTTTCTCCTTGCCCTCGTCCACAGGAACTGAATATAGCAAATGGAGGTCCCCAAGGGGAGGGCCCCAGCGGTCCTTTGTTTCCTCTATTGCTGCTGCTCTGGAAGAAGCAGACGACAGAGCAGCAGCAACTGTCGAAGCCGCAGCAGCGGTGCAACGCGGGTGCAAGGCCTCAAGACAAACGCGCGCTGCTGCCATGCGCTGCAGGTGCAGCTCCCTCTCAACCTTGTGGTGGCCTTCTTGCTGATGTTCCTGAGGCTGCTCGCGCTGCTCTTCATGATCTTGCTGCTTCTGCTCTTGCTCACTCTCTTGCTGCTGCTCTTGCTGTTCCTGTTCCTCAAGTTCAAGCTCGTCAAGCTCCGTGAGCCACGGCCTCCCTTCAGGTAAAATGGGGAAAAGGGGCCTGCAGCCGTTGCTGCTGCCGTCACTGATGCTGTCATTTCCGGAGCTGCACTGATTGCTGCTGTTGTCTCCTGGCTGTTGGGCTAGGGCCGATTGCAGCAACACGTCTGGTAGCAACAGCCCGACAGCCCGAGCTGCAGCGAACTGCGCAGCGCAGCCGCACACACTGTTGTTGCTGCTTCCGTTGCTGCTTCTGTTGCTGTTACTGCCATTGTTGCTGCTTCTGTTGTTGATGTCACTGTTGCTGCTGCTCCCACACTTGCTGCTGCTGCGCCCATGTGAACGCGGTGCGAAGGCCTGCAGTAGCATCGTCTCTAACAATTCTTCAGGTTGGTCACAGCCAAATTTGTTGTTACCCCTGCTGTCACCGCGACCAGCCCAGAGACCAGCGAGTGCAGCTCCCTGCAGCAAGCCTGTAGCACGAGCAGCAAGTTGTGCAGCCGCAATGGCATCGAAATCAGAAGCCTCGCCTGAAGACCCACGAGCATCTGAGCAGCTACAGCTGCTGCAGCAACTGCAGCAGCAACTGTGAAGCAACGCTGCCTCCGTCTGCTGCAACAGCACAAGTGCATGGCGTTTGCTCTCTGCTGGAAGGTAGCGCAGCAGCATCTGCAAAACTTCCAAGCCATCTCGCTGCAGTACGTGGCTTCTGTCCTTTGCTGCCGCTGTAGCTGCTGCTGCTGGCAGCAACGGCAGTATCTTCTGCTGCTGGCTCTGCGGAAGTGAGCTGCAGCAAATCGCAATGCACCGCTGCAGCAGCACCTGTGGCACGCAGCTGCTGCAGCTACAATTTTTGGCACTCTTCTTTGTGCAGCAGCAAGTGCTGCTGTCGGCCTCTGGCACAGCAGCAGAAACTGCAACTTGAACGGCTGCAGGTAGAAAAAGAAACAGTGCATCCTCTTCAAGACTTTCATGCAATAACTGCTGAGAGAAGGCAATTCGTTCCACAGGTGGAAGCAACTGCAGCAGCTTCTTAACAAGCAATCGCAAAGATGAAACGATCGATGATAGTGTCTGCGCTTGTTGCTGCAGTTGCTGCTGTTGCAGCTGCTGCTGTTGCAGTTGCTGTCGCAGTTGCTGCTGCTGCTGCAATCGCTTCTGATTCAAATGCTGCTGTACATACGCAACTGCGACCTCTCTTAGCAGCCCAGTGAGCTCTTTATTGCCAAGGAGCAACAGAAGAGAGGAAGCCGGGTTCAGCGTCGCTGGCTGCTGCTCCTCGTGCGCTTGCTCCTGCTGTTGCTGCTGCCTTCGCTGCTTCATGTGGTGCCTCTTTCGCGGTTTCTGCTGCTGCAAAATTGTGCTGTATATGCACAACGCGCTTGCCGTTCCGTCTGCTGCTGATGCCAAAAGGCGGAGCTTTTCTGCTGCTTCAGCATTTAGGAGCTGCAACTGCAGCTTTTCCTGCTGATTCTGCTCCTGCTCTTCGTGCTGCAGCTGTTTCAGGGACTTCCCCGCATTGGACAGGGTGTCGCACAGTCTCTGCAGCAGGTTTCTGGGGAGAGCTATACCCAGAGCTCCTGGCTGTTTTTGCACCTTTTGCTGCTCCTCATCCTGTTGCTCCTCGCGCTGCTGCTCATTTGTGTTCCATCGCCCTACGAGGACACAGCTGCAAGCAATCGACACCTCAGCTGCCGCAGCTGCTGGCAGCAACCTGCAAATAGGTGGTTGCTGCTGGTCCTTCTGCTCAGCCTCCACGTCGACGCTGCCTTTGTTGATGCTCTCGAGTGCTGCTGCGCACGCAGCTCCAACCCCCTCTGCAGCAACTCTCAATAGCAGCCTTGCCTCCTGATGCTGCTGCATGCAACCAGTAGATAGGAAAATCTGCTGAAGCGATCGCACGCACGCCGCGTAGGCGCTGCCGCCAACCCCCGTCGCCGCTGCGTTCTCTGCGCTACCAGCAAGAGCAGTAGCAGCAGTACTGGAAGGTTCGCTGCTCAGGGCTGCAGCAATGCCCTTGCTGTTGCAGTCCGCATTTAGTCTGCGGTGAAAGGCAACAGTAGCCCGCACCAATTGCTGCTGTAGTACAGTTTCCCGCTGGTGCACATGTTGCTTCGGGCTGCTCCTCCCTCCTCCGTCCGAAGTTTCAGCATCAGAAGCTGCTGCTGCCGCAGGAGGCAAACTTACGAATCCAGCTACAGCAGACAACAGATACGCTGCTGCTGCTGCCGCTGTTGCCCCAACTGGTTCGCTTGAGGCCACGATTCCCACAAGCCGGAAGAGCAGCAGCTGCGCATCCGGAACTTCCCAGGCTAGTTCATGGCCCCTCACCAATAGCAGCTGCAGCAAATCCTGCAGCAGCTGCTGAAGTAAGTTCTGAAGTTGCTGCCTAAGCTCGGGTACTGCCGCTGCTGCATGCATGCAGCCGCTTCCTTGTGCGGCACCCAGCAACTGAGACATCAGTAGCAAGCCACCTTGCACCTGCATCTTTTCGTCAACGCTCATACACGTGCTGCTGCAGCTGTTGCTGTCCCTGTTGCTGCTGCTGCTAGAGTCTAGCGCTGCTGCCGAGAACCATGGAAGACGACAGAGCACAGCAAAAGCGTCTTCGCTCCCTTCGCTGCTGTTGCTGCTGGAGCTGTCGTTGCTCATACAGGCAGCAGTGTCCCCTAAAGCCTCTTTTTGATGCTGTTTCCGCTGCTGAATTGAAATGCCTGCCGTTTGGAGCACATGCTCAAGCAGCGGCAGCGCTGCAACCTTTAAGCAGCACAAACAGCTGACAGGACCTGCAGCAGCAGCTTCCATAAGCAACTGCAGCATGAGCCTACTTGTTGGAGTGGTTATTTGCTGTAACTCTAGCAGTGGTGCAGCAAGGGGAAGCAGTAAATCCTCCGCCTGCTTGAAAGATAAGCTATCATTGGGCTCCTTCCCATCCGGTTGCTGCTCCTGCTGTTGCTGTTTCTGCTGCTCTGATCCTTCCTGCCCTCGTCGAAGAAGCAAGCCAAACAAGTCGACAGTTTCAAGGGGCAGCAAGTCGTCTAGCTGCTGCTGTTGCTGCTGCAGCAGCAGCGGCCCGAGCTGCAGCGCAGCGTCAGCAGCAGCAGAGGGCTCATAATAGGGAAGGCACATAGCAAGGGAGGTGACCGCTTTTTCCAAAGGGTTTCCGTCTCCCTTCCCAGCATTGCTGCTGCTGCTGCTGCAGTCCTCTATAAGAGAGGGCACAAGGTCAACAGCAAGCGCCAGTACCAGAGGCCCGTACAGGCGCGAGGCAGAAGCAGCACCAGCAAACGCTTCAGTTAGGGCTGACTCTGCAGGTTCGCAAAAAGCAAAGGGGGCGAACGCAAACGGATGGGAAGAACAAAAAACGACGGATACGCAGACAAGAAAACAAATACAAAGGGAAGAGGAGACACCTAGAGAACGGTGAAAGAAGAACAGGAAGATTCGATCCCCGGATTAAACAGCTTAGAGAGAAGGTGCTGCAGCGTCCTACATTGCAGAGGCGCGCACCGAAACCCAGAAGCAGCTAGTCCAGCCAGCTGCTGCAACAGCAATAGCACCCAACGGCAGCACCGAGCACTGCAAGCCAGAACTGACCTGTGACACAGGCGACAGCATTAGGTGGCGGTGAAAACGAGACCGGAAAATAGGACATAATCAGATCAACTGAAGCTTCAAGCTCACTCTCCCTCATGAGCGAGCTGTATGTACGCCCTAGCTCCTTCACAATAGCAAACAGGAGCAACAGGCATCGCGGGTCCCGTTCTCCCTCTAGCTGTCTGCTGATCTCAAGAACCAGAGCTTCTCTCCGCATCTCCTGCTGCACTGCCTTAGCGCACTCTTGCAGTAGCAGCAGCAGCAGCTGCAGTAGCAGCTGCCGTGTGCTCTGAGCAAACGAAGGCGTGTGCACCTGGTGCAGCAAAGAGCGCAGCATGAACAACCCCACGGTGCAGTCTTCCGTCCAGTACTTTCTGCTGTTATTGCTGCTACTGTCATTGCTGTTGCAGTCGCTGCTGGTGCCTTTTGGTGGGGGAAGCAGCAACTGCAAGAGTTCTGGCGATGAGCGCGCAACAGCGAGGCAACAAGAAGCGCCCCCCTCTGTTCCCTGCCAATCCGTCATATATCTGTCGCTGCACTGCAGCAGCAGCTGCCACAAAGCATCGTCTTCCGACAGCCTTTCGCCGTCGCCACTGCTGCTGTCATTTGTACTTCCGTCGCTCTTGTCGATGCGGCAGCCGCTGCTGCCATCAGTGTAGCTGCTGCCCTTGCTACTGCTGCTACTCTTACTACGAAGAGGCAACTCCGGCATGCGCTGTAGGATCTGTGCCGGTAGAGCCGCTGCGGCTTTCCGAGTTTGTGCTGCCTTGACGTAGTTGGTACAATCAGTTGTTGCCGATGCTACACTTGTGGTTGCTGCTTTAGTCGCTGCGACAATGCATGTTTCGGTGTAGCTGAGCACTTCAGGGAAGGAAACTCGCTTCGAATGAAGGTGTAGCAGCAGAGCAGTCAGTGCTGTTTCTTGTATCTGTTTCGCTGATGCTGTTGATACTGTCCCCTTGTCCGCATCGTCATCAGCAACGCCTGCAGCAAGTCCGCACAGCTGCCGAATATTCTCGGCTGCTTCATCTGGACACAAGTAAGCAGCAACTGCCTCCTTAGTGGCCACTGCTGCGAAGCCTCCTTCCTCTGTGACCTCGCCAAGGGCTGCTTCGGCTCTCACTACTTCTGTTATCTCTGTCGCATTCGCATCAGCAGTTGCTGCAGCGTCCACTGAAGGTGTTGCTGATACCCGTGTTGTTGGCGCTGCATCTTTGGTAAGATCAGTGATAGAAGTTACAGAATCTTCCATCTTCTCGTACAGCAAATTAACGCTCATCTAAGGGTCATGCCGTTGCTGCTGCTGCAGCAGCAGCTACCGGTCCAAATGCTGTACTCTATATTCGGCGTGCATATGGAAAAGAGGAACAAAGGAATGTCTAAAAACAAAGAACTAGATGCGGCTAAGACTAAAGAGCAGCAGCTGCGGCTCTGGGGGGCTACAGCCCCAATGCTGCTACTCGTGTTACATCGTCGATGCAGCATAGTAGCAGCAACATCAGCGCATTGTGTTTTTCTCAATTTATGGTGTTATTATTTTTCGTCATATCTTAGTTGTTCGCTTTCATCAAATCGTGCGGCATTTGCTGCAACAGCAGCAGGAGCGCGCAGTGCCGAGACTGGTCAAATTTACAGTGTCGTTGTCCTTTTTTGTCATCTCTTAGCTACATGTTTAAAGCAAACGCCGCAGCAGTTGTAATAAGATGGTTGTGGCAAATCATGCTGTAGGGATCCAGCGCATGATTAGACAGTAGAAGCAGGAACCCATCGGCGCGGCATCAACAGCTGCTGCTCCTACTGCAGCAAATAAGGAGGACATCCAGAGCATCAAGCCTTCCTGGGTTAGCAGCTACGGCGGAGTCTGCGGAAACGGGAAGAGCAGCAGTAGCAGAATTTACTTACTAGTAGCAGCAATCGCAGCAGTATCATTGAAGATTCTTTGAACAGATGAAGCGCTCTTTACAGCTGTTAAAGACAGCGCTGCGGGCGCAGCAGCAGCAAAGAAAAACTAAAAAGGGAAGGAAGCAGCAGCAGTCAGAGCAGCAAAAGGTGCAAAACACACAGCAATTGCGGGACTCTCAGCAGGATCAATTACAGGGGAAGAAGTTGCGTCGGACAGAGAAGGAATCCGAGCGCTCCTCAGATGCCAACGACAAGACTTCCGTATGTGCTTTATCTCGCCTTAGCCTTTTTCTTTTCCGTGCTTTAGGAAGAAATTCGCACAGATGTGTTTCAGATGCTCACTGCTGTATGCATATTGCAACGCGTGCTCGTATGAACAGACATGCGCCGGTTAGGTACGTGTGTATGTAAAAATATGTATATTGCCACGAATGTGTCGAAGTGCATCCCATGCCTGTGACTTGCTTCCCGTTTCTTCAATATCTCTAGCTTTGTTTCTTTTCGCATAACTGCTTCTATGATTGTTTGGAGCCGCGCTACCTGTCTCCTTGCCCACTCTCCTCTTAACTTTGTACTATTGTTTTGGAGCTTATTGCTGCTGTGTACTTGCATCGTTTCTGTGTTCTTTGCTCCACATGCAATGCTAATTGTTCTGTTGTGTCTTAATGTTTGTTCTGCCATTGGTTTCTGCCGTTATGTGCAGAAAGTTCCTCTGATCCTTTTTGTCGGCAATTTGCCGCTTTCAGTTTCTGCACAGGAAGTGAAGGACTTCTTTGGGCGTAAATTGCGTAAGTTGTGCTTGTTTCTTTCCGAAATTTCTTCAACGACTTGAAGCTGCATTGCTGTGCTGTTCATTTTCTGTAGAAGCAGTGCACTAGTGTAGCGGATATAGTGCCAAGAGTGTCTTTTTTTTTCAATATATTAGCGCGATTGGCGTTTTTTTGTTTCTTGAAGGCGATCCAAGCGATAATTAACTGCTGCGTCAATGCTTTCCATTGTGCGCTTCGTCATTTCTTTTGTTGCGGCCATTTTGTTTATTTTTGACGTCTGCTGCTGCACTCCGCATTTGCATATATAGAACTTTTCATAAAAGACGTTCGCTTGCTGACGGAAAAGGACACAGGGGCGTCAAAGGGCTGCGGATTCGTGGAGTTCACAAATAAAGAAGCATTGCAAGTATGCAGTAGCAGCACACCCGGAATACGTAGGAAGCCTTCCGTGACCTGTATTTTGCGAAAAAGCAAAGTCGGTCCACAGCCGCTCGTGCTTTTCTCAGGTTATTGCAGTGGCGTTCCTGTGGAATGTATTTTTCGTATTCTTTTGTTTATTTGTGCATGCAGATCGCACTGAATTATGACGGAAGAACCCTTAGCGATCGGAAAATCAGAGTGGAGCTAACGGCTGGCGGGTGTGCCCTTTGTGCATAACACCTACATTACAATATATACTAGTTTTAAGCAAAAGGATGGACGCTTTTATTCCGCGCATCGTTAGAGAGGCGGCATTTCATTGTAAGAAAAACGCTTCATAGGTTCAAGCGTCGTCTTCACAGAGCAATTGGTCTTCAGTACTTGCTGTGCTTACTCAGAGGCGGCAAATCGAAGAACCGAGCAGAAAAAATAAAAAGGAAAAATCAAGATATGAGGAAGCGCAGGGCAAGTAACGTCTTTTTTGCGTCCGAATTTGTTCATTCTCACGTTAGCTCAGAGTCAGTCCCTGCTCGCTTTCTTGGGGTGACTTGCAAGCAGGATGCTTGTCAGGTTCTTCACTTCAAACAGTTGCAGTTCTGTATTTCCTGTGGGCTTCAGGCAGAACTGTTGAGGAAGAAGAAAGAGAAAACGAAGGAAATGATAAAAGAAAAGACGGGAAGCTCCGCCACTGCCCCGTCGGTCACACGAAAGCCCAACGCCAAACGCCCGTCAGATGCGCACCTTTTGAGGCAGGCAAAAAAACGAAGGGAATGAACTCCGCATTGATTAAATTTGTATGGCTTCTTTATTCTTATAGAGTAACAGTCACAATGGAAAAGAAGCTGGTAGATCCAGCTGGAATGCTCGAGTAGATGCAGATGTGAACTGGAGGCCAAAGACAGCGAAAATGTCGTATTTATGCTGCGGCTCGTATTTGGAACGGTTGGAGATGCTGTGGGAGAGTCACTTTGATCGCATTTAGTTCCTATTTACATCCCAGAAGCACCTGGCAAGTGGAAAGGCCGCTACTCATTAGTACAATTTAAAAAGACAGTGCAGCAGCGAAAGTAATCAAGGAAGATTGTACTCGCTCTAATGGCGCAATTATGCCAAGCAGTTGTTCCGCCTGCTACAAGGCCACAAAAGAGAAAGCAGCTTAGCGCTTGACGAAGTTTCATAGCATTCACACCTGTGTCATCGTCACGGTTCGGGTTCACAGCAGTTGCTAGAGCTGACTTCAGCTCTCGTGCCTATGACGGCCAGCAAACAACTAGTTGGCCGGTTCCACGATTTTCGTATCTCGCCATGCCCCACTCTGCTGCGCCGGATGGATGGTAGATGCTGCTTTAGCGTCACCTCTGTGTAGCAAGTCAGGCGTAGTAGGATTCGGAGCAGTTGTTGCATCTGGCTTCAACTTTCGCGCCTGTGACTGGCAGCAAACAACTACAGCATCGCAAATTAGAATTAGTGGGCATATCAAGACGTCTGCGAAGTTGCCTTTTGCGGGGTCAACGATGTTCCCAGTCTCACCACTCCCACCTCTCCTGCGCCAAATGCATCGTAGATGCTGCTGCGGCATGGCACTCATTTTGTTCTTCTCCACCACTTAAAGAGCATTGCACCCAATCAAAGCAGGTAAGCGAGGTGAGCTGGACGACTCAGAAAAAAGGATATCAGCAGCAGAGGCTTGCGAGGGGAGCTGTGCCGCAGGCTTAGTTGCCTCACGGTCGCGTTGGTAAGAGGACCGCGCTCTCCTGGCGTTTGAAACTTGGCATGGAGCAAGAACGCGTGAAGGCGAGGCAAGTGAGGTGCAGCTTCTCTTCATTTTTCTGCTGGGCTGAAAGGTAATGGAGGAGAGGAACGGGAACGGGGAAGGTGGAACATTGCAATGTCGGATTACGATGCAGGTGAAGCAAGCCATCCATGAGTGTATTAGTTTATCAAGGGTACTGTGTATGCACACTTTGCAAGTTCTGTAGGCAAAATAAGACTTTTCGCTGCTTGAAGGTGTGTAAAATTGTAACAAGTGAAGCTCTAACAACGCCTTCTAACCGTCCGGCACATAAAATAGCCACGACAATGACTCCTCTGGCAGGCACTTGAAAAGTGTGAGCGTTGCAAGATTTGTGACATCAAATGGCACGAATTAGGTTCGTTTGTAGGCCTTAGTTATGTACAGTCTATATTTCCAGCCCGGCAACCTCAAGCGCGCGCACTTGTCTGATATGCTCCGTAGTTACTCCGTGTTCAACTACAAAAAGGTGTTGGGTGTTTTGTTGCATGCTTACTCATTTGACTCCCTTGTGCGGACTGAAGCTTCGTTTTCACGTTGATCTAGCGCACGCAGCTACTGCTTTCGTCTTTTGGGCCAGCTACAGAAGTCGCATGAGGGCGGCGCAGTGCGATTTTATCACTATATGTACATAACCGAGGCGCTAAATGTGAATGCAGTAAACCTTGACTATAGAGATTTAACGTGAAATAGTGCTGGCCTTCGGCGTTTTTGCTTCCATCAAGAAAACATGTTCCACGTATGTGCGTAGATACGTGAGACATCAAAATTTCTGTACATCTTTGCTAGTACGTGTTCTACAGCCTGCTCCATAAAAAATAGGGGAACAATTGGAGGTCTATACACCCGCCTGCATGTTACTTTTCCTGTAAATGTATTCGTCCAGATGCAGAATGCTTGCTTAGGCATTTCCCCTTAGCATATATATATAGATATCTATATGTATATCTATATATATATGTATATATATATATATATTCCCCAATCTGAGCTTGTCTACTTGCAAAGAATATTTCGTCCAATCCATATCGGTAAACATTTGGTTAGGGGCTAACAAATGAAGATAAGGAAAAAGACAATGAACGCCTCTTCACAGGTAAAACGCAAGAACCCTACAGACCTGTAATACGCAGCAGCAATGCGACTACAAGCGGCAGCTCTCTTTGGCTTAACTGGAGCTGCTCCGCCGCTGTTCCCGCAAAATAGTTGCCGTGTGTTCTCTACCTCATACACGTACGTGAGAAGCCCTGCTTGCACAAGCTTTTTCCTTGTGTATAGTTTATACAGAGACCGAATAAGCATGGAGACAAGGTGAGAAAGAAAAACTGCTTTAGTGCTGGTGCTGTCTGCCACTTGATACGCACTTGCGAATAAGATGCACCGAAATTAGCGAGGCGCACCACAAGCAGCATCGACTTATTTGCCTGATTGTCGATTTTGTCCTTTTTTTCCCTAGGCATGTAGCTCTGCTGTATTTAGATGTTAATTCATTATCCTTAGCTGTTCTTGTTGATTTTGCGCTCCATTGTATGTTTGTTGAATATGTGATTAAGTCAACGGAGTTCGTGACTGGGTCAAGTGCTGTCCGTGTCATGTACTGCCACCCTTCCTTGTAGGTGACTATAAGCCCTATAGGAGACTTGTAGTCACAAGAAATTATTCTTCACCGCCCTTTATTCTTGCCGGTTGTCCTTAGTTGCCATAATATTTGTTTTCGCTGCGCTGTTGTGGCGATTCCGTTCTCAAAGTTGGCTCGTGGACTTCACGGGCTTCCATGAGATTTTCAAGTAGCGACTCTTTGAAGCATCTGAGGCCCAACTTGGGGTCGAAGCCATGGATCTCCTTTACGTCAATTTTGATCATGAACTCAACTATCGCCTCCGACAGGATCTGTAATGACAGACGCAACAAGAGAGCACAGCTGAAGTTATCAATTCTGCACTGGCTAGAGTTTCGCAAGAAAAATTGAGCTCTACATATGTGAAGCACTAGCGTGAAATGCAACGGAACGTCAGCAACTCATCCCTTGTTCTGATTTTATAGTAATACGTGAGTAGGTGAGCAGGTGAACTTTAAAGAGGTGCTACGCACTTGTCCCGGGACGGATATAGGAAAACCAGGTGGGTACGGGATGATGAAGGTGCTGCCGACGAGAATTCTACCATTTCTGATCAATTCTATGGCTTCCTTCAGGCTGTAATACTCGACGTTTTCCTCGTCGTAACTTAAATAGAAGGGCTCCCGCACATCTCCGTCTCTTATGCAAGCTTCACAGTGTGTGCTGCTGCTGTCGCTGGATCCATGATCAACGCTCCTCGGGCTCTCCACAGGGGTACCATCCCCGCGTTGCTTGTCACTGCTTCCAATTTTGGTACTCATGGGCTGCAAAGGAACCTGAGAAAATGCGGGATGAAAGCCAGAAAAGTTGGGAAGCGCCGGGCAGTCGTGAACAATCCAGTCAATTTGTTGTTCCAACTCCTCCAGCTCGCGGCGGCTGCTTAAGAGCCGCCGCATTTCGAGCTCCTGAGAAACGCAGACGTCTTGATACTAGCACTAACATTAGTTTTCTGTGCAAGCTCGAGCAAAAATAGCATGGCATGCCTGTGACTTGCTTAGGTACGGTGTAACAGGTGCACAGCAGCGCTGCCCGCGATGATGAGGTAAAGTACACAGTCATCTTGAATCGAAATGCTTCACTAATGCTATAAATGAGTTTCCCAACATCGGAAAGTGAAAAATTATTACCGCCGGCGTGTTACCTGTGCACAGTGTCGAATACAGCTTCTCAGAAAAACACAGGATGATCTGGTGGTGCCGATGTTGGTCATGAACAACACACTGTTTCTTGACGTTTTGTTTATTTGAATTCCGTACTTATCCATCAGCCATTTCACCTTGAAGGTATCCCCATCCAGGCCAGATTTCCTGCAAAACAAAAGCCATACATACCCGGTCAGCGACCCGGGAGTTGAAATGAGCAACGAAGGAATATAAGCAAGGCAGTTTGTACGAAAGATAACCCGAGTACGCAACTAGAACTAATAATAGTAGAATGCTGATCCTTCCATTGAAATCGCTCTGTCATCCGTTTATCATTTTTCATCAAAATGATCATTAGTACTGGTGCATCTGCCTCTTACCCTGTGTAAAGTGTAATACGGGTTGGGTCCAAGACGAACTCATCGTCGGAAAGCCAAACTTCCTCCAACGTCTGAACATTCATTTGCTCGTCAATTAAACCATTTAGGCAATTTTCTTGAACTGAACACTGGCGGAGGCTGGCAGGGATCATGTCATGCGGTCCTAGGATCTGTGGAGAGCAGCAGCAACTTTCCATCTCTGGTTATTCAAGTTTCAACGCAAAGCTCATTTTCTGCTCCTCAACTCGTTACATGAAGTCCATCACTCTCAGTGTCATCAACTCTCAAAGGCCGAATTCGGCGCCGGAACCGTATCAGCATCTCACTTTGAAGTACTTGGATACGAACGGGTCCTTGCCGAGTGCGTTCCGAATAAGGAACGCGGCCTCCAGTTGCCTTTCTACAAGCCCGTATCCCTCCAATTCCATTTGAGACCGTCCTACATCTAGTGTTGCTAATATTTGATAATTTGGTGATGTGGACATATGAGTGTAATAGCTCTCCTTGAAGGATGTGTGCACGTGGGACTCGAATAGGTCATCATTCACAAGCACCATCGAACCCTGGCGCAGAGAGGTCAACGACTTGTGAGTTGACTGAGTCGCGTAGACGCGGACTTTCACTTTATGTGGATTTGGGTACAAACGATGAGACAAAAGCGACGCAGCGCTTGCCTCTTCCAGTGAGGATACCTTCAACGTGTTCAGCAACGCCGTGTGCAGATGGTGGTACTTCCTCTCCATCAACTGGGAAGGAAAAACGCAACAGGGAATAAACGTGAGTATAAACTGAGTGGAAAATGGCAGCGAATCTCACATGATCAGACAACTATGAAAGCAGCGAATTGCTCATGATCAGACAACCATGGAAATATCAAGAACAACACGGAGGCAGCAATGAAAGCTTGAAGGGCTTACGATAAACGAAGAAGAGAGTAGACGAATAGCATGCAGGTCAACACACAAGCAAAAATGTGCTCGGCAAAGTACTGCCCGGGACAAAGCATCACTTTTGACTGCTGCGTGTAAGGAAAAGGGTTGAACTTTGAATGCCCGTGTAAATACATGCAAGCACTAAACCTTGATTCTTAGAATCTAGGCATTCTTTTGTATCAGAAAGGTGATTCCTGACTTCTCTCCTGAGCTCATTAGCGCAGTGCATGGCAGTTCGAGTCTTGAGGATGGGATGAAATCCGGCGTAGGCGAACCAGGCCTCATCAAAGAGGAAGACAAGATCTGGTTTTATGGCAAGACATTCTTCCATGAGCCTCTTCACGTTGTAAACGATGCCATCAAAGGTACAGTTTGTGATAACCAGCAACCGCACATCATTCAGTCGACCAGCGCTGCGGTAGCCAAGCAAAGTCTTCTTAATATCAGTCAGAGTAACTCCACCATACATGGAGTACTCATGGAGCGGATACGCATCCAAGTAACAGGGCCGAGCTCCGGCAAGCACTAAAGCGTAGTGATGGCTCTTGTGACAGTCACGGTCTATCAGCACCACATCATTAGGCCGCGTCAGCGCCTGCACCAGACCGACACAAAGCAGTAGGCTGAAGAGGGAAGCAAATGCTGCGGGAGCCGTAAATACGTGAGTTTGTAGTTACAAGCCATTGCTTGAATTATCATGTGTCTCACTTGCACAACTATCTTGTTAGACGTAGATGTTCCGTTAGTCACGAAGAACGCGTAGCTTGCATCGAAGGCTCGGGCAGCTAGCGTCTGCGCCTCTAGGAGGGATCCGTGGGGATCTAATAGTGAATCAAGGCCACCGCAGGTGGCTGAACTCTCCGCCTTGAATAAAGCAGTGCCATAAAAGTCGATCAAAAATTGAATCCACTTGCTTCTGCGTACGGAATTTCCGCGAGAAACTGCCAGGGCATGGAAAACGCCGATGGGGCGCTCGGCGTAGTGCCTCAACGCCTCAAAGAATGGACAGCGCATCTTGCTTCGAACCCCTTCAAGGATGGCTTCGTGCAGGTCCGAGTGGTCATCATTCGGCAGAAACGCGCGTTTGACGAGGTGGTCGACGTGTTCGAGAGAGGCCAAGCCCAGGCCCGTGCATACACAGTAGATATCCAACGCGCGGCGGCACTGGTGCAGGCTGCGCACCAGCGTGGGGATTACAGGTGCTCCCAGCTTCATTTTACCTATGGGTCCCTCTACAAACCGGTCTATTCCTCGCACAAAGCCCTCGAGCCCTGACAAAGAACGCGCCGTCGAGTGCTCTACGGGCACATTGTCTTGAATGCAGACGGCCAAGATTTCTGGATTGACGATCACAGCCAACAGCGCCCGCCGTATGGTGTCCACCTCAACTATGCGGTAAGCTAAATCTCCCTCTATTGATTCAGTGCTCGAGATGCGCCGCAGCTCAGAGGCCAAGTTTAACCGGTGGTCGGTCTTCAAATAGGTGCAGGGAGGCACCACCACCAACACGTAAAACACATGTTGACGGCCGCTCATGCTGCCTGTACGTAACAAAAAAGTATGAGCAACCACGCAAACACACAAACAAACGCCCGTTCCATCCTACTGGCTAGTATAGGACAGACAAAAATATCGGCAGCAGTGAGAGCCACAATAAATACCGCTGGCCACGAAAGCCACAGTGTAACGGATCCTCTCGTTTTATCAGTGCCGCGTGAATCAAAACGAAGTTGGTTCATTAGCAAATGGATAGATAAAAATGAACACTTATGCGTGCGAAATTCCGCGAGTGGACAATGTGTCCAGTGTAAACATCCATAGGGCTTCAACATGGAAATGGACGGAAGCGTGGGGACGCTGGAACGCAGAGCAAAAGTGCGCTGCATTCTGCACAGGTGCGCGATAAAGAAGGGCTGCAGAGTGAAAAGCTGAAAGAAGTTGGCTTGATGGGTTTAAGCAGTCAACTAATTACACCGTTCAGTCTAATTAGTTCGAGTGAGGTATGAGAACCTTGCCTGTAACAGAAGACATGGATCCAACCACACGACTTATCGTGGAGCTCGCGCAGTCAAATTTGCCGTCCTTGAGACTTGACCGGACGCTGTGAACCTCCTCCACGCATTCTTTACCCCAAAACCACTCTATCTGCGAACAGATGCAGCCTTCAGCCCCACCCTGGAGCCTGCGCCCAAAACCCTAGACCTTACGCCCAACATCCTAGGACTTTTAGCATTTAAACACAATATGGCGGAGCCAAAGGGAAAACGATTTGGCACGCGCAAAGATTTTATCTGCATCAAGGTGCTACGTGGCTAGCCATCCACATGATAAGTCCGCATAAACTGAGTGCAAGTAGGATATTTAAAGATGTGCAATTAATGTGTATCAACTTGACAAATTACGCCCCGCGCTTAAGCTTTCTCACAAAAAAGGAGAGATAAAGATGTTTATTCTCCATTCACTTCTTAAAATTGGGCCATGCTATTTCTTGTAGCCGTATCCTTTGATCTGCTCTTGGGTACCCCAGCAGTTTGTTTACCTTCAGCCACAGTTTGGGCTACAATTTAGTCCAGCCAAATCTAGAAAAGAACAAAAAAGGTTTCGACGCACCTCCTCAAGGCAATCAAGAGCAGCGTCTACCTTCTGCAGGGTCCTGGCGGCCACATGAGCGGCCAGGGCCTGCCATAGCTCTTCTCGCAGCTGTGCCACATAGGTGGTGTCGCTGGTGAGAAAATCTTCTGTGGTGCAGGCGAAGGTATCACCCCTAAACACAGGCGCTGGAGCCTCTGTGGTGTCTGAACACTTCAAGGGGAAAGGAGGCGCAGGGGTCGCAGCTCCCGATACACCTGAGCGGTGTGCAGAACCCCCGGAACGAACCAGGGAGTCCACATCGAAGTGCTTCGTGCCCAATGGCCCATTGGTTCCCCCCTGCGAAGTAGATAGCTGGGAGACGCGGCGCTCTGCACCTGTCTCAATTGTGCTCCGACGCTCAAGAATGATTGGAGGCTGAGTAGCAGGAACACCACACCAGCACGCTGCTTATGCAAAGTTTTGTTCATAGGCCCAGTGCTACTCATCTAGTGCGCAGGCTACGAAGAATTGCTTTGTAAGGACACAAAAATGACAGTTAGGGCCTATGAGGCAATGTGTAGTCAAGCACAATCTAAATCTGCACATTCCCGCCGATCAATCGTTTTTAATGATGAGCTTAAACGGCCATAAAACGCACAGCTGGCAACAGAGGAGCCGAAGTCCTTGTCTAGGGAAGCAGTTAAAGCTCGATAATGACTTCTGGCCATCGAACAATAGTTTACTGTGACAGCAATGGTTAGTACGAATGCGTGTGTATTGGCATGCAGGGCATTTTCGATGACGCCTCAACTGTGAGCAGGCTCTACGCTGGTGACATAGATCTCGAGTTTTCTATATCAGTGATAAACAGAATTTTTCGAGGCATTCAGTGTTTAACTGCATTCGGTAGCCGAAAATGCTTCTGCCGGGCACGAACCATGTTTGCTGTTACGCCTAACAGCATGTGGTCCGAAGGGGAACTCTCCTTCGGTTTTAGGGGCACGAGGACGATAAATGAAAGTCTATTGAGACGATGATGCGAAAACTAACCTCCGCTTCTATTGTTTCCCCGCGAAAGGAAGAAAGAGGGAGAGGCGACGCGCCGTGGCCGTCGATCGACCATCTGCTGCCGGAGCTGAAGAGGCGTTGTTCTTCCATCCTTCGCGATAACCAGTAGCATGGGGAAAATGATTATAGACTTGAGGGCAAAGCGTGTTATGAAATGTATTTAGAGGGCATATTTCAGGGAACAACTGCCTGAACACCCCCAAGATTATGGTCGCGACAAAGCTCCCATGCTGACGCCCAATCAGAAGACACGGCGGCTGCGGCGAGGCTGAGGGCCAAAACAGTCACCTACGCTAAAAACCGTGAAAAAATGATAATGAAAAGTAAAATGGAAACAAAAAAGAGTAACGCTGGCTCAGTCGTCCCTATTTACTCATCGCTAATTCTTACAGAGCTGTACAGACTGGAAAGGAGCCCAGAGGTAGAGCAACCGTTCCAGTAGGTGCCGTTTACTCACTCATATTTTTTACATTGAAAATAGTACGAAGACCAAGGGAATTTATCCACATATATGTCTTAGGCAACAATTTGACAGCTGCCCCAGCTATTCCGCCTCAGACGCGTCCTCAATTATGACTGACTATGCGTAGTTACCTGAGCTATCAGTTACCACAGGAAAAGACCTCATACGAAGGAATGCCCATCAAAACCAGGGTCTCGCGCTGCAGGCTCATTGCTACCGACAGTCACCGCCTGGTTTGACTGATACAAGCTGCACTGTCTGCATCAATAAGTCAGTGCGGTCCCTCCGAGCCCTTTGCAGTGAGCCACATGAAAAATCGTTGTATTCACTTTCCGTTGGCTATCGCATACTTGCACTTTGACATAATCCTATGAACTAACTCTTGTGAAAATCAGGGTTTACATCAACAATTATGTACGGTGAGGCGAGTGTACGCTCAGTACTGTTACAGCAGTTCATGCGTGCCGTCATGCATCGTCCGAGGACCTTTTCAAGAAAGAGTGAGACAAGAAGTCAAAGTATATGCAGGCTTGTGCGTGTGTGCTTGTTTGCATCTCTGTTTGCTCTTATTCGTCTGCGTCTCGCGTTGCCTTTGTTTCTGTGCCTCTTCCCCCTATTTTATTCTGCGTCTTTCTGTCTCGTCTCTAAGCAAGTCTCTGTGTTTTCCTCCATCTGCCTCAATTCATCTTGTGAATCTCAGTCTGTCTTCGTCTGTGTCTGTCTTCTCCCCTAGCAGTTATTTCTGGTGTCTGTCACCCCTTATGTCATTACATAAATCTCAGCGGCCCAGCTCCTACCCATATTCTGTCTCCCCATTTTCACCTTCACGGGATCGGAACAAAACAAAGGAGACAAAATGGAAAAGCAGTTCAACAGCGCCGCAGGTACATTCACTATTCAAAAAATGGAATAGGCATAGATACTGATATGCACGCAGATGCGTTGTATTAAAAGATCTTCTTTTGGTCCTTCATTGCATAGGATATGACCTAACCAACGTTTCCTTCCCTTGTCTCTCCAACTCAAGCGTGATTACGATGCTTCGCCTGCTGCTGGGATTAGGGTCTGGGTTGATGCTCATGTGGCCCCTGAGGGTGGCTGCGCATAAGATGCATGCAAGTACAAAGGGAGGCACCTGAAAGCTGCACGCACCACTAAAGGTGGCAAGGGCAATAGCAAGAAAAGTTTCAGTAATTGCAGCAACTAACAGCAAGCCGGCACACGTACGGTAACCAGGAGTCGCACTTAGGCTCCACGCCTTTCCTTCGCCGTCCTGTAATGTCCCAACCCCACACACGCACATATACACACATACACGCATGTACACACACATACACGCAAGCACAGGCACATACACACACGCACGCGCAGACGCAAGAAATATATTACTTCCTGGAGGTGCTTCTGTTGCTGTTCCGTTGACGCTTCTACTACCGCCGCTGCAGTGAGATATTTTGCTTTCGCCCACCAGCAGGTGAAGGACCGTTTGCTTCCAATGCGTTGGCTGTTTCAAAGGGCTGGTGCTCAGCACCAAGGTCCCTGCTACAGGCTTCGTTTCTGCTGCTAATGGCGAGTCCATTGTTGCTGCCCCTTCTGCGGCAACCTCCTTGGAAAAGCAAATCAGCGAAGGGCCACCCTTGGGCTGGATAGGCTCGAAAAAACAGTCAAAGTAAAATACGAGGCTGCTACAAACCTCAGGGGGAGGAGGCAAGCTTAACTGCAGCAACAAAGCAGACGCAGCAGCAGCAGCAGAAGTATCAGCAGCTGCGGCAACACTGGTTGAAGCGGCAGCATGCTTCTGATTGCTGACGAAAAGTAGAAAGCGCTGAGGTCTGGGAGAGACAACAGGGATAAGACTGCTCGGGCAAGCATATTAACAGAAAAATAACTGAGAAGAAGAAACGGAAATTTGTACAGATAAGCGCAACAAAAAGGAGGCAGAGGCAGATAAAAACAAGCACTAAGATAAGCGAGAAGGCCAAAACTAAGAAAAAAACAAATCGGGCAAGCACATATATGAGCAAAACGCACAAAAAATGTGGGAAAGACAGGGACAGTGACAACCAGAAGAACAAGACAGACACAAATAGCCATGGATGCAGATGGACACGTTTGCGGATGTCAGGCCCATACAAAAATAGATGAGTAGAAAAAATAATACTGAAACGTATGAAAATAAGACAACATAAAGTACCACAAAAAGATGCACAGATAGCTCAACAAAAGCAAAGAAAAATGAAACAAACGAAAAGTAGAGACTGAGCGTTGCCTACGTTAATTGGACATCTGAGAGTCCGTACTTCCCCCGCCGTCACAGAATTCAAGTCAAGAAGACAAATTGGCTGCTGCTGCTGTTGCTGTTTCTGGTTGAGCTGTTGTTGCTGCACTAGTTGCACCTCGAGCTGGCCAAAGAGAAGGTCGTCCGGTGTCTGAAGCGCTGAGAGGTCAAAGCCGTAAACCAAAGACTCGAAAGGCCCACGGCGCTCCTGCTGCTCCTCACGCATGTCCGCAGTGCACACCTGTAGTGGTAACAGAAGCAACAGCAACTAATGCAGCAGCACTTGCTCTGCGCGTCACCCTAATGCTTCCTGTGAAGCAGAAATGTCCTGACTCAAACAACGGTGTGGCACTTCATTCAGCTGCTGTTCCCTCACTAAACAAGCAGCACTGACGGCAACCACAGAAGCAGAGGCAGCAGCTGCAGCAGCTCTAACCGCATAGGTGGGTGTAGCTCCTACAGTCAGTGTGTTTGTAAGGTCTCACTCCAATCAGCGCTTTATTGGGAACCAGCAGCCCGTCTGCCTTCAAGTACCTGCACAGAAAAGCATTGTCAACCTACTGCTAATTCTGCCACTATTGTCGCTGCTATTGCTGATGCTGCTGCAGTTGCTGTTGCATTTGCCACTTTGCATTACTTGTCTCTGGCGTGCAGCACGGAGAACAACATGCACTCGAATAGCAGACCGTAGCCCATCCACTCCGAGACCAGAACGTCACACGCAAATAAGCGAAGGCCAGCACTAGCCGCAGAGCCAGAAGCCAGCTGCAATAAAACATGCACAACCCAGTAGCAGTAGCAAGAGCATCAGCTGCACACTAAAAAACAGAAAAACTATGCTGGCTGAGAAACAACGGCAGCACGAACTGCAGCAGCAAGTCTAAAAGGCCCACCGCGACCACTTCTGTTTCCGTTTCATCCGTCCAGTACAGTTCTACAGACTCCACCTGAGTCGAATCTCAAACCCTGCGCGCTAGGCATTGATCGCTAAGCCTTCTGTAAGGCATAGCTATAGCAACGTGCAGGGAGAGACAGAAGCAGAAGCAGCAGTAACCGGCTTCTTGCAAATTCTAGGTAACTAGTGAAGTGGTAAGGGCAGCCCCAAACATCAAGCTCTTATGGCTGCGATACAACCCAAAGGTCTTTAACACCAAACTGCAAACCCGGCAACCCACCTTTGCGTGCACGACCTGAATGACAGACGAAAACCCGTTAGCGGCAACCACCCGACGAGCCACAGAAACAATAGGAGAAGACGCATCCAGTGCCACCACCTGAGCAAACCCGACACTCCAAGCTTGTGGTCGTCACCCGTGGACTCCAATGACTCTTACCGCTAGCTCTTGTCAAGATTCGTGTATTCCACTAAAGGATCACACTCCACTCTGGGGCTCATAGTTCAAGCTTTCGGGTCAATGCTTGAGGATGTACTTTGCGAGCACCCGCTTGAGCGGCGAAGAGGCTAAGGATGCCGCTGCCACAGCCCACGTCTAACACCACCTTGCCACGAATAGCCTCTGCAGCCACAAACCCTGAACCTTAAGGCCTAAACCCTAAAGGCCAATTTGAAGCTGCGCATGAAAGCTGTTGGCGGCAAAAAACAGCCTTTCTTGCCCTGACAGCAAATGCAGCTGCACCACAGGACCTGACCCACCTGCTGTAGCAGCCTGAACAAAACCAGCCGAAATACCAGATGCGGCAGCAGCAACACCAACAGCAGCAATCAGGTTGGCACAAACAATAATCATGGCAACTGCAGCAACCACAGACACGCCCGCGGCAGCAACGCATGCTGACCTGCACGCTGTAGCAGGAAGTCTCTGTAGGCCTCTGTGCGGGCGGTGTCTGTGATCATCTCGCGGTGTATAGATAGCTCGCCATAGCCTGCGAAGTAGCCTTTATCTTCCGCGGAGTCCCCTACTGCTACTCGTGCATTTTGCCTTCTTCCGTTGAGTGCTGTTGTCGCGTCTTCTGTGCTGTAGCTGCTCTTGCTGTTGGCTCCTGCAGTAGCAGCAGACGCTGCATTGCCCATGCGGTGCTGCAGCACGCGATCGTAGACTTCCGTGTTGCAAGGGGTGACGGGGGGAAAAAAGCTGCCTTTTCGTCCTGCAGGTGCTGCTGCTGCCGCAGCTGTAAGGTCACAAGTACCAGCAGAAGCAGCAGCCTCTTCGTCATCGCTGCTGAAGTCGTCTACATCCCATAGCAGCGGATCTTCCGAGTCAGCTGCAAGTAACAGCTCCTCAGGGCAACAAAAAACAGGAGAGTCCGCCGTGAGGGATCTTAAAGCTTCAGTGACTGCGGTGTACTCTTGCGGCTGGCCCTTTTGATCATCCTGCTGGTGCTGTAGCTGCTCCTCCTGCCGCCGCTGCTGCTGACGCAAAAATGTGACCAGGGCAATGCGCGTGTAATGATTTAATGGGGGCAACTGCTGCTGATGCGGGCGCTGCTCATTTGGTAGGAGCCATTTGTCTACTGCTGTCAGATCTAAACCGTGTACCTCCCGCATGTGCTGGAGCACGATAGCAGCAGGTGTCTTCTTGCCCTTGCCGCTGCTGCAGTCTTCGCCCACGCAGCGGAAAGGGCACAAAAGGCACAAAGCTGGGGGGCTCTCCTCTTGTGATTCGTCATCTTGAAGTGTAGATACACTGGAGGTTCCATCACTGTTGCTGCTGCTGTTACTGCTGTTGCTGCTGCTGCAGTCCCAGTCACTATCTTCTTCTTTGTCAGTCAATATCTCCTGGTCGCTGCCCTCATGGCACTTCTTTAAATCAAGTTTCTGCGGCGACAAAGTCTGCTGTTCTTGACCTGGGCCCGCCGCTGCTGCTGCTGCTACTGCTGTCGATGCTGCAGCCGCCGCAGCAGCGGTAGTGGACTCTGACCGCATAGGGTCTTCTACTGAAGATCTCATTACGGATATCGAGTCTCAATGGAGTACGGCTTCTTAGATACCTCAGACCTACGTGCCTTGCCCTGATCCTTCAAGCCGAGACCTGGAGGGGGCCCCGCCTCCCGCTCACTAGCCCTTGTGGGCTTCTGTTTACTTTTATTGCTGCAAATTAAACTGGATCTGAATAAATTGAACTAAACTAGAGTTTCATCAAAATTGACATCTTTGAACAATGAGGGCCTCCGCCGCTGTGGGGCGACACTGCTGGCATGGGGCCCATAGCCTTCTATTGTTGTTACTGCTGCCGTAACAGCTATTGGAACCAAAGCGGAAATAAAGCGTATTATTTGACTCTAATTAAGATTAGTTTACGAGCTAGGCCTTACACGTTTGTGTAGAGGCTTTAGGGCCTAGGGCTTGGGCCTTGAGGCCGAAAGGCCTTCTGAAGTTACTCAGGCCTCAAAGCCCCTGCTGCCGCTGTTCCACAACAGTAGCTCACGCAAAGCATTTTCAATCCACGGCGAGAAGCAGCAGAAACAGCAACACAGGCAAAAGAGTGGGGAAACAAGGAAGCGCCCCCCGTCCACGACCTAGCCACGGTACAGCGGACCGGCTGGCAGTTTCCCAAGCAACACTAAGAACAGCAACGACAACGCCGGCAGTAACACAGTAAACATAGCTTAAGAAAGGGGCAGCAGCAGCAGCAGGAATATCGAGGAATCTGCGCAGATGGCGACGCCAGCGCTAGCACCGGCTGCCTTGCCAGTCCGCTCAGCAGCAGAAATTACCGGTGAACCAGCGGGAATAGTATCACCTTCAGCAGAAACAGCAACAGGACAAGCTGCAGCAGCAGCAACACAAGCAGCCGTCGTATCTCCGCCAGCACCTGTACAAGTTGCTGCTGTGGGTGAGGCGACAGCCGACAATCCTGCTGCTATGCCGGAGACCGAGTCCGAGTCCACAGCAGCAGCACCAGCAGTATCTCAGGCAGCAGCAAAGCGGCAGTTGTTGGAATGCATCATATGCAAGAAGGAGTCACCTCCTTACCGCTGCCCGCAGTGTCTGCTGCGTACCTGCTGTCTCAAGTGCTATCGGCAGCACCTGCTGCTGCAGCAGCACATGATTCGCACGCGCAGCCAAGATCCCATGCTGGCTCATCTTGAGGGAGAAGCAGCGGCTGACGCAGCCATTGCTGCTGCTGCCAGGTCGCCTAACAGCCCAGTTCCGGCAGACGCACAAAAAGCAAATGGAGCACCAACGGCTTTCTCCGCTGCAGTCTCCACTCCACTTAGAGAAGCCGCAGTAACTGCGCCTCCTGCAAATTCGTCTTTTCCCCTTCAAGCAGAAAGTGCAACAGAAGAAAAAGAAGCAGCATCCTCACTAACAGAGCCAGCAGCAGCGCCTGCAGCAGCAGCACTGTCATCCGCCGTTGCTTCTCGAGTGCCCTTACGCGTCAGTTACTGCCCCTTGAGTTCCATGGGCAAAAAAGAATTCGATCGCGACATTTCGCTTCTCGAAAATGCAGCAAGGGCCATTGAAGCAGCGCAGAGGCAGCGGCTGCAGCAGCAAGAGCCCAGACGCCGGAAAGGGTATGGCACAAAACTCTAAAACGTAAAATCTCAATCCCAGACCCTAAACCACAAAGCAAATCCTAGACTGCGATCTGAAGAGCACACATGGAACCAATGCCGTTAGTTTTCTAGGTCAAGGTGTCAAGCAAATGCAGGTCAGAGCGTGGACTGCAGGGCCTCGGTACCGGGTTGGAAGGCTTGTCATTTCTGGCTGCAGACTTAGTCTTCAGGGTTTACGGTTTGGATTATTTGTGCCCAGGGCCCACCCAGCTCAGCTGCGCAGTGTCTGTCTCCGCCGTGGGATCGACTTTTTGTTTTTGCCGCCGACTCATTCCAGACGAGTTCACAATAGGACCAAAATACTGGTCCCACGCAAGCTGCAGGGGCAGCAAGGCCAGCAGCAGCAAAAACAGAATGAGCTACAGGAAGAGTCGAAAGATCAGACACATGATCACCAGTTGCAGGAGGATTGCCACGACGCAGACATGAACCAGCAAAGAGAGCAGCCGCGGCGGCGACAGCAGGAGCAGCAACAGCAGGAACTGGTGGGGCAGGAGGGCGGAGAGCGCCAGGAGGCTGTTGTGGCTGATGCCGAATCTGCGAGTGAAGAGTCCCCCCAGCAACATCAGCAGCAGAAGACGCGCGCCGCCGAATCAGTGATATGTTGGGATGTTTGCTTTCGGTTGCCAAGTGCTGAGGGATTCCGGCTGCCGCTGATGCTTCGGGAGGACGTGCCTTTGCATCAGCACGCGTTGCTGCTGCAACAGCACTGCTGCAAGAAACTGGAACAGCAGCACGCCCAGAAGAGACCAGGCAACGCAGCAGAACTCTCAGAGGGATGCCTGTTGCTTCAACGATGTGCCGCCGGACCCCTGCTGCAAGTAGCAGCAGCAGCAACAGCTAACACAACAGCAACAGCAGAAGCAGAAAGAACAAGCGCATCGGAGCCAGGTGACGCAACGGCGGCCAGAGGATCAGCAGCAGCCTCGCAGTCAACAGCAGGGAAGGGCTTTCGGTTGTTGCTGCCGATCACTGCAGCGCACGCGGGCGTCACCTTGCAGCCGCAGGCAAACAGTGCGACAGCAGCATATTCAGCAGCAGAAACGGCAACACACGATGCGACGACAGCGGAAGCAGGCTCCGCCGAAGTATCCCCACTAGGCGCTGAGGCAGAAGCAGCAGGAACAACTTCAGCAGGAACGCCCTCCACTGGGCTCATTCCTGCGTATCTTTTGCCTTGGGAGTTGTCTCTTCAAGAATGCTTGAAGGGAACAACAGTAGTGGAGGTGTGTTCTGTTTGCTTATCAAAGATACCAATCATGTGTTTTGTTCTTGTATTTACTTCTATTAATTCTTTTCGTTCATTCAGTGTGCATCTCTACGTAGTCTTGTGAAGACTGTCTGCGCCTCTCGCCCTTGCTCCATTTTGCCTTTTTCTCGTTCTTTACCGCTGTTCGTTCCCCTGTGTTCCTGTGTTGTTACTCAGTTTTGTCTGATGTGCATCCTCAAGGATGCCGTCTGCAGCGCTACTTCTGCTGCATTTGTGGAACCTTAGGAGCTTAAGCCTACTCGCCTGTTGTGTCCTGCTCGTTTTCTCTCTTCGTCATTTCCATTTTATTCCGTTCCTTTACTGTTCCCCGCTTTGTGTTCCGGATTTTTAGTGGGTGTTTTCAATGTACATCTGCGTCTCTATCCTCGCCATGCATTCGTCTGTTCGTGTTGTTTCATGGCCCTCGACTTATGCCATGGTCTTACTTTGCTGCTGTTGTTACTTGCGACCTTGCGCAGCATCCCGATGTGATAGTGGCGCTTCCTGAAGAGCTCAGCAGATATACTTGGTATGCTACTGCCGTTGTCGTGCTGCTGTTCTTGCTACTGCTGCTGTTCTTGCTTCTCTTGTTGCTTCTGTGTATCAGACCAGCAATTTTTGGTCTTGCTGCTGTGTTGGTGGTGCTGCAGCTGGCAGCCACCCTGCAGAGGAGGCCCTCATTCTCGACTGTTACCGCGTTCGCCCCCACCTCCACCACCTGAAGAACCTTACCAATGTAAGCAACAGCAGCAGCAGCCTCAGCAGCAGCAGCCGCAGCAGCAGCAGTCGCAACAGCAGCAACCACAACAGCAGCAGCAGCAGGTACAGCAACAGTGCGCTCGGCCGTGTCGGGTGCAGCCAGGCGGAAGGGAGCGAGACGGATCAGGTTTCCAGGGGAGCGATTTGCGGCTCACAGTGCAGCACCAGTCACAGCAGCAGCAGCAGCAGCATCAGCAGCAGCAGCTCCCCCAAGTGTATGCGGACCAGCGTCCACGTGCGCCGATAAGGTACAACCATCAGCAACATCGGCACCAGCAGCGGTGGCCGCAAGAGGCTCCTGACCAGCAACACCAGCACCTGCAGCTCCAGAAGTCGCAGGTAGCCCTTTCGTACAGCCAGCAGCAGCAGCAGCACATGCAGGGACAACACTGTATGCAGTCACCAGAGCAACATAACAAGCAAAGTGTGCATCAGCAGCATAGGCAGCAGCAAAACTTTCAGCAGCAGCCGTACGGGCAGCCACGCATGTTCCCCCAGCAGCCTATGCAGCCCCCTGCTCCACCTCCACCAGAGCAGCAGCAGCAGCAGCAGCAGCGCCAGGCACATTTACAACATCGTGCTTATCCACAACAGCAGGGTCTGATGCAGCAGCAGCAGTACCAGCAGCAGCAACAATACCACCAGCAACAGCGGTTGGGCTCCCAGCAGGAACAGCAATCCCCGCATCAACAACAATATTTCCAGCAGCAGCAGTATGCGCAGCTGCATCAGCACCAGCCTCAGCAGCAGCAGTATCAACCGCAGCAGCAACCACAGCAGCAGTATCCGCCGCCTCCGCAGCAGCAGTATCCACAGCAACAGCAACAGCAGTGTCAGATTCAGCAGAACAGTGCATCACTGCAGCAGAGGTGCTCACAGCCGCCGTTGCAGCAGCAACAAGGCTCTCATAGCTGGCACGGGGTGAAGCGCCAACAGCAAGGAGGTCCCCCAGGTGGCTTCAAAAGGCGCAATTGCGCCCGTACGGACCAGTAGGGATAAAGTGTTCCCACTTTTTGACATTGAATAACACTATATGTTTGCTGCTTGCTCATTTCGTTTCAGAACTTATTGTTCTTATGTATCTGCGGGCACATTACAGTAGGTTTGCTGCAACCTAGTGGAGTATCCACATGATGCAGCGACGACAATCTGCTTAGACATGGAATGAGCATCTTATGTGGATGCTGCGGCTTTTGTTTAGTGAGTTTATGTCCGTGTAGGTATGTTGGGAGGGATAAGAATGAGAGGAGTTAGTTTTGGTAGTTAAAGGGCGCAGCAGTGATAATTTGGTGGCTGCAGAACGTCGATACTAAATGCGTAGTGCTGGCGTCGTGATGCTGATTCTCCTCATCTGCTTTTGATCTTGATTAGGTTGCCGTTATCTTTAGAGGGCTAGCGACTAAATGAACGAAAGGATCAACACAGGACTGCGTGAACTAGCTGGCCACGGCGCATAAAACGAAACGAATAGAACGTATGGATCCATACTATTTCGTTTGCCGCGAAGCAAACATATATGATTCCATGGCAAAAGGCTGAAACACAACAGCAGGCCAGACACTTGCGGTGGCTCAGTAAAAGAACGATTACGTGACGCCTCTCAGCTCAGCTGCGTTTGCTGCTCCCGCGCACTGGTCTCGTAAGCGCTTGTTGAACGCGCTAGGTGTGATGGCTGCATTTCTTCTCCATGGGGAGGTGCATACACTAGAGAGTCCCAAATACTAACAAGCAAGAGTGCACCTGTAGCTCTCAAGAACCGAGGCACTGAACTCTACATCGTAGTGCCTTTCAATTACTTGAACAACAGCAACGAAGCCCTAACCGTTAAACTATAATCTGGTTTAAAGCTTAGGCTCTATAAATCTGGTTTAAAGCTTAGGCTCTATAGCTGGACTTCAGCGTTTGGCTCTGCGCCATACCGGTAGCTTGTGGTGCGTAGTTTACACTTCGTGATGCCAGTAATTGGTGGTTCAGTGTCTTTCCCCAAGCAACTATCCACTCAAAGCAAGAGGCGCATTCGCTAATTGGTTGTATGTAGGACTCGCATGTATGACTTGCTCTTGAAACACTTAGGGCGTAAATCCCAATGAAGCAGGAAACGAAGCTGGTAAGCGCAAGCAACTTGCATACAAAAAGTAAATCTGAATAAGAGAAGAGCATTAACGTAGTAGTCCATATGTTTCTCAAAAGAGAGGCCGCCGGTGCGCTTCACGAGGAGATGCGTTTTCGAGCGCCTCTTCTGTAGGTAACGTACACCTCTTCTATTGGAAAATAAAGGATTGTACAATCAGCACTCCTTCTGTTGTGATTTTCTGAATTTCGCCTGTATCCAAATGCGCTGCATTCTTTGCTCGGTTTTCCGGTTGAGCATTTCCCGCATGCAATATCTGAATGCAGCAGAGACATCAAGGCGTATTTGGGAACATTAAATCGCTTAGCCAACTAGCCCCGATCCCACCCATTAACAGCGCTATTGCCATAGTCCCACCTGTTTTCACAGACCTCAAGCCCCGCCTCCTTACTAAAAAGCTCCTCAACCTCTTCTGTCCCACACCGCACGCAACGCTCACGAAAACCAAACAACCTAACAGAAGCTCATCTGGTCTAATGCATGCCTGCCTGGAGAAGTGAGTCGATGCACAGGTGGCGGAAAACTAGACCTAATTATTTACAACTAAGTATAATTACCTTTCGAGAAATAGTAGGCAAGGGTGCCGTCATATCTCGCATAAAGATTTGAAGCAACTTTCGGTTTCTTCTGCTCCGCAAATCTCAGCTGCGCCATATCAAGCCGCGCGTAGTCTCTAAACAACACCATCCCGCCAGGCTTCAACAACTGCAAAAAACATCGTGTGTAATCAATCTTACAAGGAGTGTACAGGTGTACTTCGTACTGTTGCTACTGCTGCGGCGATGCAGTAGCAAAGAGCGACACCGGCGAGGCAGATAATTGCAACGTGCACACCGCTGGCAATGAATGTTTATCCATTACATAAATTCCCGAGCACAAGAGCAGATGAACATGAACGCTTAGTGAATACTGCCACGTAGATACATACAATATGCTTCCTGCATGCACTCCTCACGCTTGTGCGGAGGGCAAACAAGCTTGCTCATTAGCTCGTGCCTGTTCTTTACGCAAACACGTGTATTCATAACACGACAGCCATTCTTTTCGTTGCCACAAGCTGTCCACTTTTTGTGCCTTCGATCTGTTCTAATGCGTCTTGCAGCAAGCAGTAGCAGTTCACCTGCGCACAGCGCCTGGCGACGTCCCTGTGGTGCTTTGGATGCATAGCGCTCAGCACGAAGATCAGCAGCACAAATTCTGCACTGTTTCGTGCTGCTATTTGTGGAGGCACCTCTCCCGCTGTTATGTCAAAAGCTGCAACTGTGCGCAGCTGGCCACAAGGGTGCTTAAACAATAAAGCCGCACCACGAGACACAGCTTCGACTGCAGCCGCTGCTGGAGGCTTCCCAGAAGCTGCTGCCGGTGTGGCTGCAGCGTTCGCCCCACCGACTGCTAATACACATGCTGCAGGACTTTCTATGCCCGGCGTTGCGGAGCTTGCTGCAATAGATGCAGCAGGCTCTGCACCAAGGAATGCAACTGGCGCAACAGCAGACCCCGTGCATGCGGACGATCTACTGGCAGCCGCCTCTCTCTGGGTGCTTTCCTTATTTAAGCTTTCTATCTGCGGAAGTTGTGTAACTCTTTCACCGCCACCACTACTGCAAGAGCCACCGTTGCTGCATTCACTGAGGCGCTGATCCTGTTGCCCAGCGCAGATGGCAGCCCACCGTTCCTATCGCAGCACCAGCAGCAAACGCGTACGGCACAGTGCGAGGCCAGCCTGCGCTGCGTCTAACGGACGACACTAAAATGGGACACTAAAACTACATAAAAGGGGTGAAGGGTGTAGGGTTCCAGTAAAAAGGGAGCATGCACAACAGACCAGGATGTTACTGGGGTATCTGCATGCCCTTTAAGGTGTCTGCAAAGTATACACTCTGTAAGTAGGCCAAGTTAAGTGGAATACGTTACATGTACAACTGGTGAGTTTCGGTAATTACCTGCAAGATGGAGACAGCCCTCGGCGAGCAATCGAAAGCCACGCCGTGCAGTCGTGGATTTGCTGCAGGAAGCAAAGCAGACCGTCCTACTTTAAGTCAAATCAACTAGGTGCGCTGGCCATAAAAAACTGTACGGACGCTGCACGTACACTGTAAGGGGAGTCAGCATATACCGCAAGGCCTTCCCACTAACAAGCCGCATCTCACCCGTCAAAATAGGAATTAAGGCGTTACCCACTCCGCATCCCACATCCACTAGAAGTGGATGCTCTTCAGCACCACTTTTCTCCGCTGCGGTGCAGGCTGCTGCTATCTCGGGAAGTTCCTTAGCGAGCCACGCCCTGTCTTTAAAAAAGTGATCAGTGTTACGCTGCAAAGAGTTACGATCCCTAAACCCGAGAACCTAGACTCTAAACTCTTGAATCACCGGTGGGAAGAGATAGACAAACAAGCAGCAAGTGAATGCAGCCAAATGACGTAGGAAATAAGGCAGCCACATGCCGTAGGAAATGCTTGAGATTAAACGCACTTTGTAGAAAAGGTCCCAATAGCGCACGGCGTTCTCCAACAGTAGCGCTGAAGCACCCAAACATCACAACAAAAGGCGCGCCCAAGTTAATCTCGAATGTAAAGGATTCCATCATTATTACTACGAACGTTAAGTGTATGAGACGTTTCTTGCCTTTTTGTCGTTCTGTCATCTCGTTGTCATTGCTTTCCAATATGGCAGTCTTTTCGCCTACGGCTTCCTGTGTCAGCTTGAATTTTCGGACTGAAAATTCGCAAACCCGTTAGTGAGTCCGCTGTGAGTGTACACGCTCGTAAAACGACTGCAACTGAAAGTGCAATTGATCAGATGCCACTGGCGACAGGAACACGATATAGCAACACGGAAGGGCTCCTTTGCGCTGCCACTAAGTGTCGTAAAAATAAGCACAGACCTGTTTCCGTGTCATAGAACTCCGCCGGTCCTTCGGTTTCCTCCATTGTTGGGCACACACCTGACAGATACAACAGTCCATGTCTTCTGGGGCCCCACGCAGACCTTCCAGTCAAGTACAACCCAATGGTTTCTACTCTATATGTATGAGGCAAGAAGACAAGTATTAGAAGGCGTGTGCGAGCACACCCCGCCACAGAAGCGTATGAACGAGAAAACGCCGGGCATTCCACTAAAAACTGCAGAGACTTTGCGTTCAGTAGGGCTGCTGAAATGTTGCCCGTATGTTTCTGTAGTCCAAAGAAAACAAGGAAACAAGATGTGAAGAGTATGACGGCGCCTCCACTCGAGAAATTCTAGAGGAAGTCTCCTACAATACTGCGTTCACCTGGCTGACTGGTGGAAGCACAATTCTCTGGAGAGGTGAGCATCCCCAGACTTGTGAAAAAACATGTATTGCATGCATACAATAAAACTTTTTTCACATAATTAATTTTACTTTACGCTCTCTCGCCTTCTGCCGTGAGACCTTCCGGCTTGGGGGCCCCGCATCGGTATCGATGTGCATGCGTTCGTTTTCAGCAAAATTCGACATGATGTGGATGCATATCAGCTATAACTGTACAGTTTCAATGCCGTACCCTTATATTACTGAAATGCAAGGCTTTTCTTTTCCTGCGAGTGCATGATACATGCACGCGACACGCACAGTTCGACGCAAGAAACTGCTGTTTGAGACCACCACTGATCTAGCACTTCGTTTATATGGATTTCAACCTAAACGGTACAGATCTAGGTAGAGAAATGAATCACGTCTTATGTGCTGCTTTTGTAGCTCACGAAGACAGCAAGCTCTTGCGCGCTTTCTGCACATAGCATCTACCCATGAGATAGTAGAGGCGCCCAGCTTGACAATTGAAATATTTACTTCCACTTTCCGGTCACACATCAATTTCTTTCCCGTGAACAAGCGCACATAACAGTTAACTTGGCCTTGCCGCCCGTGTCCAATTCACGCCTTGAGCGGAAACAAATCGAGTGTTCCGATGATGCTGCTCCATTGAAAATAGAAACCCGCGCACTACTCACGTGAGAGGCCATGGTAGAACGAAACATTAGTCTGTCTTCAAGCGGCAGCTGGTCGATGGTAGCTACGGAGGATGTGTTGTGCTGGGCAGCCGAAGAGTAATTTGTTCTTTGGTATGCACGGGTTGGAAAGAAACTGGAATGTGCTAATTGTAGAGCCATTTGCATGTCTGCTTCTTGAGGATGCGCGCCTTGCTGGAAAGACAACAACAGAAGCACCGCGCTGCAGCCGCTATGGGGGACATTCTGGTGCGGCGATCCCAGCAGCAGCAGCAGCAGCAGCAATCTCTTGCGTTACGCTGGCAGTGGAGTGAGACTAACAGCAAGCTGCGGAGGCAAGAACAAGCTCTGACATTTTCTCTGCAACAAGTCTTGTCTTCTGAAGCTCTGCAAGCTGTGAGTTGCATCGCAGACGACGCTGAAGAGTACACAAGTACTGCAAAGCAAATTGGGACGGAGGGGGCAACAGCCACTCACGGCGCAACTAACGCAGCAGCTGCTGATGTGGTTACACCTGGCGACTTACAGTCTTCGAACGTCAAGTCTCGAGCTGACGCAGCAGGTGGCAGCGCGACTTCCAAAACGCTGGCTGCCGGTCGCCCTTTTGGGCGTTTCGCCGCTACGCTGCATCGTATTTCATTCGTGCTGCATTCACTCAAACAGTTGAACTTGGCTGCCAGAAGCAACTGTACATCTATCAAAGATACAGTTGCAACTGCCGCTGCTGCGAATTTGTCAGCACATGAGGGGTCCTTAATTGAATCGGAGACAGAAAAAGAGCTACCGCCGCAAACTGAACCCACACAGGAAGATCACCGGCAGCTGTTGCTTATGGCTGGCTGTATCTTCCAGTCAGTGGCTGCAACTCTAAAGGAAGAGGCGATATCACTGGAAAGGAGCTGGAAGGCCGCAGCAACAGAGGCGGCAGCTGCTACTTCGACTTTGAGAGAACTCCAACTTCTCCCACAAACGTGTGTAACCCCGTTGGGGCTGCAGCGTCAGCAACAGCAGCAGCAGGGGGATCCACAAAGTCTAACAGACACAGAGGATGCGATCTTTCGGGGAGAAGCCCCGGAGGTTCGTGCAGCAGCAGCAGCGGACGAGCTGGAGTTTGCCAGTAGGCGCAGTAGCACAAGCAGGGCAATGAACAAGAAAGAGCCTAAAGTTGCCAACAGTTCACATGAAGAAATAACGGCTTTGCCAAAAAGCAGCTCAACAGCGACAGTGAGACAGAGGCAAGCCCCTGCTGATGCACCATGGCAACAGCTGCTAGAAGAATACGGGTTGCGATTGCTGCAGCTGGAGCAGAAACACGCGCAGGAGCTCGAGGAGTGTCAGCGGCAAATTCTGCTGCACAAAAAGGCTCTCTACAAGGCAGCTTCGGGGATTGTCCACAGATCGATGATGCAGCAGCAACACCACAACCGCAAGAGCAAACTTGAGAGCTGGTTGGAGGAATCCATCGTCACAGAGGCGGAGGTGAAGAGTCAATACGGCAGCTGCGGCAAATTCTCCCTCCAGACCCCAGCAGGTGCAGAGGGGACAAGCCCTAAGCTTATCCAAAATGAGGAGAAGGACATCGACTTTGATGCCAAAGAAGTATGCACAGATGATTGGCACACTGCGGCAGAGTTGACAGCAGCGCCTGAGGAGGGAAGTGGAGGCTGCGCTACAGGTACTATCGCATCTACTGCTGAAAGAGACGCTGTCGCTGAAGTGCTCTTTACTGTGCGTTGGCTGTCCTCTGTTGCTCTAGCCGAACGAGATGGCGACGAGGCGCAGTTGGCATGTCTGTGCAATCGACTGCAGCTGGCATTTCCGACCGCTGCAGAGAAGGACCTGAAGGCGATATTGAATGCACAGCAGCAGCTGAGCCTCGCCAACCAGCGGCAGGTCACATGCGTGAGGGTGTGGACATCAGCACGACAGCAGGAGTTGTCACTAGTGATTCAGGGACTGAACGCCCTAACATCTAGATGTAGGGATACGATAGAAAGGAACAGGGTTGCTCAAAAGTTGAGGGAAAGGGGCCTTAAACTGTCTAAGCAGCTTGAACAGCACAAAAAGAGAAAAGAGGAGGAAAGGAGCAGGCTAGCAGCAGCTGAAAAAGCTGCCAAGGAAGCGGAGGTGGCGAGGCAGCTGAAAAATGCTATTCGGGAAAGGTCGAGAAGAGAAAAAGATAAAATATGCATTGAGGAATTCCGTCAACGCAAGCTGCTGGAGTCGAAGCAGCTCCAGGAGAGAAAGGCAGCAAAGCAACAAGCAGCATTGGCTGCAGAAACACCACAAATAAAACTTTTGAAAGCCGCCCGAGTTGCGAGGCGCCAGGAGCAGCACAGATTACGGGCGCTGGTTATACAGTTGGAGAGGCAGGAGCAAAAGCTGCAGGAGGAGTTGATGCGACAGCGGTTGCTCGCAGTCGCAGACAAGCTAAAGCCTGCAGCAGAAAAGGATCCTTCAAGGCTTCACCAACCCACTGCCTCTTCTCAGTCCTATACTCAATGCGGAGAGCAGCAGCGCCAGCAGCGCGACCAGCAGATGCAGCAGCGATTAGCCAGTTTCGGCGTGGACGCTACGTACAGCAGCGACGCCTTAATGAAAGATCTGCGCTTCAGATTCAGCACGGAATTGGCTGAATGCCATCTGGCTAACACCAAGCCAGCCCAAGATCTCCTCATGAAAATGAGCCGCCGCGAAGAGCCAAAAGACAAACCACTTTCATTTTGACTATTCTGCCACCCACTGCTTTCGTCTCATTTGCTACTTTGCTTTTGTGCGATTGTGCGAGCCAATCTATTCCTAGTCTCATTACTCTACATCGACTGAATAGTGAGCAGCATTTGTTGCTGATGGCTTGGGATGGTGGATGTCTTCTGCGCTGGTATTCCCTTCGGGTCTTTCAAACCCGCAAGAACACTAGCGAATTGCTATTAAAAGCAGTGAGCGTACGCTGTATTACGTTAACAATTCAAGTTTATGCAGTCCTTCGCTGCAGGGCGTGCTATCTCTTTCTGTATGTCTAGTTGGCGTGGTCAGTACGCGATGGAAGACGCCAGTGTAGAGCCAAAATAATGAGTCTAAAACCAGAACCGCAAAAAAACGGTTCCTCGAGCCACCCGCAAACTAATTCATCCCTAATCGGCTGAAGCTGTAAGTCAAAGTGTCACAGCAGCTCAGCTTGGGACGTTGCTAGGGTCACTCGGGCTTGCGGGGATTAGCAGCCCAACGATAATATCATCAACCTTCAGGAGCAGCAGTTGAGGCAAGCCTGCGCCTGCTGCGCCGCTGCAGCAATGTCTATTTCGCCGTCTGCATTCACCACGGCGGGTCCATAGTAGGCCATGGCATTTCGGGACTTGTAATATTCGTTTCTCATGGCCGACTGAGTGAGACGGACATCGAACCGATGGCTCACAGGCTCAAAGAAAATAGCCCACAAGAACATTACACAGAGGGACACCCCAAGCATCACCGTGTAGACGGCGTCCCAAACAGGAAACGACGAATTGCCCCATGTGGCGAGAGCAGCGAGCTCTGCAGCAGCAGAAGCACACACGCAAGCACACAGGCAAGACAGGGGCACCGATAAGTTATACTCTAACAAACGTAAAAGGATCAGGCAGAATGGAATATGATGAGCACTCTGTCTAACTAGACTCACCGGCGAAAGCTGTCAAGTGGAAGCAGAAGGCACCAAGCCATCCCCAAGCCTCTCCAGCGCCCTCCGAGTGGTACGCCTCAAGGTAAAATATAGATCTGCGTCAGACACAAGGAAAAGGCGAGGCAGTGCAAATTTTCAGCATTTAATCAAACCGCAGATGCAACTAGCTGGAGATCGGCACAAGCTGGCGGCACTCTGAGCCTCGAGTGGTCACTCTATAAGAGTCTGTAAGTTCCACAAGCCAGAAATAGAGTTTACACGTACCCCGCGTAGAAAAACATGGAAAAGGCGTCACAAAGGCGCGAAGTGAAAAAAATGAGCCAGGAAGACCCGCTGCCTATATTTTTGTTCATCCAGGGATCGTCGAAGTAGTAGTTAGCGGAGTAAACGACAAGAAGAGTCAATGTTGAGGCAACAACGCCGAACGAAGAGGCCTGCTGCAGAAATTTGCTCCCTGTGCGATATCCCCTGGATTGTTTGATGCTGAATCCCAAACAAATTTAGCAATTGCAATCATGCCCGATTAGTAGATGTCTAAAAGCCCATCTGAAAGTCTCAGTCAATATGTTGTCGCAGCAGTAAGTAAAATTCTGTTAGGAGATGGGGAACCGGGAAAGGCGCACCTGCTGTCGTCGTCAGTCAGAGATTGGAAAGCCAACATGGTGAGATGCCCGAGTATCAGCAGGCCACAGCCCAACTGCGCCGCCCAAAGGGGGCATTTGCCTGAGAAAAGAAACACTTGGTAAATGCGTATTAAAATTAAAAATCCGAATTGTAGTGATGCGGATTAGAAGTTTATAGAGCACTGTTTGGGGCCACAGCCCACTGTGCCGTGAGGTACTTGAGACCCTTGTTCGGTCATGTGTGACTCACCAGCAGACTCAGGAGCGGCCCTAAGGACGTTTAGAAGCGCCAGAGGATCGTTGTTTCCAGCCGAAACCGTCATGAGGAGGCATGCATAGGCCCCCAGCAGCAAGAAGACCCCCAGGCGAAGGCTGTAGTTGACGATGAAGCTCCAGAAGGGCTCAAACTGAGGTCCGCGGCCCTCAGGTGCCTCTCCTGGTCTTACTACGTAAGTGAAATACATTTTTGCAGGGAAATTTTGGCAAATTAACGGCTACACGAAGGACAGGGAGGCGCCGTGGTCGATGCTGCCGGGCTCGCCGCGTGCGCGAATCGGCTTTCAGTCACGCGCAATGAAAGCATACAGTTCCAGATGCTATATTTATTCTTATTTTCCAGAAAGCAAAAAGACGGAAATCGAAATAAAAGCGAAAGTTTGGAAAGAATTGGCGGAGGAATTGACTGCTGCCGAGACCGACGGGCTGACCACCGCCGACTAGCGAATTTCGCTGCACAGTCCAGAAGCCTGACCGAATTAGGAAGCTTACTCTGGTGAACTTTGGCTTGGGTTTGTTGGCATTCTTCTTTCCATGACTTAAAATTGAAATTGTGATGTAAATTAACTTTAAAATGTGCATTCGAATTTCCAGTTGGCTGCCGAGCAACTGGCCCCCCGCAGCGCTCCCTGCGCTCCCGGCTTGGGCCGAATGCAGCAGCACCACGCGAGGCCCGCTTCAACATTGCTAGCGCGTAGTCGCTACCCATGCATTTCATGTAATTTGTTTGAATGGTACAGAATTTTCCGTCATCGGCTTACTGGGTAGTGAGAGTTCTCGCAGCAAACCTCACACGGTCATATCATGGATCCCTATTCTTGAATGGCGGGGCCTGCGGGCAGCTAGATTGGTTAGCTTTCGTCGAATTAGATCAACTTTACAAAATGCCTGTCATTAATTTGGCCCAGGAATTATTTTTTGTATGCTTGCTGAAGTGCTGGCGCGCACTAGCTCCTCAACTCCCGATGTGGGCTTAGCTGCACAAGGCGGCATCTCGGCGCCAGGGTACAAAATTGCAGGATTTCCAATGGACAGCTTTCTCCCTGAAGTAAATCAGCATGTTACTTAACTGTTGTTTCAAGCCATGCACCGTTGTTGTTGGTCACTTGTTATTTTCGCCGTTTTGTTCCTAGTGTAAGTAGGTTAGGTTGCTGCTTCATTAAATCTTTTCTTGCTCCATTGATGTCTATTGGAGCCAGTCCAAAGGTCAGTTTTGTCACTTTGATTTCCTTTCTGATTCTGATACGTTCAGCTCCCACTTCCATCTAGACACTTCCCCAGAATTTACTGACTTAGAGCTCAATGCTCAAGCGGTATTGCCTGTGCTTCAGCAAGCATGACACTGAGACCTCAAGTGTGAGGGCGGCTTCAATTTTCTTTCAGATGTGACAAAGACTCGATGAGCCTGGCTAATAACACATTAGTGTGACACTCGCCGTGAACTAGGTTTAGGCATCTCCGCTCGAGCTCCGTCTGCACGCGTTCAATAAAACAAAAGGGTTGTCTATTAAATCGAGAAAGTACGTTTGTTATTGGCAATTGGAATAGTCATTATAACTTCTGTCAATTGTGGATGTTTTCGGGTTACTTTCTCAATATTGCTGCGAGCCAGAAATACACACTAATTCAAGTTAAGGATGCCCTCGGTCACTTGGGAGAAGGGTCTCAAGCTCACAGCGGCAGAACTTATGGGCTAATCCAGTACTTAAACGGGAGTTTGCTTCTATGCGCTACGCCCAAGCCATCACAATACTCATTCATCCTCAAGAAGCAATGAAAACTCATTGTATAAAATTTAATGTATGGATTAGAAAACGATCTAGTACTATTGAGGTCATTGTTCCTTGCTTCTGCAACATAAGTAGTTATTAGGCTGAAGTCCCAGCACAAATAAACTGACGTAGCTAGGCGGAGGTGCCAATGCCTTTTTGGTCAGCGGTCAGCAGCTACGGGAAAGACCGTAAATGAAAAAGAAAGAGCGCGACTGTAGATGGACGAGCTGTTAATGTCCTTCGTATCTGCTACGGGTAACGCTGGAAAGAACCTCTATTCAAGCTTTCTTATTATTCAGTAGGCATTGCAGCGTTTAAACTGGCAGCGGCGCGACTTCAGTAACCTCTGAAAATTGAACGTAATTCATTCTCCAAATAAGATGAAAGGAAAAATTGAATTCATTTCAAATTCCGTAGTGCATGCGTTCGGTTTGAGTGTCCTTTGCACTCACGCTCATGATGCTGAATTAGTGTAGCTCTCTGGGTCCCGATTAGTCTTGGTAGAAATCGGGAATGCGTATCTTGCTTAACAGACGTAATTATGCAGGCATGAGAAACCGTACGATAAAGCAGTGCATTCTAAACAGCAAGCGATTATGGTGTTTGTCCTCACTCTGCGCTCCACTAAGCATTGCAGTCGGCACTGCACCAGCTGCTGCCACGCAGTCCCAAATCTATCGCGATCTGGATTTTTTCCAGTGAGAACACTTTGCGCGCCGCCACGAATTCGGCCTGGGCACAACACCGCCAAGTTATGCTCTAGCGGAACGCCGCAGTAGATTCTTCGCTATGACACCCCTGTAGGGACTCATTGCGTCAACACAATCATCTTAGTTAGACCGAAAGAGCTTCAGTAAGCAGACGCATGATGAAACAGGAAAAGCCAGACACCAAAAGAGCGTATGGCGACGGCGCACTTTTGCACAGGGTCGACACACATGGTTAATTTCACCCAGAAATTGATTTCTTACGTCTGCATTTTCTGATGGCTTTATCTTGGTTCTAGCCAGAGCACGGAAGGTTCATTTAAAATAGATCGCTTCACAGCGCTTCGGTTTGTGCAGTTTTTGTAACTAATGGGGACTTAAGATGGAGCGCCACATCGCCCGTGCAAGTAATGTATTTGGAGACAGACCATCGAGAAATTCTACCCCTCTTTGACAGCCTTAAGTCGATTTAAGGAAGGCAGAATGTGGCCGAATGCACGCGGTACGTGTAGCTGCACCGCACCTTTATTTGCAACACAAAGGCGTTATGGTCGAAAAGCCAAAGTTAATGTCAAATGAGCCAGTGTTTTGGCTTCAAAGTAATGGGCTTGACCAACGTTGTACTTGCCGAAGATAAGGGAAGTTAAGCACCTGATGAAATTGATTCCAAAAGTTTGAATGAAGTGCACTCCTAGATCGTTTGTCGTCACAAGAAAGGGGAAACATCAGACAAAAGTGAGGTGGCTGGAGTGTATGGTGACTGGGGATTGCACGAAGTTTAAAAACAGGAAACTGCGAAGACGCAGGCTGATACTGTGTCTCTTCTGCCTCATTCTGCAGTTAGATATGCAACTTAAGAAAAGGCATGCAGTGAAATACAGGCAGGTTACACTGCATGACGGCTCGAGCAACCATGTTTTGAATTACCGTCACGAAGCAATGCTCAAAACTCATTCTACTCTCAAGTAATACAGAATACTAATGCATCAAAGTTGGTATCATTTACAAAGTACGCCTTCTTCTGCCGGTGGGAAGGCCTGCAACGACTCTTATTGTTGGGAGCAAATACACTTTCATATGAGTGGAGGCTCTCCCAAATTCGACCTCTTCCGGAATGGAAAGGCCGACGTACAGAACGTGAACAGAGTGTTATGCTGCGAAGGTAATAGTTTAATGCTTGTGTGGTAACATGTACAGCTCAACACCTGGAAACCACTGAAAGAAAGTGTATCTACATATCTAGATCGCGAACCATGCTCAAGTACTGCTCCAAAGTAATGAGATGTAACGTTACATCATCCATTCAGATATATACAGGTACTCTGATATTGCATAGAGGCAAAAGTATAATGCAGTTACTTGAAAATGCGGGACCTCCGCTGATCGTGTTTCTTCTGAGCAGTATCCCAGCGACCGTTCTTCATGTTTTTTTCGAAATAAAATTGACATATAAACTAAAAAACGATTAGGCTGAATTTCGCTTTTGAAATGACTTCTTGATTGTATATTGTGCAGTCATTGAGTCTGTGGATTCCCGACCGGTGGTCCGCACAGCACACCTGTGCTCCCGCTCAGAAACGGCAACTTGCAGGCTCCCTGAGAACTCACTTTGCTCTTCACAGATATTTGGCTTCAAAGAAATTTGTAGTTCGTGAGAAACATTGAAAGACATGGGATCTTGGCCCAGTTTCTTCTCCGGAGCGCAAGTGCAGCCTGCCAGTGCATGGCGGCAGATGAGGCTGCACCGTCTGTAGCAGCCTGAAACCATTCAGGATTGATGCATATTTTCGAATTCTAAAACAACGTGAATATTAAAAGTATATTTTGTATTTTAAATGTTTTCCAACTACACACTGGAAGCAATCATTGCCGCAAAGTGTTTGTTGACAAGTAGCACGTCGCCGGAGAGCGTTTCAGGGGGTTCCGCCGACCACGAAGGGGCAGCGGGAGCTGAAAAACCCATGGTTTACTTTTCTTACTAATTGGTCTTCTCGATTTAACAAAATTTTGTAGAAGCCACTTACTAGCAAAAGAATAATTGGACGGAGCACACGTGAGACATGGGGCTAATGCGAAAGCGGGCCAGCGAGGTAAATTTCACTGTCTGGACGCGAGCGCATGAGATGCTTCGGAATGAGGTGGAGAACTCGACAACGGAATCCTCTGACTTGTTATTATCTGTTATTTAATGAAGCAAAGTTACAAGCTATGCAAAGGTCTGCGGCATAACCCGTGATTGCTTGCTTGCAAGTTCGCAAGCAGCCACTTGCAGTGACGGCTGCCTTCACTGGCTCATTGCTCAGCGGCTTGATTTGCCCAGCATGCCATGACTCCTCTTTCTACACTTTATTGGATCATTTTTACTTGCTCATTTTTTCGTTTAAAGAAGACCGGATCTAAGTTTGGTTGGCGCAGCTTACCATGTGAGACACGTGTGAAGCATCACCCTCTTCCGGCGATCCGCTAGAAGGGCTTTGGCAACATGCACACCGGCATCTGTAGTATTTGCTTGGCATTAAAGCAAGAGTAGAGCCATTTTCTCTTCATTGATTATTAATCCGCAGCTGTCCCGAGAGTGCCGCCATCTAGTCCTCTGGCTGTCAAGACCTTTGGAGGCCCCTTCACACAACCGCGGGAAATCGCCTGTTATCGCCTATTCATGAGCTTCCCGAAAATTGGGCAGCCTTGTAATTCTTTTGCAGCATCAAT